CCCCCCCCCCCCCCCGCCCTTCCAACCGTGCCCAATACTGAGAGATGAAGTGAGAAAGACAAACCTTGTCTAGCCGTATTCGTAAACTTTTACGTAAGGCCAGATGTAGGGGGATTCCAGTGCGAGTCTAGCGTCATCGTAATTTCTGGTGATCGATTGATGTTAAGAAACGTACGGGGAAAGTAACTCATTGCCAATTATAGTCATCGAATCGGTTGAATGCATTTGGTGTGGCATTCCATTGATTTTATAAATAAGTATGTGTTAATTTTCAACATTGACTCGAATATTTTTCATCATTATTTCACCGAGGAAATAAAATTTTTATTAAACTCACTATTTCGCTGAAACATTTCACTTCCCTTCCAAAACGATGAGGCATGAATTAGGTATTAGTTGATACTTCAACTCGCGAGAATCGTATTATGATGGTCGATTTGAGGTAATGGAGTAGGAAATTGCTGCGTGATTATGCACAACACTGAAATTACACCGAGCAATATGGGCCTTATTTTAAAGAGATAAAATAAGAAGTCAATGCACAATAATTTTTCCACCCTCATTCTTATATAAATTTCCATTCAACCAATTCACCGGAATTCATTTTCAACAACACATTCATACAATTGATACCGGAATGAATTATCAATTTTTGTTCCTCTCATTTCAAGTTATAGAATGTAATTTTCCACTCTTGAAAATTGTTTTTCAACAATATGAAACCGTTGAATACTCCCCATTGCAATTTCGACATTGGCACGATTGGGGAAGGGGAGGAGGGGGGAAATATCTGGAGTTAGAGATACCCCGGCAAATGCCCAGAGGCGCCATTGCCATCTCCCCTCCCCCTCTCTCACTCGTTCTCTCTCGCTCTCTCTTTTTTCATCTACTCGTTTTTTCCATCATTTTATCTCTCTCATTCCTCCTACTCGTCTTTTTACTCCTATTCTTTAACTCGTGCTTTCGCGAGCCCAAGCCACTAACATTCCCTCTACGACTCTCATTCCCGAGGAATCCTGTGTGCCTTCGTGCGCAGCGTTCAACACATACATGTATAAATAAACGTATACACTGAAAATTGTGTTTATGTACAGTGTGTGGAGAGGGGCGGGAGGGGGGAGGGGAGGGGATGCCTCTTCACTACGGTATTTCCATCCGCCCTTTTTCCACCTTACCCATCTCTACCTTCGCTTCTTCTTCGTCTCTTATTTTTCCTCTTGGTATCTTCTTGTCCACGAGTCAAGGACCGTTCTCAAGGAGGTCGCTTGTTTTAGCCTTTATATCCTTCTCTTGCGACTCTTTCTGGACGATAGGGGTCTTCTGCCTTGGTGAATTTTATAGGGATACCGTTCTGAGGTTTTTATTGAGTCGATTTTATGGGGTTTATATTATTATTGAGGTTATGGCAGGATTAATTGCTCCAATTCATTAAAACTTCATCGGTCGTTGGGATTCTTCTTATTGATATTGATAATTTTATTGATGTAACATTCTCGACAATGGCAATGACAAGAGACGATTAGTACTAAGGGGCTTCTTGATATCCTCCAATGATTTCGTCTTCGTCGAATTAGATTATTGTTTTCCTTCTGACAATCACTTTCTCAACTATCTCAAGCATGAGTTCCCTTCTCTAAAACATTTCCCCTTATATATAAAAAACCATTTGAGATGTAAACCCTTTCCTCTTCTCAAAAAAAGTGAAAATGAAATTTAAAAAATCATTGAACTGCAAATGATGTAACTGTCATTGTACCTTCACAACATAAATTTCCATGAGTTCTGTTTAAATGATGCGAGAATTTTAATTACTCGGCAACTTGTTTGATTAAAAGGAAATGAAAACTTGACGGATGCGCTCGGATAATAAATGGAATTGAGATAAACGGCTAAAAATAATTCCAACGCACTCAACATAAAGCGTGAAATCGTTTTTTTCCCGCGCTCAAGTAGGAAAAAAACCAGTCGTTCTATTAAGAAACTACTGTTGTGTTATTTCACCGTTTTAATGTTCTCGGTAAAGACACACACAATGCATCGATAATAGCGCTCATTTTCCCTTCCCATTGGCCACTGATGATCAGTAAAATCGTGGCTTGGAGCACCGCCAGGATTCCTCACTCATCTCGGATTCCAATTCAACAAAAAAAAATCCATTTTCAAAGGGAACAAAATCATCATCTGCGGAGAGCAAACGCTTGCGTTTTAATAAGCGTCCAATTATTTGTGACATTTCAATGTCCTTCTCTCATTATTTCTCGTCTTCTTGAAATCGAATTATTCCGTAGTGAAGAAGAAAAAAAAAGTAGGACAGGAGGTAAACACAATTTTTAAACTGATGCCGCCAGAGGCGACCTCGAGTGTGTACAACTGATTACATAGTTATGAAATGGTGTACAGGAGTCGTCAGTAGACAAGAGCACTTATCTTTCTTTTTTTTTCGCTTGAACTGAGAGATAATTCATTTCAATATTCAAGTTGTTATAGAATTTAGTCTATGCTCCACTGAATAACTTCGAGTCCGGGCGCCCAATAAGATCTTCAGACATCAGTAATTTTCTCCTCATGAATGAAACAACAAGAATGTTACAAATGCATTTCATCAATAACAACGATGAAAAAGAAAAAATAGAAAATAAGTTTGTATAGATATGTGTACAGTTACGTAGGCGCCCCATGGACGGTCTCATTACAAACCGGCGAATCCTTAACAGGGAGAGACCGGTCGAGGCGGGAGAGTTCAATGCTTGCATCAGCAGAAAAGTCACTCTTGCCCAGATACACACACCAATATCAAGAGGTGTGTTGTGTATCATGTGATAAACATTCGTGGACTGTCGTCTCCGTTCCCCTATTAGGGTATGCCGTGGCCTTCTCTCGACGCATTTCGTATTATACTCACTGGCCACATTTGCCACGCGACAATTCAGGGAATGAGATAGTATATTCCAGTCGCTTTCAAAATCCATTTTTACGAAATATCATCAACTTGGTGAATCACCACTCGTGGCTGGGGGAAATTTTACTGCACATTGATGTCGCGGGGTTATAATTTCTCAAGTCCAATGTCGGAATTTTTTTTTCTCACACTTCCTTCACTCGTAATTGCATTATTGACGTAATAATTGAGAATACACAATATTGTGACGTGAGTTATGATCAACAACAATGATGAAAAACAAAATTCCTCGAGTGTCCATAGATCAACCAGAAAAACGACGATGACATTGTTGGAATATATCGCATTACCCCAGACATGTTACCCTCAAGGCCTTCGATTTATCGTCTAAATGGGATTTTATACGGATTGACGATTCTGTCCTTCTGCACGATCACACGAGTCTACCTGTGTAGAGCGCAAGGTAATAAGTATCGATGGCTCTTGAGGAGGTACTCGATTGTGTCATGCATATACACGATTCCGCATGATGCGCGCGGTTCAAGGGAGTCAGGCCGGTAATGGATATTACGTGAGGATTATCATTGTCACTGGTGTTGACCATGTACGTGTAGCTAAATAAGATGTTGCATTCACTCGATTGATTTCAACCGGGAGCTCTTGCACTCAGTCATACATTCATTATTCAATCAATTATGGTGGTCTGGACAGTCTCACTGTGGGAATTTATATTTTTTTTTGCAATTAATGTGGAGGGACATTCGCAGGAATGAAATTATTTTTAATTAATAACAAAATCTGGGACTCCGAAGGGATTTGAACCTTAGTCGTCTGCGTGCCAAGCATTCATCTCATTCAAACGCCAGGGCCACAAAACCCATCTCACGAGGTTTAAACCAAAAGGTCGTAAGTGACATTTTAAACCATTTGACAATTCCTGAATTAGTAATTGTCACCGTGTTATTCAATTTCATAATTGAAACAAAAAAAAACACTCACCTTTCGAAACCCATCAAAATGCCTCCCACACGTTCCCGAAAATGGGTCGTAGGTGTAAAATTTAAATTTTGATTTTCAAATTAATCCAAGTGATTGTATACCGGGGTGGTGTTATCCATTTACTCTCCCAATGGATTAAGTCTCTCCCGCCGCGGCACACATTACAACTAGTTTCTCTCACTTGAGCGGTGGGCGGTTTTTCTCACTCTCTCTCTTTCTCTCCTGAAACGTCTCTCTCAAACATATTTGAGAGTCCACCTCCGCACTGAGAGCACGCGAGTCACCGGCTATTTTGCCCCCTTCGAATCATGCCGGATGTTGCCTCAGGTAAGCGTTCGGCTGTGGCCCCAAGGTGATCCGTGTACTTCGTGAAGTCTCTCTCCCTCGCACTTATCAACTGCCTCCTCTCGTTTTTTTCGTTGTTCTTCTTCTCTCGGGGCGTGCTTGGCATACGAGGAATCGTTGGAGACGACTCTTCAAATACAGAGCCCCTGTCCACTTGGGGTCGAGTCTATTTTTATAACCCGTCGGTTTTTTCACTCATCTTAATTTTTTTTTTTTTTTTATCTACAACCGTGAAATTTTGTTTTCCCCGATTGGAAGAGTTATTTTAACTACTGTTAGCACCTCAAGCCATCAAATTATCCGGGGCACTGCCTCGTCACGTGAATTATCGAAACTTATGTTTGAAAAAAAATATTAAAAATTCTTTCTTTATCAATGCTCAAACATGGGAAGTCGATGATAAAAATTCATTTTTCTCACATTTTGACGCCAATCAACACATGTCTATCTAAACAAACCCGTGAATTACTGAAATAAAAAATTTAGCCCACATTTTTTAACAGACGCTTCACGCGCGTTTTATTTTCCATGGGTGGACATTAATTTTCATCTCAATAATAATGCAGAAAAAATGAATGGTTTCAACAAAGTTTTTCACAATGAGAATTCAATTGCTGAATAATTTTTCTGGAATCGTCATAATCCTCTTCGTCTTCTTCTGCGTTTCTCTCTTGCTTTTTGCATTTTTCTTTACTTTTAGGGATTTATTATGTACTGTGTACGTATATACTATCCTATATATTAGTAGCGAAGTGGTAAAACGGTTTAAGTCGACTTATCTCCCAGTTGAGTTTTTGAAGAATATTTCCGAATCTAAGGGAGATAGCAAAATTTTTGTAATTACATTTGTTGTAACTCTTAACCGGCTCTACAAAAAAGGTCACAACAAAAAATTAGCTATCTCCCTTAGATTCCGAGCTATTCATTGAAAACTGGTGTATAGTCAAAATTGACTTGTGCCACTTTACCACTTCACTACTGATATTTTTTTTTACAGTTGAAAAAAATGAACATATAAAAAAAATTCATGTATAGTATATATTATATCATATATACATATCTACTATGTGATGCATGTATTTTTTTATTGCTTTAAGAAATGAATTTCTCGTTTTTTATACATAGACAACACACTACATTACTCGATAAGCGAAATAGAGGCTCCAAAAATCGTTACACTGAATTTTTAAAAAGTGAATTTCCCCCTTCTGCCCCTCTCCCGCATTCTGAGAAACCACCTGCCGTCACCTGTTACGTCTCCACATTATTCCTTCACCTCAAGAGGTGACAGGTATATTTTTTTGGGGCCAACGAGTCACACACAATGGCCACCCATTGCACACGAAAACCCCAAAGAAATGGGAAAAGTCGGTGAGAGAAAAAAATATTGTCACAAAGAGAGAACATTCAAGTGAGGGCTGTTTGAGGTGTAATGGGGTCATTGTGGCCGATTACACATAATGGAAAAATAAATTGACTGAGAAACTGACAATGAGCGAGGAGTATGCACCAATTCCTTTCATCTCCTGAGAAAAATTTTCATGGAAAAAAAACGAAATCTCCGTTTGACGGAGAAAATGAAAAATTGAAAAATTCTCTCTGCCCGGAATAGCAAATTGAATCTTATGATTAATAAAAATAAAATAGAAATTAATTAAGGCAGCAGTACGTGACGCAACGCCTGAGGATAACGACCTCAAACTCCTCCACCCTCCCCCCCCCCTCCACCATCCTTAACTTTTTATTTTACCTCGAGGATCATTATGAAACAGAGGCAATTAGTTTATGGCTTGCGCACACAGACGTGTCTCGACAACAAAGGACGCATGTCCGTTCATCTCTCTCGGGTTGACGTTTTATTTTTATTATTTTTTTTCTAAGTCATAATTTTATTATTACCCTCGTTCGTCGTAAACCGGCTGATGGATATGGGTGTCGTCTTCCTTGAGGTTTTAAGGATTATGAGGGAGAGTGAGAGAGGGGGGGGGGGGGGGGAGATGCGGCTGAGGCGTTACAACAAATTGCTGCGAGAATTATCCGCGCTATGGGTGAGAGTCAGGGTCGTCACTGCGTGTCGTCAACTGATGGATTTATGAGAAATACGGAAGTCTTGAGGCTTTTGTCTGTTGGAGATACAGTTTTTCTTTGGTTATTGTGGGAAATTTCGTTAGGTTTTTGGAGTAACTGGATTTTTTTTTCGATTGGGGTGATTTTTAGGATTTTTTGGATTTATGGGCCTTTTTGCGATGTTGGGAAATCACTTTTGAGACGGAAAAAATAGTGGTGATGGGGAAATGAATAGACAAATTATAGGGAAATTATTTTTTACGCGAGAAATTCTTTTTTTATCAATTCATAATATTTTTTTCGGAAAAAATTAATGTGACAGGAAACATTATGTCAAGTGGTAAATAAAGGATGAGTAATCAATTTTTTAATGAAAGTTTATGAGAGAAAAGTTTTCTCATAAACTGAGAAAACTTCTGAAAATATTCTGGAAAATTTATTGAATATTGATAATAACTGGAGTCTGCTTCAGAACGACATAAATTCTTACAATTTTTTTCATTCTTCCCTGCGATATTGCGATCTGATATTATTCAAGAATGATTGGAACGGCGATTATTACAGTAATCACACACGGAAGTTATCGCTTTCCCCGTCACATCAGAAATTTTTTAATTTGTCAAAAAGATTAATCCTCTCACACATAAAAATTCAGCATTTTTTTTCCCAATTCATAATATTTCTTCGCGAAAAATTAATACAACAGCAGAAATTACGTTAATGTTAAAATAAATAATGAGTAAGTAATTATTTAATGAATAGTTATGAGAAAAAAAGTTTTTCTTTGGAAATATTGTGGAAAATTTGTTGAATATTGGTAATAACAGGATTTTTCATTTCAAAACGACAGAAATTTTTACAATTTTCCTCATTCCTGTAATATTGCGATCTGATAATATTCAAGAATGATTGGAACTCGATTATTACAGTAATCACCCGCGGAAGTCATCGTTTTTCCCGTCACATCATAAATTTTTCAATTTGTCAGGAAGATTCATACTCCCACACATAAAAATTCAGCAATTTCTTCTTAATTCATAATATTTTTTACCGCAAAAAGTGAGTGAATGGGCGTGCTTGGGGATTATAATTCATACGAAGGTAAATAAGAATGACGTGGAATGCAATTCGACATTTTTGGTATTAAGAATGAAGGAAGAAGAATGAGACAGGAAAAATAAACTGCGAGGAAATGCGGACGTGATGGTGTGCTGGCTGTTCCCTCTCACCCTTTCGCAGTTTTGCGCTACGGTTCCTTTACCTTTCCGCTGTTATATCGTTGTTTCCTTTTCTATTCTTTTGTATAATATTAGAGACATACATATGTGGCATAGCACCCGTTACCGGCAATTACGTATGCTGATCGGGTGGATTTTTATCTCATGAATTTTTTTTTCCTTTTTTCGTCATCGACCGAGAATTTCTACTTTCAATTCGTAGAATTCTTGTGCAGATTTTCATGCAAAACTACGAGAAAGAATAACCCGTTTTGTCCCATCGATTTCCAAAACATTGAAAAAATTTTTTTTTCCGATCTCTAATTTTTTTTATTCTTAACAAAAATGATTGCAATAGTTTAAAAACGGATCGGGCAAAACAGGTTTTCGTTTTTTATTTTCATTGCAAAAATTGTTTTTGTTTCCAAGATATTAAAAGAAAAATTTCAATCCAAAAATAAATTTTTTTTGCAATGTCTGGGGAACCACTGGGGCAAAACGGGTTGTTGTTCTAAACATGGGAATGCTTTGAAATCTAAATGACGGGACACATTTTTCCGATCACCGAACCTTGCCCACTTTTCATATATCTTTTCCACTCGAGATAATGCGATCGCATGGAGAAAGGACTTCAACAACTCGCCTTAATGAATATTGATGATTGAAAAAAGTTGCTGTATATACCGATGTCTTTGACGTCTTAATTGGATATCGATCAGTGCCTCTCCCTCCGGAACAAAAACAAAATTCTCATAATTAATGAGGAACTAAAAGTGCCGAGGGATAATCAATCCTGTTCATTTTTTTTCCAATGACACAAATTTCCACCAATTTTTATCATGGTTGAGTTCCTTTGAGCACTTTCACACCGAAAGCATGTTGCAAGTGTTTTACCATAAAAGAGTTGACGTGTCGCGTAGGTTGTATTCCATAAACGGAGGGTTAAAGAAACGTCACGACACGAAGAAAAAGAATTTCGAGAAACATTTTACACACGCGTGGGATGAAATTCTAGATGGTTTTGATGATAATGCCCGGATAAATTGTCTCTGATATTATGTACAATTATCTCTCATAAATACATCAGTGAGTCGATTAATTATCCGGTATTGCCGGATTTGGCGGTAGGTATGGGGGAACTGTAATTCTCAGGCCAATCAAAATTAATTTTATTCCGAAATTAATGCGATAGCAGCAGGAGATGGTGTAATATTTTTGTAGATATCTAGGTATGTGAGGAGGTAGAGAAATTTTTGTCAGTAATTTTTTTTTCCGATTCTGATTTTTTTGTAGAACGCGGGGCAAACTGTAACCGTAGAGAATTTTGTTGTCTGAGGGTCAAATGGGTGAGACAGGCGGTGGGTCAAGAGGGTTAACCGGGAGAGACTAGCGAAGTGATCACTCTGCTTGTCTCTCCCATTTGACCCTTAAAAACGTTTGACCCTTAATAATTTTTTGAGGGGGTCAAGTAGTCTTGAGGGTTAAATGGAAGAGACAGACGAAGGCGTCGAGTGCGTCAAGCGGGAGGGACTAGCGAAGTGATCACTCTACTCGTCCCTCCCGTTTAACACTTAAACAAGTTTGACCCTAAAGAACCACTCTTTGGCCTACACTCCCTCATAGACGGGAACTATTGAAAGAGTCAAACAGTCTTGAGGGTCAAATGGGAAAGACATGTTGAGGGATTAATTGGGTCACACGGGAGAGACGAGCGAAGTGATCACCCTGCTCGTCTATTCGACCCTAAACAACATTTGACCCCTCATCTATTTTCTTTAGCAGTAGAAATTGAAAAACAAAGGTTATCTGGATTTTTTGCATCTACACAAGTGAGGCCGCCGACCGTTTGCAACACGAGTCGATTGATTATGTATCAGGGACTCATTTCGAAATATTGTTTTAGTGACTCACAATTTACCTACGTTAAAGTCACGTCAGAGCGTTAAATAATTAGCCAAATGTGTGCTCACTGACTGCGTCATGTGTTAATTAGTGTGCGGTCCCCAGTGGGAGGGCATATACAGGTGCCTTATCTTCTCCTAGTCACTCCTTATCTTATCATCGTTGTCCCTAGGATGTTAATGACCTTGTAAACAATCCCTCGCAAGTTCGCTCCCAACTCCTCGCAAAGTCCCAATTTCATTTTTTCAACACGACAGTTATTGTTAGTCGTAATTGAACGTGTCAACTGCGGCACTCATTAATTACGGCTATCGGTAATCAGTAAAAAACACCAATTGGGCACAATCGTCACGCCTAGAACGATTGACAAGACCTCGACACGTATTACCTGTGCAATTTTTTTTCACTTTTTATTACTCCATTACGCGTAGGATGATCCCACTCTGGGATCATCTACCACCGACAATGCACACTGAATGCACACGTATTGACTGGGATATTCACGTGAGCGTGACACTTGTGACAGACATGCAAATTCACGGATGCAGTTTCATCCTACAAAATTTAGAAAGTTGAGTAGATAATTCAAGGTGATGAACTATTTCGAATGCTTGAGTCATTTTGGCGTGAATATATATGCCCGTTCAAAGAGCTGGATACGCCCGCATCTTTCTGGTTTTTTTGTGGTGCGAGCCACAAACGAATTGTTGTTTCGAAGTTTATCAACGCGTTTCGAATATTCTATACCGTCATATTCGAGACGGGCGTCATTCTGCCCTTGTCCCTCACGAGATTTCCGGACGGTTCTCGCCCGAGTCGAATAATTCCACATACTTTCGAGAGTTCTGAATAGCCCGTCGCTTAAATAGTTGGAATCAACGTTCACCCGGCTAAAAAATTCGATTTTGGCGAAAAATCCAAGATCTGACACTTTGACCCTTGTGACCCTTCTGATCCTTGAGCGACTTTCTCCCCGGAAAAATCCAAGATCCGACACTTTGGCCTCCGGTGAAAAAAATTTTTTTTCATTTTTCACTTTTTCCACATACTTTTGATAGTTCTGAATAGCCCGTCGCTTAAATAGTTGGAATCAACGTTCACCCGGCTAAAAAATTCGATTTTGGCGAAAATCCACTTGCCCCGGAAAACCCGAAAATCTGACCCTTTGGCTGGGGCCAAAAAAAACGGTTTCTCAGTTTTCACTTTTTCCACATACTTTTGAGAGTTCTGAATAGCCCGTCGCTCAAATAGTTGGAATCAACGTTCACCCAGTTAAAAAATTCGATTTTGGCGTAAGTCGACTTTCCCCCTGGAAAAACCGAAAATCTGACCCTTTGGCTCCAGGTGAAAAAAAATGTTCTTATTTCGACATTTGTCGCGCCTCTAGGGGTTTCTTTGGCATCAGAATCGTTAGAAAATACAGAATCAACCTTCACTTGGCGAAAAAATTCATTTTTGCCTAAAAGCGACTTTCATCCTGATCCTTGACTCGCGTGAAAATGAAAATTTCCTTTTCTTTTTTTCTATCACCTCCGATGGTTTCATTGGCATCGGGGAGTCAATAAATACAGAGTCAACGTTCACTATTTTTTATTTAAACACCGCTGGCAAACGGAGAGATCAGGGTGGCTAAAATATATTCTGCAACCCTCTCGTCTCGTTGGCTGTAAATTTCAACCCTCCGCATACATGCCTTCTCCTCCAACCCCTCGTGAAATCCCAATGTCTCGGGAGTATAGAGGACTTCTCAGGGCTGAAAAGAACTGAGGATTCGAAAGGTCTCCAGAAAAGTACGTCCCAGAACTGATTAGGACTTACCAGGTCAATCCGGGTCTGGAGAGATCTTGAAAGACCTGTGTACGTCCAATCAGAACCAAATCCTCGACTCGGGCGAACCTTCCATAACAAAAGGTATTTAAACTCCCACGCTCTCCGACGAAGAGTTCAGTTGAATCAGTCCGATTTATACATTCGATGTAAACACATCTCTGCGATAAATACACCGCCTTTATATTCCACAACCACGAGTTATTATTGTCTCTATACACCTAACCGTCACATTTTTCGAATGAAAAATCGAAAAATGCACAGGACACTACTTACGTCCTTTACGATCTGAGATGGAGTTATACCCTTAGACCGTACTGTGACTATATGACTCATTGAAGATAAAGAAAATCAATCCAATAACTCGTTTTCCATATTCGATATCCCCTTGCAACTATTGAATTTTCCGTCACGTACATCCGTTCTTCCCCGAACGAACCTCAACTTTACTTTCGAACTCCGATGGAATAAATAAACAAATCGATGAAAAAAAAATGACAAAAAAATCGCCTCGTGAAAATGAAAAATAAAAGTATCGTAATGGGGTTCCATTCACCTCTTGGCAGTATTAATGTCCAATAATCACTGAACTGTGCACGTGTACAGTAAAATAAGTGATTGTGAACTATAGATAATTTAGCGGTCTCTTGTGAACACACATATTCCACCTAAAAGCGAAAGCCCAGCTGTTTCTGAAATGAAACACCCAGCCGAGGAAATAAATACATCTTGATGAAATTCTAGGTCTCATTCTGGAGTTTTTCACACCCGAGGCATTACTGAATCAATTATGCACAGATCGGGTTGCATACGTGTCATTCCACCTCATTGTTTTCATACATTCTCTATTTTTTTTCGTGATGCCCAACGGTATGGAGTAAATTATGTGATAATTGCGAGTGAACAACAACAGATTTTTCTCGGATCGTTATTCTAGGATAATTAGAGTCATAAACAGCTGTTGGATGTCATAAACACGTGATTTAGCTCGCGATCTGAGAGCTTTCTCAAGCATCAATTTTTTTCTAATTTCCCCTTGAGATCCATTTGCCGCTGATTTTTCATTTCATATGTCATTTGTTAGTAGAAACAATAATGATATTTTTCTCCTTTCGTTTACCCTTCATCAACCTATTCTATTTTAAATATATATTTCAAGTTGTCTGTTTCACTCTTTACTCGTTTATAAAGTAAATTGTTTTATCCAAAATTAAATAATTCCAAAAATTTTTCATGAATCATTTCAAATAAAAAAATTAATATAACCCAACAAGATTCTCATTAATTATCCACAAACTCCTCCCCAGACTATTTAATGACCCTGAGAATGTTTTAATCACCCATAAAAGACCATTCTTACCCCGAAGAATGTCACTCAGAAACTGAAAGTCATCGAGAGCAAAAAAAAGCCCTAACCAGATCATTTTTTTCCCTGTGGGAATTTACAATCCCGAGATGTAGGAAACGACACAGGTGCATCGTACTCAGGAACCCGCCCCCTGCCATCATATCATCATTCGCCAACGACTTAATACAGCCTAGTCATAAATTCCCAGGATAAATTGTCCAACGTGAATCCCCACAACCCGCAAATACATGTAGTTTAGACACCTGCGAATTACTCTCTTTATCTAATCACGTAATTCACTCTGAATTATTGGTTTTGTATGGATTTTAGTTGAGAATATTTTGTGACAACACAGACTCGTCAGTGTATCGAGCGTGAATTTTCGCGCTCAGTGAAGTGTAGAAAGTACTCATCCAGCTATGTGAAGTGATTTTAACCGGAATAGTATAATAATAAAATGTAACAATGGAATTTTGCCAAGAAAACGAGGCTCACAGTCGCCGGAATTCTATCCCAGTGTTCACGAATGTTTTAATTATTTTATTATTTACATTACAGCGAAGATGAAACATCTTTGGCCGTTGGTGGCGTGGATTCTCCTGTCCTCGTGTCCGGTAAGATGAGAAACATTATTCAACAAGTCATAAAATAAAAGTAAATGTGTCTAGACTTTAACTAAGCATCAGCAACTTGATGAATAAAATTGAAAATAAATTGAAAACTGGGCTTTACGCACTTGTGACATAATATACAGTTGACTTTCGATAGTTGCAATGTAAAGGGGCTGTAGAAGTTTAAACCATGAATTGTGGAGCTTCCCCACTTCGTGGCCACTGTCGATGCAAGTTCTCAGAAAATATGAAATAAAATTATTTGCACTTCTGTGTTTACATTCGGCGGATAATAGAAGTGGAGAAGACGGCCGGGAGTGGGGGTAACGCACGCCTACCTGAAAAAGGGATGAGGGGAAGGCGTTACAATTATCTCCCTTATTCATTGAAAAATGGATACGTAACGTAATTCTCGGAATTTTATTCCCTAAAAAACCCATTAATTTGTCCAGGTGGATTCCATCAAAGGAATCGGACGTGGGTCGAGACGGGAGGTATTCTTTCTAAATCTTGAGGACGGATATTTCGGTTGTCAAGTCAACGCATCGACAGATATTCTACAATTGTTGGAACTGTCGAGACTGTGTGACGGAAAAAACGATTGTTACCAGGGGGCTGACGAAGCCCGGGCTACACTCAAGTGCACAGGTACGTCTCAAGTATCTAAAAATTTTTCTTGTAATGCAATTCCCCCCCCCCCTTGTTGTTAAGAAAAACGCTAAAAAGCATTGTTAGAACAAATCTCAGCTCTCGACATTATAACAAATATCGCGTGACAGCAGCATGAGAACCCAAAAGACACTTCAAGTCGATGAACACGAGAACGGGGTAAGGAGGTTCATATGAAAAAAATCTTGTAAAAAGAGCCACTGACGAGAACGCATTAGCTCCACCATCGGTTTATACTCTACCATCGTCTTTTTTTTTTTCAACTTGTATTACTTCTTCCGCGTGGGCACCTAGTGTTACCGTTATGATACGTCTCTCATCACGCAGTTTGTGATCCACCAGTCACGCACACATTCCGGATATTTTTCCATTCTTCCTTATTATTAACCAGTTTTGTACTGCTATGTGTCGACAACTTTATCTTGTCAATTGTGATTTCAAGTGAGGAATTGAGATTTTTTTTGCCTCTTTTAGATGACTGTACAAAAGATGATGGCACTAAATGCCAGAATGGGGTGTGCCTTGACTCAGTGTGCCACTGCAATGATGGCTTTGGCGGGTGCAATTGTCAAGTGCCAGGTGCGTAAATTTATCAGTTCATTTAAAAATGATAAAGTTGAAAAAAAACATTTCTCTTGAAATTAATGTTCATGTGAAATTGTCAATTTTTTTACAACTTCACCACTGAATTGCTATCCATTTTCGTTCCTTCGTAATAAAAAAATACCGTTGGGACATTTCACATCTGGAAAATGATATAAAACCACTGTAGTATCGTAAAACCATAGCAACAATTTTAAATCATCTCCGCGTTATTCTCGTAGAAGAGAAAAACATGGGAATTCTTTGATTGGAAAAATAAATAAAACCAAGTGAAATGGTTTTTCAGATGAAAACGAGTGTAAGTACAGGCCCTGTGATATTTTTGCCCACTGTACGAACACCCTCGGCGGCTTCCACTGCTCCTGTTACCCTGGCTATAGCGGTGATGGCTTCAGCTGCGAAGGTAAATCTGAAAGAAAAGAAAATTGAGATAAGATATAAAAATTCAACTGAAATATTTCATACTTCCTTATTGTCTCCATTTTACTCACAACCCAGAATTTCCCAGTAACCGTTTGACTAACGGTGGTTATACATACATAATCCTAACATGTATATATTTTTATCCTTTCAACAGATATAAATGAATGTGAAGACCCAGCGTTGGCAGCACGATGCGTTGAGAATGCTGAATGTTGTAATTTACCGACAAATTTTCTTTGTAAATGTAAGCCAGGCTTTACCGGTGACGGTGAGGTACATTGCGAGGATGTTGACGAGTGTCAATATGAACGAACATGCGGTGATAATGCATATTGTCATAATACTATTGGCAATTTTACGTGCAATTGTCATGAAGGATTTACGGGTAATCCATACAAAAGTGTAAGTTTTTCTATCGTTCGATGCTAAGATGTTTGACAAGAGTTGTGGTGAAACAAGATGAATGAACTTCAAACACATTATCATCGTCAATATCATTTGAATGAACATCATTAATAATTTTCCATAAAATCAGAAAAAAATTCGAATTGTTCGGTCAAAGGTAATTAAGCCGTCAAGGTATTTAGAAGTGAATTGGGATAAAAAATGTGGGAATTCGGTAAAGGGTAAATGGGTGTTGTAACGTATAACACTCGGAATTGATATATATCGAATTAGATTTATTCACAGCAAATGTAACTTTGGCGCACACCATGAGAGCTGGAACGAGCGTGTGCTCTCGCGACAACGGCATTAATCATCCGATCGAGGATGTCTGAATTATTACGAATCGTCGCGAGGAGCCGTGGTAAGGTATTCGGTTGTTAAGCCAAGCCCGAACACAATACATTGAAATAATTAGAAATAAATATACAAGTAGCTTCGCTACAAAAAATACTTGAAACAAGTTATTTTGTTTCTGTTTTGAACGAAACGATGAAATACTAATTTGCGAAAAATGGCCGGAGGTTGCATTTGAACCCAAGACCCTTAGGTCGCCAGACTGAGCCTTTACACACTTGGCTGTCGACTGAGTATATAAAATCATTCGACGAATTTCATCTCGTTTGACCCCAACTTTCTCCTCCCCTTAACTCTTACCCATGCTAATATTATTTGTTTATTCAAGTGCGAAGACATAAACGAATGCGCGTATGAGAACGCCTGTGGCCCGAACGCCCATTGCATAAATCTCCCAGGTGCGCATCGTTGCGAGTGTCCTGAGGGCTTTGAGGGTAGCCCAGAGGCTGGTTGCATCGATGTTAACGAATGTGCAAGAAGTCCTTGTGGACGTTCTGCATTATGTACGAATCTCGAGGGTAGCTTCAGGTGCTCATGTCCTGATGGAATGGACGGCGATCCCTTCGGCGGTTGCCACGGTATTTATTCCATAATTATCCCGCCAATATCATGCTTTCTCATTAAATCAGAATTAATTGCCTGAATAATCAATCAATAATGACGATTTTATTCAACTAAAACATAATGCCCAGACATCAACGAGTGCGAGCTGAGCAATCCCTGTGGGAAAGACTCCCAATGTGTTAACAAAGAAGGCGGTTTTGAGTGTCAATGTCTCCAGGGATACCAGAAAGATCCGATTTTAGGTTGCGTTGATGTTAACGAATGCTCCAGAGACAATGCCTGCGCTGCAAATGCCAAATGCATAAATATTCCTGGGTCTTACAAGTGTATTTGTCCTCAGGGCTTCGTCGGACAGGGGCTCATTCACTGCGAGAGTCAGTAACACCGTTAACAATTAAAAATATAATCACCCATTAATGATGATCACTCATCTCTAACGAATTAATCTATTAACAGATGTTAACGAATGTAAGAAAAATCCGTGCGGCGAGAATGCCGAGTGCGTGGATACTCTGGGAAGTTTCATATGCAGATGTAAACAAGATTACACTGGAGATCCGTTCAATAAGTGCACTGGTTAGGCTAACATTAAATTCTAATATCCTAGAGTACTGATGTGATTGTGATTTTATCAATACCCTCAATTTATGTCCCATCCTGATATTTATTATTGATTATTAGATATCGACGAATGTAATGTGCTAGAGAATCCCTGCGGAGTGAACGCTATTTGCAAGAATGCTGTGCCTGGTTACAGCTGCGAATGTCCACCGGGATATTCTGGAAATCCAAATCCAACTGTTGCTTGTGATCAGGTGAATAATCAAAAAATAGCAACAATAATATATTTTTCACTTCTTTAATTTTTGACAGTCATTAAATTTCTTTCTAAAAATGACGGAGACCCATAGAAAATGAGTTACCATATTCAATACCACATTTATTGTTGATTGATTCAGGGAAATTGAGAAGAAAATTATAAATGAAAGAGGGCGTCAAATCCTTGTTAACCTTTTTGTAAGACGCGCTGTAATTGTAACAATCATAATTGAAAATCTCAAAATTAAATTAATCATGAATTAAATTTGCCGCCTCAGAAGACTGGAACTAATGAGGAATAAGCGTGAGAGACTTGCGAGATGTCGATAGTTATCGATTTTAAGTGTATGTTCTTTTTAGAATAGGATTCAACACCAATTCAGAATTTTTCTACAGTCACTCTGTGGGTTTTTTTCAAGTTGAAAATATGGGGACAATTCCATCTGTTGTGCCGCCAATCACGCAACCACAAATTCAATATTTCAGACTGACGTAACAACCCTCTGCAAATCGAATTTCGACTGCGTCAACAATGCCGAATGCATCGAGGGTCAGTGTTTCTGCAAGGACGGTTTCAAGGCCAGTGGTGCTGAGTGCGTGGACCTCAACGAGTGCACAACAAATCCCTGTGGTCCATCATCGGTATGCACAAATACCCGAGGAAGTTATCACTGCGCCTGTGAGACCGGTTTCATCGGTACACCGCCACATGTACCATGCAAAGGTATACATTAAAATAAATAAATATTCTTATTTTTTAAGGTTCACCTTATAAACCATGATACGCACATTCTCCCCTCTGGACATATTTCCAAGTGTAAGATCCTGAGAAGTTGATAACAGTTGGGGCTGGTTATGAGGAAGTTGTAAAGTCTTTCCTTATTTCACTGTGTTGGAACCAGGCGTATTAAAATAATAGTCCTTCATGGATGTTAAATGTATGATGGGTCATATTCTCGACACCCATCAGTATAACGATTTTTTACCCTCGTAGAAAGTAAATTAAGTGGGTAGTTTTAGCCTTACGTGTGATAAAATAAGCCCATCCATAACTTTCATTATGACGAGTTTTAATTCTCCTACAACCAACCATTTACAGCTCCATGCGATGATGTAACATGTGGTGAGCACGCATACTGCAAGCCCGATGGTCATGAAGCCTACTGCATCTGCGAGGATGGCTGGACATTTAATCCAAATGACATATCAGCTGGTTGTGTTGGTAAGTATAAAAATAAAATATCATCATCACCATCCAATTTACCCGTGCTACCCCATAAATTACAGATATAAATGAGTGCGACGCTGTAAATGGTCCCTCAGGACGTTGTGGTAGAAATGCAATATGCACTAATACACCTGGAGGTTTTACGTGTCAGTGTAAATCTGGCTACTCGGGCAATGCATTCAAGCAGTGCATTGGTACGTATTTACCCACAATCTCCATTAAACCTTGAGGATTAAAAATCATGATAAAAAAGAAAGACCAGTGATTAATGCTTGCGGTTTGTTTTTAAGATGTGGATGAATGTACGAGGGGAAACGCCTGTGGTCATGGTGCTAGTTGTACCAATACCGAGGGTGGTTACAATTGTGCATGTCCTGAAGGCACCATACCAGATCCTGATCCATACATCAAGTGTGTCGGTGTTGTTACCTGTGAATTAGATGCTGATTGCCCTGGTAATGCCATCTGTGATCCGCAAAAGAGGTGCCTGTGTCCAGAGCCCAACGTTGGAAATGATTGCCGACGTGAGTTTTTCTTCATTACATCAATTACATTGGAAATATTATCGTTCGGGAATTGGGGAGGGGGTGGTCAGGAAATACAACAATCACCAGCATAAATAAAGTCCTTATACTCCAGAAAATATTGTTCATAAGGTTTATTCGCTTGTCGGCAGTAAACGGTCGGCTGATCGTGATATTTGGGATTACGAATATCGCACCAAAAGAGAAATGGAGAATACCTTACTTCAATGTATTTTTTATTTTATTCACATTTCTTGCCTCTCTCCCTTCTCTCTTCTGATTTTTATCTGCGTTACCATGGGCCGTCTTACTCTTAACTGTACCCCATTCGGGCTAGGACTGCACGGGAAACCATGGAAAGCCCCAGTCGTACAGCCGGGCGATTGTGCAGAGCCCTAATGTGCCCTTCTGTCACACTGACTAGAATGGCACATTAGGTCACTACACCGTGCCTACCTTCCGAAAATTTTTAGGCGAGGGTGTTCCTAAGCGATCACCCATCCAAGTACTAACCGCGCTAAACGCAGCTGCACTCGGATGTCCGCCGAAGCAACACCTAACTCACCCAACCATTACGGTCGGCTACTTCAATGTATTTTGGAGAAATTAAAATGTATCAAAATAAGATGACGCATGACGTATGGAGGACGAGGCGGAGATATGTCGAAGCCCACCGAGGCACAGTCAAACGTGTTGAGGGTGGGCTCGTCAAAATAGCATAACAATATTTAAAAAAATCGTTTTTCAATCGTTTTCAGATCCTTGCGAAGACGTGCTTTGTGGTCCGAATGCCCACTGCATGCTTCTAAACGACATTGCTACATGCCTCTGCAGCAATGGCTTCACAGGAAAACCCGGCATCAAGGGTGGCTGCACAGACATCGACGAGTGCGCTGGTAATCCATGCCCACCAGGTGCTATTTGCAACAATGAAGCAGGGGCATTCTCTTGTCAATGCCCGAGTGGAACGACTGGTGATCCCTACATCAGTGGCTGTCAAAAATCCGATCTACCTCATATATGTGGACCGAGTACACCTTGCCCAGCTGGAGAACAGTGTATAAAGGATGAATTTATTGGCAACAGTGTTTGCATTTGCCAGAGAGGATACACTCGTGATCATGAAACTGGTAAATGCAGAGATATTAATGAGTGCATGGAACACAGGGATAAACCAGCGTGTGGTATTAATGCTATCTGCAAGAATTTGCCGGGAAGTTATGAATGCCAGTGCCCAGCTGGATTCAACGGAAATCCATTTACTCTCTGTGAAGGTAAGAACAATTTTTTTTTTCATAAAAGAGTACTTATTATTGCCCCAACCATTAGTCGAATGTAGGATGTCTTTTTTCCAATAAAATCAACAAAAAATAAGATGAATAAAAATGAATGGATTTCAACTCGACTGATTTCCACAGGATCTGATAGAGTGATTAAAACTTTTGAATTGGAAAATTTAATGTCTGATTTCAGAATGCAATACGATCGAATGTCAATGCCAACCCCCGTACAAACTGGTAGACGGCAAATGTATGCTAGCTGGTTGTTCAAAAGGCGAGTCCTGTCCAACCGGTGCTGAATGTATCACAATAGCCGGTGGAGTTAGTTATTGCGCCTGTCCAAAGGGCTACAGCACCCGTCCCGATGGCTCCTGCGAGGATATTAACGAGTGCATCGAAGGCCGTCAAGTCTGTGGTTACGGAGCTGAGTGTATAAACATCCCTGGATCACATCAATGCACATGTCCCCACGGTTACGGTGGAGATCCATACAGTGGATTGTGCTCACCCGCCCAGAAACGTTGCACGAGTGATGCCGAATGCCGAGCCAATGAGAAATGCGTCCAGCCTGGAGAATGCGTCTGTCCTCCGCCATTCTATACAGATCCATTGGATGGAAATCAGTGCAAAAATCCATGCGATCGTTTCCCTTGTGGTATGAATGCCAAATGCACCCCCAGTGATCCACCGAAATGCATGTGTGAGACTGGTTACGAGGGAGATCCTCAGCATGGCTGTGTCGATGTCAACGAGTGTGCTGATAATCCCTGTGGGCATGGTGCATATTGCATTAACAACCGAGGTGGTCACATTTGCGAATGTCCACGAGGTACTGTGGGCGATCCTTACGGTGGAGGATGCACTGGTGCCATTCAACCACGCCAGGAGTGCTCCAGCAATCACGAGTGCGATAATTATCTGGCTTGTGTCCAAGGAAGCTGTGTCAATCCCTGTGATAATGTACCATGCGGACCCAATGCCTATTGTGAGCCCGATAAACATGCCCCTTGGTGTCGATGTGTTGTTGGCTTCACAGAGGGAAGGAACAATGAGTGTGTCTCACAGTGCGATGGCTTTGTATGTGGTGCTGGGGCCCAGTGTATCGTCTCCTATGACGGCCCAACGTGCAAATGTATCGAGGGTTTCATGGGTAATCCATTTCCAGGTGGTCAGTGTGCACCTGACGTGTGTTCACAGGATGTGCCGTGTCTTGAGCCAAGTGTTTGTATCAGTGGTCGTTGTAAACATCGTTGTGAGGGTGTTACTTGTGGTATTGGTGCTACATGTGATCCTCAGACTAATAAGTGTGTTTGTAATCCTTACTTCGTTGGTAATCCAGATCTACTCTGCATGCCGCCAATTGAGCCACCAAAATGTCTACCAGACTGCGGGGCTAATGCACACTGTGAGTATGATTTTCCTGAATTTAAATGTATCTGCAATCCTGGTACCACGGGAAATCCTTATCAGGGTTGTGGTGCTCAGAAGAAATCTGAGTGTACAACATCCACTTGTGGAATTGACGCCCATTGCCATGCTAGTCCTCACGCGGTTGAATGCCTTTGTCCACCTGGTTATGCTGGTAACCCGTATATTCAGTGTCATGACATTAATGAGTGTAATGGGAATGCCTGTGGGGCCCATGCTGTTTGTATCAACACCATTGGGAGCTACGATTGTAGGTGTAAAGAGAACTTCTTTGGAAATCCTTTCATCGGATGTTCCGCGGTTCAAGCTGGCCCTTGTAGCGATCCCTCGACTTGTCAATGTAGCATCGATATCCCCTGTCCTATGGATTACACATGCGTGGGTGGGAAGTGTATTAATAAGTGTCATGACGTCAAATGTGGGCCTAAAAGCGTCTGTCAGGATGGCAATTGCATCTGCCCCTCTGGCTACACCGGAAATCCTAATGACTCTGATGGATGTCATCTTATTGGCCATTGCTCGAACGATTTCGATTGCCAACCCCAGCAGATTTGCTTCCAAATAGGGAAGGGAGTACGAAAATGTGTGGATGCATGCTCTAAGCTTCAATGTGGACCAAATGCTCTCTGCGTCACTCAACATCATGTCTCCTCTTGTCTGTGTGTTGACGGATACTTTGGGAATCCCAGTAATCTCATTGACGGATGTATACCGCATCGATCTGTCACTGTTGAACGCTGCACGCATAACACTGACTGTCCAGTTGGTCACATATGTCTGCTGGACGATGGTATCCATCAGTGTGTAAATCCCTGTCGAAGTGTGGTGTGCGGGGCTCACCAGAAGTGCGTGGCTGACGCTTCAGGTCACACCTGCAAGTGTGAGGATAGTTACGAGTGGAATCCCCTGTCATCCAGCTGTGAGAAGCCCTCGGTACCCGACTGCATCCACGACTCCGACTGTCATTCAAAAGCAGCTTGTCGACCTGATGCTCTAGGTGTCCTCAAATGCATTCCAATCTGCGAAACCTTTAACTGTGCTCCGAACGCTCAATGTATCGCCAGTAATCATCAGGGTACCTGTGAGTGTCTGGCAGGATTCTCGGGAAATCCAAATGACCGGAGGGGCTGTCAGAGTTCCCGCCAGAACAGATGTACCACGGACTCTGAATGTTCTGAAGATCAAGCTTGTAGATCGTCCGGTGACACTTTGATTTGTCTGCCAGTCTGTACCTTTGTTACTTGCGGACCAAATGCACTTTGTGTCGTCAATAATCACGAAGCTCACTGCGAGTGCCCGCCAGGATTGTACGCAGGTGACCCAAACAACTCGACAAATGGCTGCAAGGAAGTGCCATGTGTCTACAATATCGATTGCCCACCAACACAACTCTGCAATCGCTTGACCCACACATGTCACAACGTCTGTAATGAACACTCCTGTGGAACAAATGCCGTTTGCATCGCTGATGATCATCGGGCGATATGTCAATGTCCTCCTGGTTTCAAACCGAATCCAGTAGCTGATGTTGGCTGCGCAGCAGTGGAGGCATGCAATCCAAATCCCTGTCATCCAACTGCCGTCTGTGTCGTTGGGGCTAAGGATTCACCTGTCTGCCAATGTCAACCAGGACAAGTTGGCGATCCTTACGAAGCTGGCTGTATCCCAGAAGGATCCTGTCGCAGCGATAAAGATTGCCCTGTTCACGCAATCTGTCAGAATCATAGATGTTTCAATCCCTGTGAAAACGCTTGCGGACCAAATTCCATCTGTCAAATCGTCAACGGTGAGACGAGCTGCAAATGTATCCACCGCTTTGTTTCGTCTGTCGAAGGCCCTCAGCATGGCTGCGTTAGAAGTAGCACCTACTGTTCATCATCAGCTGATTGTCCTGATAGCAATTGCCTCGATGGACAGTGCAAAGCGGTCTGCAGATCCATAGATGACTGTGCGGTTGGTGAGAAATGCGTCAACAGTATCTGTGTCATTCCTTGCGTCACCCCCAGTCAATGCCAATCGGATCAGACTTGTCACAATGGAATCTGCACCCTCGGTTGTCGCAGTAATAAGAACTGCCCAGCCAATCAGTCCTGCATCAACAGCCGCTGTCAGAACCCCTGCGCGAAGGATAACGTGTGCGGACCAAACGCCATCTGCAGCTGCATCGATCACAGTACTCAATGCTTCTGTCTGGATGGCTTTCAGGGTAATCCAACCCCTCAACAGGGCTGCGTCAGGGTGCCGAATGTCTGCTCAACAGATCATGAATGCCCCGCGCAACATCAATGCACCTCAGGCTTCTGCCAATGCACATGTACATCGAAAGCCAACTGTGCACATGGGGAAAGATGCAAGAATGGCTTCTGCATCAAAGTTTGTTATGGAAACGGTAATTGTCTTCCTGGCGAGCATTGCGTCGATGGCACGTGTGAATTAGGCTGCACGTCTGACACTGGATGCCGAACTGATGAAGTCTGTATCAACGGCAAGTGTCGCTGCAGTCATGGGTTCATTTCCGGTGGGGAGAAGTGCATCGATGTTAACGAATGCAATGAGCATCCCTGTCATCCATCAGCTGAATGCGTCAATCTTCATGGGAGTTATCGATGTGTTTGTCCCCCTGACACGGCTGGAGATCCCGTTGGAACTGGTTGTCTGACCCCCAATCAGTGTAAAGATAACAATGACTGCATAGATTCCCAGGAATGTGTTGATCATACTTGTATCGATCCATGTTCGATCGTTGATTGTGGAGAAAACACCATATGTTCTGTAATCGATCATCAAGCGGGTTGTCAATGCCAACCAGGATTCATCGGAGATGCCTCGGGCTGCTTCAAAGTCGAATGTCTAACTGATAATGATTGCCCGAGTGACAAATACTGTAACAGAGAGAGCAATAAGTGCTCCAGCCCCTGCAATAGAATCAACTGCGGCTATGGAAATTGCGTGGCGGTAGCCCATAATGCTGTATGCAAGTGTCACCCAGGATTCGAACTAGTCGGCGATATCTGCGTGGATATTGACGAATGCCTTCATCACCCCTGCCACCCGAGCGCCATCTGTCATAACACAGAGGGTGCGTACACATGCACATGCCCTCGGGGACTTGTCGGGGATCCAGTGGACATCGGCTGTAAAAAGCCAGGCGATTGTTTCAGTGACTCCGACTGTCCAACAACGGCCACCTGCGTCGATAATACCTGCAGAAACCCGTGTGATGTTTCCGCGCAGCATAAGCCGTGCGGCCGCAATGCGGAGTGTCACGTGCGGAATCATATCGTTCAATGCCGATGTCCGGGACAGAGTAAGGGGAATCCCAAAGTCGAATGTGTCAAGAACGAATGCAATTATCACAGCGACTGTGCGCCATCTAACGCCTGTTTCGATCATAAATGCGTGGATCCATGTTCAGTCCCAAATGTCTGCGGTCACGGAGCTGATTGTTCACCCCTGAATCATTCCGCTGTCTGTACATGCCACCCAGGTGGCACTGGTGATCCGAACCTCGGTTGCACACCTGTTCAATACTGCAAGACTGATAGCCAATGCCCCACTGGGGCCTCCTGCAACGGAGGAATCTGCACATCTCTGTGTACAACAGTCAGAGATTGCATTGCCGATCAGTTGTGTATCAATGGACTATGCCGACCAACGTGTAAATCCAATTCCACGTGTCCGGAGTATCAATTCTGTCAGAATAACATCTGTGTTCAAGAATTCCGGTGCAACGAAGATCACGACTGCGGTTACGATGAGAAATGCATCAAGAATAATTTAGGACAGGCCGAGTGCAAATCTTCCTGCGATCTCATTCTCTGCGGAAGGAATGCTCAGTGCAAGTCTGATAATCATAAGGCGACGTGTGCCTGCGATCACGGCTTCTTCGGTGATGCTTATGACGACAAGATGGGATGTCAACCGATAGAATGTGAGACTCATGATCAATGCTCAGACGAGAAAATTTGTGATCATCATAAGTGTAGAATCGCTTGTCTGGCGCATAATCCATGCGGTGTGAATGCGATCTGCACAGCTCGTCATCACGATCAATTGTGCACCTGTCAACCAGGCTTCACTGGAGAGCCGACTCAGGGCTGTCATCTGATCGATTTCTGCGCAACATCTCCATGCGCTCCAGGAGCAGTTTGTACCAATTCTCGTGGATCGTATAAATGTCATTGTCAAACCGGTACTGTTGGAGACGCTTATAACAGTGGATGTCAGATTCCAGTGGAGTGCCTGGAGGACACAGACTGTCCGTTGACAGCTAAATGCATTGAAATAAATGGAATCCCTAAATGTGCAGACGTCTGTTCAAGAATCAATTGCGGTCCGAATTCTGAATGCACCGCAACGGATCATGCAGGTACTTGCAGATGTCGTCCGGAGTACGAGGGTGATGCCAATGACCTTCGTATTGGATGCAGACCGCAACCAGTTGCCTGCTCCCACTCTCGCGAATGTCCTGTCAACACCTATTGCTACGAAAACGTATGTCGACCTTCATGTCAATCAGATGAAGAGTGCAATCTGTCAGACAGATGCCTGAACGGCCAGTGCTTGGATCCTTGCGATGTCAGAGCTGCCTGTGGTATTAATGCCGATTGTCGGGTGATCAGTCATATCAAGAGCTGCAGTTGTCCTCCGGGCTTCACAGGTAATTCGGAGATTGAATGCGTGAGGTTGCCAGTCTCTTGTCATGGCCACGAGGACTGCAGCCACGGAAACACCTGCAGGGATAATGTCTGCTTACCAGTCTGTTCATCTGATAATGAATGTGCATTTAATGAAAAGTGCGTCAGAGGTAACTGTCTCCTGACCTGCCGCCTCGATAACGATTGCTTCTTGGGACACATTTGCCTGAACAACATGTGCTCTTACGGTTGTCGGGCTGATGAGGACTGCAATGCCAACGAGGCATGTTCTAGTAACAAATGTGTCAATCCTTGTGAAGCCACACCATGTGGTCCAAACGCCAAGTGCACTGTCATCAATCAGAGAGCATCTTGCGCATGTCCCAATGGATTTATCCCCAATCCATCAGCTAGAATCGCTTGTTCCAGATCTCCAGGGCCATTATGTGAAACGAATAGAGACTGCATAGCAGGTATGGCTTGTGTCGCAGGCACCTGTTCACCAGTATGCTCCTCAGATGCCAATTGTCTGAGCAATGAACGCTGTGACGCTGCAGGAATATGTAAATCCTTGTGTAGACAAGACGAGGATTGCAGGAGTGGTGAAATTTGCGAGGGTTTGGTCTGTAGTATTGGATGTCGAGCTGATTTAGAATGTCCCTTGAACCTCGCTTGCATCAATAACCAATGCATCAATCCCTGCACTGTCCCAGACTGCTGCGGCACGAATGCTGATTGCAGTGTGTTCAACCACCAGAAACAATGCAGTTGTCCTCCACCACTCCTAGGTGATCCTCTAATCGGTTGTCGTAGAAACTTCGTTTCATGTTCGACTGAAGTTTCCTGTCAACGAGGCCACGTATGCTACGGTCACGTCTGCTTTGCCGCTTGCCGAAGTGACGAAGATTGTTTGAATGACGAACGCTGCGATACCGGCGTCTGCAAATCCATCTGCAACACCGACGATCATTGCTCGACAAATCAGATATGTGAGAACCGTATTTGTGAATTGGGCTGCAGAAGCGATCTCTCATGCCCCAACAATGAAGCATGTGTCAATAATAGGTGTCATAATCCATGTGAAGGTGGCAAAGCTTGTGGAGAATGCGCGGGCTGCAGGGTTGTTGACCATGACGCCCAGTGCAGCTGTCCTCCTAATTACTATGGCAATGCTCTCGTCAGTTGTACGAAGTCAATGATTCCGTGTGATGGCACTTGCGAATGTGATGAGACAGGTTTCTGCGTCAAGAGTTGTGGTACTAACGATCATTGCTCATGCGGGGAGATTTGCGATGGGGGAAAGTGCAGGGTTAAGTGTGACTCCAATAACTCATGTGTCAAAGGCTATATTTGTGCCAATGGTATGTGCATCACTGGGTGTCGTACGCATTCTGATTGTCCAGCATCGTTGTCTTGCACCAATGGACGATGTGAAGATCCTTGCTTAGTCGGGGGATTCCCCTGCGGTATCAACGCCCTCTGCAGGGTCTCTAGTCATCGAGCAGTTTGTCTGTGCCCCGAGGGGTATCAAGGCGAGCCCAGTCAGGAGTGCTATCAACTAGAGTGTCACAGAAACGAGGATTGCGATCCCAATAAGCAATGCAGTGAGAACGGAGTCTGCACTAATCCTTGTCTTCAACATGGCGCTTGTGGGTTCAATGCTCAGTGTCGGGTTGTTGATCGTCATGCCCAGTGCTCTTGCCCACCTGGACACTACGGAAATCCATTGGTCAACTGCAAACCAGGTAATTAATGAATTCTCCACAGCCTTCTTCATCTATCTATCGTCTATCCAACTCCATGATCTTCTTCTTCTTCTTCTTCGCTTCTTCGTCTTTAATAGGAGGTGATGAGTGCCTACGAAGACCTTGCGGCATCAATGCCAAGTGCCGTGAGACGACCAATGGTTTCGAGTGCACATGTGCACCCGGATGTTACGGCGATCCTCATCAAGTATGCGTATGCAAAGATGAAGATTTGTGTCGTGATACCAGTTGCGGAGTCAATGCTGCCTGCAGAATTTACCGAAAACAACCTCAATGTTATTGCCCTCCAGAGTTTCCCTCCGGTGATCCCCTCCATGCTTGTATGTTGATTGACCAATCGTTATGACGTCCAGATCATTAGGGAGTGTCCATCAATCACGCGATGTAGTTTCTTATGGATGAAGGATCAATAAGTTGAGATACAGAAGAAAATAGAGAGGTCTTGGGAGTAGAGACAAACGATTGAAATTGTTAACCAAAAGGCAATAGAAACATCTGAAAGATGGCTTAAAATTTTTTATCCTTTTATAGAAAGCGGATGAAACTAGTTAAGGGTGATTTAAAGAAGATGAATAATTTCAAGAAATGGTTAAAAGTACGAGATGGGGACGCCGGGGTATTCAAGCAAGATGGCACCCACAGCTGTCAACCACCTCGTATCTTTGAACATTTCTTAAACGCATTTATCCTTTTTAAATCAACTTCAACTTGTTTCGCCCAGTTCCTAGAGAAGGAACAAATTTTTTAAGTCTTTCCGTATTTTTTTCCTCAGCTTCAAGACATTTCAAGTCAACCTTCTCTCCTCTCTAAAATATCACGTGATTAATGGACGTCTCCATTACGGAATGTTCTTGCATGAATTCTAAATGATTTCAACATCATAGGTAGCTCCGATAAAAGTGCACTTGACTGTCGCACAACGGGCTGCGGAAAAGGGGCTGAATGCATCCGCGATGGCCCTATTTTTGTCTGCAGATGTCCCCCTGGCAGCGCTGGCTCCCCCGATTCCGAGTGTAAAATAGGTAAGTGGTGTCTGAATGTCACTAACTCAATAACAAATTTCCAATTTGATAATCATTTTTGTACAGTACTCATCGTAACTAGAATTTTGATTTAATTCCGAAACTGAAAATTCAACATTAAAAAAAATGTAGTGTATTTATTTATTTGAATGTTTTAGTTTTCTCACGTAGAGATATGTTTTATTGAGTGATTATTAATACAGTGGAGTTCCATTAACACTGAGAGACAGATGTGACTCCCTGGGTGATGCAATCACCCGAGATTAATTTTTATACGGGTTTATAAATTTTTGCTCCTTCGAGAATGAGTTATTGTATATATTTTATCTTTCGTGTTTTGTACATAGTGTTTTTTACACAGTCATGCGTGTCTCACATATAACCGGGTATGAAGAGCGTTCGCACGATGCCATCAATTTTTCATGCTCATCTGAGAGCAATCACTTCGATTTTCCAGTCATTGACATCATCTTATCATTAATTTGTTGTAATAAAATTGATGGAATCGGTGAAGACTCGGCATATACACCACATGCTTGAAAACAAAATCTACAAAGACCGGTGATCTATAAGGGGTTTAGGGCTTTATTTCTCTCGAAATGATTTATCCATGAAAATTTCTCAACCCCAAAATTTCTCCAATGAAATTGTTTGTTCATTTCTCCTTGTTTTCTTACTCTTTCATAATCGAAATTGATAATTGCCCATTAGTTATTGTGAGAAATTTTTGGGAAGAAATTGGAGAAGAAAAATTGCGAGAAATATCACCTGGATGCCCTTCACAATAGTATATCCCAAAAATATATATACATTTTCATTTCCTCCTTATACATTATTTCCAAGTCTGTCTCGTTGGGGCTTGTGTTGTAAATATACGCCTGGCTATTGCTACTGAGGAAACAATCGGCCCATAATTCAAAATAATTTGTGCAAATCACTTGCGAGAAAAAAACTTTCTCACCCCTTCATTCCCAATCGAATGAAGACTCAAAAAAACACAAAAGCATGCGGTTTGATGTTATCTGTGAGAAAGTGTTCCATGCAATAATATAAATATTTTCTCTAGAAAAAAAACACCAACATCACGTTTCTCATAAATGCTTTTTTCTTTTTTCCTGTTCCCCCGCCCCTCTACAATGCACAAAAAAAAATGAAAACACAAAAAAAAAATCCAAAAGAGAGAGAATGCACGAGTGACTCGGAGTGTCCGAACGAGAAGGCCTGTATAAACCTCCAGTGTTTGGATCCCTGCGCACTGCGTGGTGCCTGTGGCAAGAATGCCCTGTGCCGTGTTATACTCCACAAACCCCGATGTACATGCCCGCAGTGTTACGTTGGTTCACCCCAGACCTCATGCAGACCAGTACCAAAATGCCAATCACCCAATCCACCTGAAAAAATACCAATAGATTGTACAACCGACACAGACTGTCCAGAGAGTCTCTCATGCCATGGTAAAACTGGTGAATGCCGTGATCCATGCATAACAGCTGGCAATTACAATTGTGAATCAAATAAACGTTGTCAAGTACGTGATCACCGTCCAATGTGTGTTTGTAAACACGGATTTGTGGTCAATGACATTGGTGAATTGACATGTGCCCCTGAAACATCATCATGCGCACGTGATGTTGATTGTCCATCGAATGCTGCATGCATACACAGCAAATGTCAAAATCCATGTATCAATGGTAGAAGTAGAAATGGTCCATGCACTGATGGAAAAATATGCGATGTACTTGATCATCGTCCTATATGTATTTGCACAAAAAATTGTAATCCCACATTGTCAATTTGTCTTCGTGATAACGGCTGCTCAACAGACATGGCATGCCGCAATTATAGATGTATGGATCCGTGCAGCATTGCCAACTGTCCCGCTGATGCACCCTGTTACGTCGAGGAGCACAGGCCCGTCTGCAAGTTCTGTCCCCCTGGCTTCGTGCCCGATTCTAAATACGGATGCATGAAAGGTAAAACATAATAAAACACACACACACACACACACACACACATACAATCGAAAACACATTTACACGCCATATAACAATCATAATCATCATCTGGATAAACCGATTAATGACGGACGGAAGAATTACAGACATTCACGTTATCATTATCATCATTACTTTGAGAAAAATAAAGCCAATGAACAAAATGACGGAGAGAACGATAGGAGATGAATTGAATAATCCTTGCCCGGGCGACTGTTTCTTCCTTCTTCTTTAGCCTTCTCGTTGCCTCTTGTCTCTGCATATCCAGACGTCAGAGTACGTATGGAATTTTCTTCAGCAAATTCTTATCAATGTGCAAATGTAGTTTGAGATGGGTGCTGTTCTCATTATTGGAAGGTTTTCTCGTTGTCTGAAGAGGCTTATTTCAGATATTACCATGTGCCGATGGATGAATTCTCTCTGACCCTGACTCCCCCCAATATGAATATTACGAATGCTGCTGAAACACTGAAGGATTCTATGTAGCCTTTTTCCATCTGGATGATTTGTCTATCTTCAACTCCATTGTTTATATCTTCCGTTACATCTGTCTCTATAAATCCTTATAATATTTAATTTATTCCATGTTTTTTGAATCGATAATATTATTAAGTTTACGCTTCTTGTCGATTAACGCAGATTTAAGGCATGATTGTAATGTGAATTTTAATAATTAGTTAGGTACATTTACAATGCGTTAAATATCCGCTTCGCTTCGAATTCTACTTTGTCCTAACTTACTTGTTCTTTATCTTTATTTATTGATAGTTGACTCCTCGGGACCTTCTTCATATCGAAGAAATCATTTACCCGTTAACGATAAATTCACGTCGACTTGTCATTTATTAGCAAGGAAATATCACAATTTTTTCGGTTGAACATTTCGAAATTTTAAGATTTTTAAATTATTGTTGATTCTGATAGACGTGAAATGCACAACGCACGACGAGTGTCCAGCACAGCTAGCCTGTATCGACGATCAGTGCTTGAATCCATGTACACTGGGCAATCCCTGTGACTACGTTGAAGATTGTCATGTGCAGGATCATCGACCAGTCTGTGTCAAGAGTAAGGAATTCATATATTTCTGCTCAGTCATCCGCCAATTTCGTTCTAAGGTAATCTTCAATGATTAAAATGAATTTTCAGACGATAAAACAGCGGGATGCGGCTACTGTCCATTGGGCCACGAATGCGATCCAATAACCAACACTTGTATCAAAGGTTTGTACCAACCCATCACTTGTACATACCCGCCAACTGTAAATAGGGAAAAATAAGTTCAAGAGCTTGTCGTGCACAAAATGTAATATTTTTATTGTGATATACACAAAGGAATGCTTAAACTCTGATGATCACTGTTCGAAGCCAACTCGAAGACGATATTTTATTCAAAGATTTATTTCATGTTTTCATCACACCTTTCATTATTTCTACCTTCGAGTTATGCACGGGGTCTATATGGGCACTTTCGCCTTTTTTTCTTTCCTATTTGTTTTGCATAGCCGGTTGTACGAGCGATCGCAACTGCGCACTCACGGAGACGTGTGTGGGTCACATATGCCAGGAGCCCTGTCTCATCAGGAATCCCTGTGTCGCTCACGCTGTCTGCATTAACACCAATCATGGGACTGACTGCAGTTGTGAGGAGGGATATCACGGAAATGGATTCAGCTTGTGTAAACCAGGTAATTGATGTTAAATTTCCATTTCTGAATAATATATGCAAAAAACACAAGGCGAATTTTTATTCTGCGGTTAATAATCTGTGGAATATAAATGAAAAAATTAGTAGTATTCAAAAATATATCCCATAGATGCCGATTGGCAACAAGAAATTTTGTGTCGTGAGCGGTACTCGCAATGGGAGTCACATCATTCCCTCTAATGAATTAATAATTCCATGATTTCAGTGTTGATTGGTGGTGACGTCTGCCAATACAACGAAGATTGTCCCCCCAACAAGTACTGCGACCGCTTGAACCGTCGCTGCATAAATCCCTGTGCAGAAGACAGTTGTGGTGAGAATGCTGAATGTTACGCGGAGAATCACGTTGCCCACTGCAGATGTCCACCAGGTACAGAAGGCAATCCTCAGGTCGCTTGTGAAGCCATCACCGGGCGTAATCCATGTGTCCCAAATCCATGTGGTTTCGACGCATTATGTGAGATTGACAATGGTGATCCCATCTGCTTCTGTCCAAAAGGTATGACTGGTAATCCATTCGAACATTGTATTCCTGAAGGCGATAAATGCCAAGGAAATCCTTGCGGTGTTAACTCTGGATGTCGCGTTGTCAATGGCCAAGTCAAGTGTTTCTGCTTACCGGGTTACGAAGGCAATCCTCCTAACACACTTTGCATATTACCGGAGAACCCGTGCGATCCATCGCCCTGTGGCCCGAATACAAGATGTAGTATTCGCGGGAAAGGCCTTGCCAAATGCACCTGTCTTCCTGGATTTATCGAGTCTCCAAACACCATTCGTGGTTGTGTAGAGCAAGTTAATCCTTGCGAGCCAAATCCATGCGGTCATGGAGCCATATGTGATGCCATCCGTCAACCACCGTGCTATTGCCCTGATAATACCATTGGAAATGCTTACAAGAGTTGCACAGAAGTCGCAATTATCCCTCTTTGCCAACCAGGCCCCTGCGGTGCTAATGCCGATTGTTACATCTCCGAAAATCGTGAGCAATGTTATTGTAGATATGGATTCATTGGTGATCCTTACGCTGGGTGTCATCAGCCCCCATCGAGCCCTTGCCAACCGAGTCCTTGCGGTCGAAATGCCATATGTCGTATCACAGATTCAGGTCAAGCAATCTGCGAGTGCGTACCAGGTACCTCTGGTGATCCAACAAGTCCATCTGGATGCGATAGTTTTGAATGCACAAAAGACGACGATTGTCTGCTATCGCTAGCCTGTATCGGACACACATGTCAAAACCCATGCCTCGGTGCTTGCGGTGTCAACGCGAATTGCCGAGTTGAGTTGCATCACCCAGTCTGCTTTTGTCGTGAGGGTCTCTTCGGGAACCCCATGTACAGGTGCTGTGAACCGATGGATCCAACACCACCGCAGACACCCTGCTATCCAAATCCCTGCGGGCAGAATACATTCTGTCGTGTTATGCAAGATCGAGCTGTTTGTTCGTGTTTGCCCGACTTTTTGGGTGATCCTCAGACAGGATGTCTTCCAGAATGTACCATCAACTCTGACTGTCCGAATGACAAAGCCTGTATCAACATGAAATGCACTAGTCCATGCGCTTTGGGAAATGTCTGTGGGGTCAATGCAGAGTGCCGAGTGTCTTATCATACAGCAACTTGCGTTTGCCACAGGAACTACTTCGGTAATCCCTTTATCATGTGTTCGAGAAAGCCAACCATTACGATACCTCCTCAGTCCAATATAACACTGCCTTGTCAACCTTCTCCATGCGGACAATACGACTACTGCGAGACATACAATGACAAAGTGGCAATGTGCGGTGGTTGTGATACTTATAATGCTGGATGTAGACCTGAGTGCCTTAGCAATAGCGATTGTCCCTTCGATCACGCCTGCATTGGATGGAAATGCGCTGATCCTTGTCTAGGGTCTTGCGGAATCAACGCCAATTGCGAAGTCATCTGGCACGAGCCTGTGTGCACATGCCCAATTGGACTCTTTGGAAATCCATATCAAGGCTGTATCCCTGAAGACGATCACCGAGATGCTTGCAGTGTATCACAATGTGGTGCCAATGCTGTCTGCAGAGAGAAGCAAGGAGCGATCACTTGTGAATGTCTTGAAGGCTTTCTGGGGAATCCATTCATCGCCTGTCATCTCGAATGTCTACAAAATTCTGATTGCGCTCTGAATACTGCCTGCGTGAATCACAAATGTATAGATCCGTGTGCTGGAGCATGTGGCAGCGGTGCTCTGTGTGACAGCGTTAATCATAATCCTGTTTGCTACTGCCCAGAGAGCATGTCTGGAGATCCATTCATTCATTGTTATCCACATACAGGAGTTATTCCGAGACCATCAAACCCTTGTGATCCATCCCCTTGCGGTCCTTACAGTAGATGCCTCGTCTCGCAAAACGGTTATGCATCTTGCTCATGTCAGCCTGAGTATCGAGGAAGCCCACCGTTCTGTAGTCCAGAGTGCATCGTGAGCTCTGATTGCCTCCAGATACAAGCCTGCATAAATAACAAGTGTGTCAACCCATGCAATGGAATTTGCGGACACAATGCGCTGTGTGTAGTCATAAATCATAATCCAGTATGCAGTTGTCCAGCTAATTACGAAGGAAACCCCTTCACTGAATGCGCCCCATTGGCAAAGGAGGACCCTCAGCCGGTGTCACCATGTCATCCGTCACCATGCGGGCCGAATTCCCTTTGTCAGATAAAGATGGGAAGACCCGTTTGTTCGTGTCAAAGTACATTCATCGGAAGTCCTCCGAATTGTCGTCCGGAATGTCTCATCAGTCAGGAATGTTCCATCAATGAAGCATGCATTGCTAATAAATGCATTCAGCCGTGTCCTCACAGTTGTGGACCTAACTCTGAGTGTATGGTTATCAATCACACACCATACTGCTCTTGCAAACTTGGTTTTGAGGGCGATGCATTCGTCGGATGTACCAGAGTGATTGAACAGCCACCTGAACCTGAAGATCCCTGCTCTCCATCACCTTGTGGCAATAATGCTCTATGTAATGTTGTAAAGGGAGCTGCCAAGTGCTCCTGCATACCCCCGTACATTGGTAATCCTTATGCTGGAGGGTGTAGACCCGAATGCATGATCAACTCCGATTGCGATAATCACCTGGCATGTCTCAATCAACACTGCAGGGACCCATGTCCTGGAATCTGTGGATTCAATGCTCAGTGTGAGGTGTCCAATCACATTCCAACTTGCTCATGCTTGCGGGGATTCTCTGGAGATCCATTCGTAAGTTGTAAAATTGAGAAGACTCCTGGGCCACCGCAGAATCCTTGTGCTCCATCGCCATGTGGACCATATAGTATCTGTCGGGTAGTGAATGAACGAGCTGTCTGCTCATGCAGCCCAGGATACCACGGACAGCCGCCGTCCTGCCGTCCAGAATGTCTCGTAAGTTCTGAATGTGCACCCCATCTTGCTTGTATCGGTCAGAAATGCAGTGATCCTTGTCAGGACATCTGTGGCTTGAACGCCCTCTGTCAAGTCACTAATCACAATCCCATATGCAGTTGTCCTGACAATTACGAGGGTGATCCCTTCGTCCATTGTGCTGAAGCGCCTAAAGTAGAACCTACGAATCCATGTGTTCCTTCCCCCTGTGGACCAAATTCTCAATGTCGTGTTCAGAAAGATCGTCCCGTGTGTTCTTGCTCGACTGGTATGTTCGGGGCACCACCAAACTGCCGACCAGAGTGTCTCATCAATCAAGACTGCCCGAATTACCTCGCTTGTGTTCAAAACTCCTGTTCAGATCCCTGCATCGGTTCTTGTGGCATAAATGCCAATTGTATTACGAGAAATCATCGTCCGATTTGTCAATGTCAGGATGGATACGAAGGTGATCCTTTTTCAGCGTGCAATCTTAAACCCATGCCTCCTGTAGAACCGCCGAGTGAGCCCTGCAATCCATCACCATGTGGCTCGAATGCCATTTGTAACGAGAGAAATGGAGCTGGATCTTGCACATGCCTGCCAGATTACTTCGGTGATCCTTACCAAGGCTGCCGACCAGAATGTGTTCAAAATTCTGACTGCCCTCATTCTAGAGCATGTATTAATAATAAGTGCAAGGACCCCTGCCAAGGGGCCTGCGGACTGAATGCCCAATGCCAAGTGTTCAATCATCAGCCATCATGCAGTTGTTTCGACGGTTACACAGGAAATCCATTGACTACGTGTTATATTCGTCAGGATCAGCCCCAGCCAGCTCCAGGTGACCCATGTGAACCCTCGCCCTGTGGTCCTTATAGCAACTGTCGAGTCATTGATTTCCATGCTGTTTGCTCTTGCCAACAAAACTACATCGGTAGTCCACCAACCTGTAGACCTGAATGCGTCATCAGCGCTGATTGTCCACAGAATAAAGCCTGTATCAGCCAGAAATGTGAAGATCCATGTTCTGGTACTTGCGGTATTAATGCCAATTGTCAAGTCATAAATCACAATCCTGTATGCAGTTGTGTATCTGGCTACACTGGGGATCCATTTTCCGGCTGTCTTGAAGAACGGCAAGTGCCAATGCCACGACCAAATAATGATGATAACCCGTGTGTGCCGTCTCCATGCGGACCCAATTCTCAATGCCGTGTTATTGATGGCTTTCCTGCCTGCTCTTGCTTGCCAAATTACATCGGACGCACTCCAAACTGCCGACCGGAATGTGTTATCAATGAAGAATGCCCCGGTAATCTTGCCTGCCAGAACGAACAGTGCACAGACCCGTGTCCGAATTCCTGCGGAGTCAACACCTTCTGTAATGTCATCAAACACAATCCCATCTGCAATTGTAATCCAGGGTACACAGGCAATCCATTCGTAGAATGTAGACTGCAACCATATGAACCTACGACAACTGAAGCTCCAAGAACACCCTGCAGCCCATCACCATGTGGAGCTAATGCTGTTTGTAATGAGAGAAACGGCGCGGGATCATGCACATGCTTGCCCGAATACTTTGGAGACCCCTACATCGGCTGCAGACCCGAATGTGTCACGAACAGTGAATGCGGAAGGACTAAAGCCTGTTTGAACAACAAATGCATCAATCCATGCGCCGGTGTTTGCGGGCCAAATGCATCTTGTCGTGTTGTCAATCACGCGCCATCATGCACATGTGCAGCTGGATATACAGGTGATCCCACAACGGCTTGTGAAGTAATTCCACCAGCAACCAAATCTCCAATAATAGATCCTTGTCAACCATCACCGTGTGGAGCAAACAGCAATTGTCGAGTTCTGAATGATCATGCTGTCTGCTCTTGTAAGACTGGATTCATTGGCACTCCACCTACGTGCAGACCCCAATGCACAATCAGTTCAGAATGTTCGAGGAGCAAATCATGTGTCAACAATAAATGTGTGAATCCGTGTCAATCAGCTTGCGGGGAGAACACCAAGTGTCTAGTGGTAAATCACAGTCCGATCTGCACATGTGCTGCTGGTTACACTGGAGATCCATTCAGTTACTGCTCCAAGAGCGAAGTCACACCGTCAGAACCAAGAGAACCTGTGGATCCTTGTTCACCGAATCCCTGCGGTCAAAATTCCCAGTGCCGGGTCATCGGATCTCAGCCAGCCTGTTCTTGCTCACCAGAATACATCGGACGGCCACCGAACTGCCGACCCGAGTGTACAAATAATTCTGAATGCCCGACGAATGTCGCTTGCATCAATCAACGCTGTAAGAATCCATGTCAAGGGGCTTGTGGTGAATTAGCAAGATGTTCGGTTCTGAATCACCTGCCAGTGTGTTCATGTCCAGATGCTTTCACAGGCGATCCAAGCATTCAATGTTCTCCGCACATACCTTCAGAAGATCAGAATCCATGTTCACCGAATCCCTGTGGACCTAATGCTCAGTGTCGAGAGCGAAATGGTGCGGGGGCTTGTGCTTGTCCACAGGAGTTTATTGGTGATCCTTATGATACTGCGAGGGGATGCTACCGTGAATGCGAGGTGAACGATGATTGTGCACCTCACTTAGCTTGTGTCGGATTCAAATGCACAGATCCTTGTCCTGGAACTTGCGCAACACTTGCTGTCTGTAATGTTGACAATCACGTGCCGAGGTGTTCGTGCCCACCAGGTTACACTGGAGATCCATTCTTCTCCTGTAATTTAGAACCGAAGGAGATACCTGTACCTGAAGACCCATGCTCACCTTCCCCCTGCGGTCCAAACAGCAAATGCAGGACTGTCAATGGTCAAGCCGTCTGCACTTGTCTACCCGACTACAGTGGTATACCTCCCAATTGTCGACCCGAGTGCATTGTCTCCGCCGAATGTCCGAATCATCTCGCATGTATCAACAAAAAATGCCAAGATCCCTGTCCAAATACTTGTGGAGTTCGAGCTCAATGCAGTGTCAAGAATCACAGCCCCATATGTACGTGTCCTATTGGATTCACTGGGGATCCGTTCTCAGCATGTTCACCTCAAGAAGAACCCATGACAACGACAGAACGACCGCCCTCTTGTGAACCCTCACCATGTGGCCCGAATTCCCAATGTCAGATGGTTTTTGGAACACCAGCTTGTTCCTGTCAACCCAATTACATCGGAGTACCACCCAACTGCAGACCTGAATGCACCCTAAGCTCGGAGTGCCCGAGTCATCTTGCTTGTGTGAATCAACGTTGTCAAGATCCATGCACAGGATCTTGTGGATTTAACGCTTTATGTCATGTGTTGAATCATATTCCCGTCTGTACATGTATGGAAGGCTTCACTGGTGATCCATTTGCGGAGTGTTCTCTCGTGCCAGCATCGACGGAACCTCCACGTCCCAAAGACTTGTGCAATCCTTCACCTTGTGGTCCCAATGCTATTTGCCGCGCAGGAGATTGCGAATGCTCACCGGAATATCTCGGTAATCCATTCGAAGGTTGCAGACCCGAATGTGTCCTCAATTCCGAGTGCCCGAGGGATAAATCTTGCTTGCGGAATAAATGTCAAGACCCCTGCCCCGGAAGATGTGGTCAGAACGCTGAATGTGATGTTGTTAATCACATTCCTGTCTGCTCATGTCTGCAAGGATTCGTTGGAGATCCTTTCGTCAGCTGCAAACTTCAGCCCATACGACCAGACGACAAACGTGATCCTTGCAATCCATCACCCTGTGGATCCAACTCCCAGTGTCGAGATGTTGACAGTCGTGCTGTGTGCTCTTGTTTACCAGGATATCTAGGCGCACCGCCCACATGTCGTCTTGAGTGCATCGTCAGTTCTGAATGTGCTCCGACTCGTGCGTGTGTTAACAACAAGTGCACAGATCCCTGTCTGGGTTCGTGTGGACTCAATGCTCGCTGTGAAGTCATCAATCACTCTCCGATCTGCAGCTGTTCACCAGGTCAAACTGGTGATCCTTTCAGGAACTGCTATGATATACCGCTATTACCAGGTCCCAAGGAGAACGAAAATCCTTGCGATTCACGACCATGCGGACCAAATGCATTGTGTCAAGACAATAATGGCGTGCCAGCTTGTTCATGTCTTCCAAATTACATTGGAGCTCCGCCATCTTGTCGGCCCGAGTGCGTCATCAATCCCGATTGTCCATCAAACAAAGCTTGCGTCAATTCTAAATGCGTTGATCCCTGTCCAGGTAGTTGCGGAGATTTCGCTGAATGCCGAGTCATCAATCACGCAGTCACTTGCACCTGCATTAGTGGATTCACAGGGAATCCGTTTGTTCAATGTGTTACTGAGAAACAAGAGTCAATCAATCCATGTGAGCCATCACCATGTGGACCTAATGCCATCTGTCAGCAACGAGATAATGCAGGAGCTTGTGTTTGCATAGAGGATTATCACGGGAATCCGTATGAAGGCTGCCAGCCAGAGTGTATTTTGAGTTCTGATTGCCCAACGAATAGGGCCTGCATCAGAAATAAATGCGGTGATCCCTGCCCAGGCATCTGCGGCACCAACGCCCAGTGTTCTGTAGTCAATCACATCCCCACGTGCACCTGTATGCCAGGTTTCGTCGGCAATCCTTTCACCTCATGTAGAGTTGAAGAACCATTACCACCAACTCCATCTCAAGATCCTTGCAACCCATCACCATGTGGTCCTAATAGTCTTTGTCGTGCCATAAATGATCAGGCCGTTTGTACCTGTCAACCCAATTATCAGGGAACACCACCGAATTGTCGTCCAGAATGCGTTGTCAATTCTGAATGTCCACAGAATCGTGCTTGTCATAAATACAAATGTACTGACCCATGTCCTGGCACATGCGGCATGGGCGCCGATTGTCGTGTCATTAATCACAATCCGCTGTGTAGCTGCCGATCAGGCACCACTGGAGATCCCTTCACCCGTTGTCACGAACAAGATTACGAACCTCCAACTCCAAGACCCAGTGACCCATGTCTCCCCAATCCCTGCGGACTCAATGCTGAATGCCGACCAATTGGAGATCAAATAGCCTGTTCGTGTCTGAAGAATTATGTTGGATCCCCACCAAACTGCCGACCTGAATGTGTCGTTAATACTGACTGTCCATCTAATCAAGCTTGTATATCGGAAAAATGTCGTGACCCATGTATTGGATCCTGTGGTCAGGACGCTGAATGCAGTGTCCAGAACCACATCCCAACGTGCCTGTGCCGTCAAGGCTTTACGGGTGACCCATTCTCACTTTGCACAAGAGTAGTTGAACAGCCACGAGTACCTGAAGACCCATGCAATCCATCACCCTGCGGTGCCAATGCCCGTTGCGATGCTGGGCAATGTACCTGCCTACCGGAATACATCGGTGATCCCTACTCATCCTGCAGACCCGAGTGTACTATTAACTCTGAATGTTCACGTACTAAAACTTGTATAAATCAACGATGTGTTGATCCTTGTATAGGAACATGTGGTACTGATGCACGTTGCGATGTCATCAATCACATTCCAACGTGCAGCTGTCCACCGGGAACAACTGGCAATGCATTCTCAGCATGTCGACCAATAACTCCGATTGTTACACCGACACAGCCATGTTCACCATCACCATGTGGACCAAATAGTTTGTGTAGAGTTGTTGATAATCACGCTGTGTGCTCTTGTCAAGCTGGTTTCATTGGAAGTCCCCCGGGCTGCAGACCAGAGTGCGTTGTCAGTGCAGAATGTGGTTTGACTCAAGCTTGTTTGAACAACAAGTGTCAAGATCCGTGTCCAGGGACATGTGGACAGAATGCCAAATGTCAGGTTGTCAATCATAATCCAATCTGCAGCTGCTTGGAGAACTTCACGGGCGACCCCTTCACTAGATGCTATCTTCGAAGAGGTAAATACCGTTGTTCTACAGATAATTCCGTCGCTTTCTCTTGGTACTCACGAATATTCATATTTTTCCAGATGAGGAGCTTCCACCGCCTGTGAATCCGTGCTTGCCATCCCCATGCGGTCCGAATTCCGAATGTAACGTGCGCGGCGAGAGTCCCGCGTGCTCTTGTTCACAAAATTATATCGGTTCACCGCCTAATTGTCGTCCCGAATGTACAATAAATCCGGAGTGCGCGTCACATCTCGCTTGTATACAACAAAAGTGTCGCGATCCGTGTGCGGGTCTGTGCGGTATAGGTGCACGTTGTACGGTAGTGAATCATCATGCTGTATGTTCCTGCTCAGAAGGCTTCACTGGTGATCCATTCAGCAACTGTATTCCGGCGCCGAAGGGTGAGTGAGAAATTTCATTATGGGTTCATTTTTATCAATGCATGAAACTAGAATGCTCGGTGGTTGTTTGGAAGGTAAGTGCTTATTCATTATAATTTTATCAGAAGCTTGCCAAATGAATCGCTGCTTCATACGTGATTGACTAAGCTCACAGTTACATGTATCCCACAAATAAGCGATCAAGTAGTAGCACTAAGAAGTTATTCTCATGCGTATTTCGAAATGACACACGCCTGATTATCCCTTAAGCGATTAACCCGTCTTCTTACCCTGAAGACTTGCCAAAAGTGGTGGCGGAGCCCTCAATATGGGCTCATTATTATGTTCCGCCATAAATTATCGCCTAGAACAAAAGCGTTATAACTAGCAATTAACCCATATAAGCCCAGCCGAAATAAATCCCTAGAACTGCACCCTCAAGCGCTCATTCATCATTAGTTTTAGGACCACTCGTTTTAAATCACCCGCAAAGCGTAATAACCCCCATGACCTTAATCCCGCCATTAACGCAAGCACAAGAACCAGCTGCAATGAATTTTACGATTATTAAGAAAAAAATAGTTACGCCATGCCTAAACACGTGCACAGCACGAGCTACGCCCAGAAAGAAAGAAGTATTCTCACACGACTTACAACAAAGCATAATTTAACCCGAAATTAATGAGCAAGAACCTTCCCTCCTGTAGCGCCCGAAATAAGGAACCCCTGTTCACCATCACCATGTGGTCCCAATGCAATATGTCGTGAATCCAATGGAGCTGGATCATGCTCCTGTCCACCGGATTATATAGGAGATCCCTATGAAGCCTGCAGACCTGAGTGCCTTCAGAATTCCGATTGTCTCCCCCACCTGGCCTGTTCCAATTCTAAATGTAAGGATCCCTGCCCAGGTGCTTGTGGACTTAATGCCCAGTGTGCTGTCATCAATCACCTGCCATCTTGTAGTTGCAATCCAGGATTTACCGGAGATGCATTCAGAAACTGTGTCCTCTTTTGTAAGCCCTAATCTTTTCCAATCACACTATGAAAAACTATATCTATCATTTACTCGTAATTACCTCAGTACTCAATGATTCCATTCTTGAACCTTACCCTTAGCTCCTGTGGAATCTGAACCTTGCTCACCATCACCCTGTGGACCCAACAGCCAATGTAGAAATGTTGACGGCCACGTAGTCTGCTCCTGCCTACCTGATTATATCGGAAACCCACCCAATTGCCGACCAGAATGTGTTTCCAACAGTCAATGCCTGCAAAACCTAGCCTGTATGTCTCTCAAATGTACCTCACCGTGTCCACAACCATGTGGAATTAATACCCAGTGTCGAGTACTCAATCACAGTCCAATTTGCACCTGTAATCCTGGTTTCACTGGGGATCCTTTCACGAGATGTTTCGATATACCTTGTAAGAATTCATCCCTAGCAATCAATTATCGTGAGAGATTATTTAACTAGTCAAGAATTATTTCAGTTGTCCCACAACGAGATCCAGTGGTGCCTCAAGATCCCTGTGTACCAAACCCTTGTGGATTGTACTCGGAATGTCGCAATGTTGGTGGATACCCGTCTTGCTCTTGCCGCATTAACTACCAAGGATCACCACCCAATTGTAGACCAGAGTGTCGTATCAATTCCGACTGCCCAATGAATCTCGCCTGCTATAACGAAAGATGCCGTGATCCTTGTCAAGGCTCTTGCGGTATTTCTGCCCTTTGTACTGTCCACAATCATATTTCATCGTGTAATTGTCCAGACGGGTACTCTGGAGATCCCTTCAGCATATGTAATCTTGTACCAACGACCCGTAAGAACCCTAACAATGAATTTTTCGGATTTAGAAATCATTGTGCACCTAATTTTTCCTCTTATGTCAATAATATTTTTTTAGTTCCACCACAAAATACAGATCTGTGTAATCCTTCTCCATGTGGAGCAAATGCCCAATGCCGTGACGGTATCTGTACATGTCTACCGGAATACAATGGTGATCCCTATTCCGGATGTCGACCCGAGTGTGTCACCAACTCTGATTGCCCACAGAATCGTGCCTGCTCGAGAAATAAATGCATTGATCCATGCCCCAATACCTGTGGACGCAGTGCAATCTGTAATGTGTACAATCACATTCCTATGTGCAGTTGTCCCGTTGGTATGAGTGGAAATGCATTTGTTGCTTGTGATTTTGTGAGAGGTATTATTCTTTATACCTTATTATTTCATTTCCCCAGATTGACACGCAACTTTCCCTAATTTTCGGATTGTTTTCCTTCCATCGCGATATAGAACCTGTGAATACAGACCCTTGCAACCCTTCACCTTGTGGTCCAAACAGTCGTTGTCGTCCAGTGAATGATCAAGCCGTGTGTACCTGTGTCCCTGGCTTCCTTGGAAGTCCGCCGACTTGCCGGCCCGAATGCGCGATTGCTTCAGAATGTCCTTTGAACCAGGCATGCAGCAATCAGAAATGCATTGACCCTTGTTTGGGGACTTGTGGGTTCAGAGCCACCTGTCAAGTTATCAATCACAATCCAATATGTAGTTGCCCATCAGGAATGATAGGAGATCCCTTCACAGCATGTCAAGAACAACGTAAGATCCCTTGAATCGTCGGAAGAATATTATTAAAAAAATAACAAGACATTTATTTAATATTAAATTACAGCTGCCATTCGTCCAACACCTGAAAACCCCTGCCAACCGTCCCCCTGTGGTCCTAACGCCCAATGCCAAGTATTCAACGACTCTCCATCCTGCTCTTGCCTACCCGAATTCACTGGATCTCCACCGAACTGTCGCCCTGAGTGCATTAGCAATAGTGAATGTTCCAATTCTTTAGCCTGTATCAATCAGAAGTGTAAAGATCCTTGTGTTGGATCTTGTGCTATTAACGCGGAGTGTCGTGTTGTGAGTCACACGCCCAATTGTGTTTGTCCGAGTGGGTTCTCTGGTGATCCTTTCACCCAGTGCTTTGAGCAAAAACGTAAGACCCATTTCCATTCCCTACCAAGTAACTCCTCCGTGAAAATATGCATCTATGATCAATGTCAATCTTTCAGCTCTCGATATGACACCCGTATCACCATGTAATCCATCTCCCTGTGGAGCCAATGCAATCTGCAAAGAGCAGAATTCTGCTGGCTCTTGTGTATGCCTTCCAGATTACATAGGAAATCCTTATGAAGGCTGCAGACCCGAGTGTGTTATGAATTCAGATTGTCCTTCCAACCTCGCTTGCATTCGTTCCAAGTGTCAGGACCCTTGTCCGGGCACTTGCGCTCAGAATGCTGAATGCCAAGTGATCAATCATTTACCAAGTTGTACTTGCTCGAGCGGTTACACTGGGGATCCCTTCCGTTTCTGCAACTTCAAGGAAGCTGATGGTAACTTTTTTCCCCTAGACCAAATAGCAAAATCGAAAATAGACATGTCATCTGATGAATCTTCCGCAGAAACTCCACGTGACCTCTGTCAGCCTTCTCCTTGCGGACCAAATAGCCAATGCCGTGTCATAAATGAACAAGCCGTGTGTTCCTGTCAGCCCCAGTATATTGGAAGTCCACCAGCATGTCGTCCTGAATGTACAGTTAGCTCTGAATGCCCATTGGATCAAGCATGTGTCAATCAGAAATGCATCAATCCCTGTCCCGGATCATGTGGAATCAATACTGAATGCAAAGTCATCAATCACAGTCCCATTTGCAGCTGTGGACCATCGTTCACTGGAAATCCATTTACCCGATGTTACCCTGAGCCAAGTAAGAGATGAAAGATGAAGACCAATGCAGAACGAGATAGTTAGATTATTATTTTTCAGAGCCTATGCCATTACCACCATCGAACCCTTGTGTGCCCTCACCCTGCGGCCCCAACGCCCAATGTCGAGATATCGGTGGAACTCCATCGTGCTCTTGCTTACCAAATTTCAACGGAAGCCCGCCAAATTGTCGTCCTGAATGTACCATACAGTCAGACTGCGCCAGTAATCAGGCCTGTATAAATCAAAAGTGTAGGGACCCTTGTCCAGGATCCTGTGGCCTATTCGCAGAATGCACTGTCATCAATCATACCCCAGTGTGCAGCTGTCTCGATGGATATACCGGCGATGCATTCACTAATTGTGTCCCTCGGCCCTTACCACGTAAGAATTCACATAGATTTTCATTTCAATCCTTGAAAATCCAATAAACGAATTTATATCCTTTATTAGCGAGTGATGACATCGCGAGGGATCCTTGTAATCCTTCCCCATGTGGATCCAATGCCCAATGTAGAAATGGTCAATGCTCCTGTCTACCCGAGTATCAAGGTGATCCATACACTGGTTGTCGACCAGAATGCGTTTTGAATTCAGATTGCCTGATGGATCGTGCTTGTATGAGGAACAAATGTGTTGATCCCTGTCCGGGTATCTGTGGTCAGAATGCTGTCTGCAATGTTTTCAATCATATTCCAATGTGCAGTTGTCCGGTGGGAATGTCTGGCAATGCATTTGTAACTTGTACACCAGCTAGAGGTAATTATTATCTCCAAGTCTTTCCGAAATATTGTCAATTCTTTAGGATGAATGACACAACACCGATTGAAACTATGTGGGTGGTTTTATTAGAATAGGATAAAAAGATCTTTACATTGAAAAAGAGACATACATTTACAATTATACATTCGGAAAACACATGGAGAAATATATGATAATATCAGGAAAACGCGTCCAAATTCACTCACAACAAATTCTATCCAATCCAGAACCAGCAGTTGACAACAAATCATCCTGTACCCCATCGCCCTGTGGACCGAACAGTCGTTGTAGAGAGAGCAATGGCCAAGCAGTTTGCTCCTGTGTCCAAGGTTACTTAGGTGCACCCCCAACATGCAGACCCGAGTGTACAATAAACTCTGATTGTTCGCGTAGTGAAGCTTGCACAAACCAGAAATGTATCAATCCGTGTTTAGGCAGTTGTGGCTTTGCAGCCAACTGTCAAGTCATTAACCATAATCCTATATGTAGTTGTCCGTCAGGAATGACTGGAGATCCGTTCGCTGTGTGTCGAGATGCACGTAAGTTTAAAGTCAACTTGACCATGAAGTAACGAATTTCATAAAAGATAATATTGAATTCTTCGCTTGTAGCACCCACGCCTCCAGTTCCCCAGAATCCTTGCCAACCGTCTCCATGTGGACCAAACGCCCAATGCCAAGTATTCAACGATTCACCATCTTGTTCTTGTCTACCTCAGTTTATCGGAAGTCCACCAAACTGTCGCCCCGAGTGCAGCAGTAACAGTGAATGTTCTAGTCATTTAGCTTGTATTAATAGTAAATGTAGGGACCCCTGTGTTGGCTCCTGTGCAGTAAACGCCGAATGTCGTGTGGTCAGTCATACCGCGATGTGTATGTGTCCTAGTGGGTTTACCGGAGATCCCTTCACCCAGTGCATGTCAGCACCTTGTAAGCAAAATCAACTAATTGACCTTATTCTCTAGAATATTGAGATCATGTCATTACCACTTCTATTTCCCCATAGATCTACCCTCTACACCGACGAATCCCTGTACACCTTCACCCTGTGGTGCCAACGCTGTCTGCAAAGATCGGAATGGCGCTGGTTCTTGTAGCTGTCGTCCGGAATATATCGGAAATCCTTATGAAGGTTGTAGACCCGAATGTATCATGAGTTCGGACTGTGCACCCCACCTTGCCTGCATAAATTCCAAATGCAGAGATCCCTGTCTTGGAACTTGCGCTCCGAATGCCCAATGTCAAGTGATAAATCACTCGCCATCGTGTAGTTGTATGAATGGATACACTGGAGATCCCTTCCGATACTGTTCAGTTGTTCAGACGGCAGAACCAACGGTAACCGAACCGTGTTCACCAACACCTTGTGGACCGAACAGCCAATGCCGTGTGGTAAATGAACAAGCCGTTTGTTCATGCCTTCAAGAATACATTGGAACTCCACCAGCATGTCGTCCGGAATGCACTAGCAGCTCCGAATGCGCCCAAAATCTCGCATGTGTCAACAGAAAATGTGTGAATCCCTGCCCAACACCTTGCGGAAGAAACACTGAATGTGTAGTTCGGAATCACAACCCCATCTGCTCTTGCAGGAATGGATTCACTGGAAATCCCTTCACTATGTGTACCGCAATGATACGTGAGTTGATTGATACGAGTGTTCGAGTGAAAGTCATAACTCATTTCAATTTTTTTTAGAAGCCGCACCCCAGGTCCCGCAAAATCCTTGTTTGCCCTCTCCATGCGGGCCCAACTCTGATTGTCGTGAGATTGGAGGATTACCATCATGTTCATGCTCTCAAAACTTCCTAGGAAGTCCACCCAATTGTCGGCCAGAATGTACCATCAATTCTGATTGCCCTAGTAACAATGCCTGCATGAATTCCAAATGCAGAGATCCTTGTCCGGGGTCCTGTGGAGTTCAAGCGCAGTGTGCAGTTGTGAATCACACCCCAATTTGTTCTTGTTTCGAAGGTTACACTGGTGATCCCTTCACCAGTTGTTTCCCGAAGTCACCAGCCCGTAAGATCTGGAATATTCCTTCTGAATTTCATTCTCCCTTCGTTAGATTGTTTCCTCTAAATTTGATTTTTATACAGCATCTGTACCAGTGCCAAAAGATCCTTGCAATCCATCGCCATGTGGATCTAATACTCAATGCAGAGATGGAATCTGCACTTGTCTACCAGAATATACTGGAGATCCATTGACTGGATGTCGACCAGAATGTGTTTTGAACACAGATTGCCAGCAAGCGCAAGCTTGCATGCGAAATAAATGTAGAGATCCTTGTCCAGGCACATGTGCCCAAAACGCCCTCTGCAATGTCTACAACCACATCCCAATGTGTTCTTGCCCCGCAGGAACGTCTGGAAACGCTTTCTTCTCTTGTCAGATCATTAGAGGTACTTTCCATCAGAGTAAGACCAAATTTAACAATCAGGATAGCACTTATATTGTCGCCATCCTCGTTGTTATTCTTCTCATGATGAATATATTAACCATGACATTATGAATAGAACCTACAGTGGAAACCCCTTGTGACCCATCGCCATGCGGTCCCAATTCCCGTTGCCGTGAAGTGAACGGGCAAGCTGTTTGCACCTGTGTTCCTGGATTTCTTGGAAATCCACCGACGTGTCGACCCGAATGTATCGTCAGCACTGATTGTCCACCCACTGAAACTTGCTACAATCAGAAATGTCGGGATCCTTGCCCTGGGATATGTGGCATTGGAGCTAGCTGTCAAGTTATCAATCATAATCCCATTTGCAGTTGTCCACCGATCTTCACTGGTGATCCTTTCCTTCGATGCATCAAAATCTGTAAGACACAATCTACCTGATGAAATGCCCACTCATTTTTTCCCGAAAATTTCATCATAATTCTATTTTATTCAGCTGAAGCACCAGCAGCACCAACTGACCCTTGCCATCCATCCCCCTGCGGTCCAAACACCCAATGTCAAGTGACCAACGACTCCCCATCGTGCTCTTGCAATCCAGAATTTGTCGGTTCTCCACCAAACTGTCGGCCCGAGTGCACCAGCAATGGAGAATGTACGTCGCATCAAGCTTGTATCAATCAGAAGTGTAAGGACCCTTGTCCTGGGGCATGTGGGGCGAACGCAGAGTGTAGAGTTGTCGGTCATACCCCGATGTGCGCCTGTTTCGTTGGTTTTACGGGTGATCCGTTCACTCAATGCTCCCCTCAACAATGTGAGTTGTCAACATTAGTTGTAGTTCAATGAATTTATTCGTTGGAGAGATCTCATTCAACAGTAGATCGACTTAATATCCTCAGTGAAATATCCAACAGACGTTATTTCAGGCGTTTTTTCAGATACCCCAGCCGAGAAACCTCAGCCTTGTGTCCCCTCCCCTTGCGGGGCGAATGCCGTATGTAAAGAACGAAATAACGCCGGCTCCTGTTCTTGTTTAACCGACTACTTTGGGAATCCATACGAAGGTTGTCGACCTGAGTGTTCAGTTCATTCTGACTGCGTACCAAATAAAGCCTGTGTCAGGTCAAAATGCGTGGATCCTTGTCCAGGAACTTGTGCAAAGAATGCCATCTGTCAAGTTATAAATCATGCCCCAATATGCACATGCATTATGACATATTCGGGAGATCCATATCGTTACTGTTCAAGAATACCTGATGCTGATGGTAAAATACCGTAATTCCTTCAAAAAATTCGCTTTTGCTTGACTTTGATCTCATGCCGTATGAATTCTTCAGTTTCCCAGCCCACCGACCCATGCAGACCCTCGCCATGCGGTCCCAATAGCGCTTGCAGACCTGTCAACGGCCAACCCGTCTGTTCATGTCAGCTGAATTACATCGGCAGTCCCCCAGGATGCCGTCCGGAGTGTGTTGTTAGCTCAGAATGCTCGACAAATCGTGCATGTATCAATCAGAAATGTGTGGATCCCTGCCCAAATCATTGTGGAAACAATGCCGATTGTAGGGTGATCAATCACAGCCCGATATGCAGCTGCCGGCAGGAATTCACTGGAGATGCATTTGTGGCATGCTTCCCTATACCACGTCAGTACATGATCAACAATCAAAATATGGAAGCACTTTCACATACCCGTTTTCTTCAATGTTTTGATTGATTTGTAGGACCACCACCATCACCACCAGTCCCGCAAAACCCTTGTGTTCCCACCCCTTGCGGTCCATTCTCCCAATGTCGAGATGTGAATGGAAATCCATCATGCACCTGTGAGCAAGGTTACTTAGGATCACCACCAAATTGTCGACCAGAGTGTACGATAAACCCAGAATGCCCGAGCAATCTCGCTTGCATGCGAGAAAAATGCCGGGATCCATGCCCCGGATCTTGTGGAATCGACGCTCAATGCTCGGTTATCAATCATACGCCGACTTGTTCGTGCCCAGAAAGGTTCACAGGAGATCCCTTCACGCGCTGTGCACCAACACCTGGTGAGAATCTTCAAAAATTTTGACAATTATACCATGTTTCCCATATTTCATTTCCAACAATCCCTTGCAGCGGAGACGCCACCATCGCCTACCGACCCTTGCAATCCGTCACCTTGTGGAGCAAACACTATCTGTCGATCTGGCACATGCAGCTGTATACCTGAATATCAGGGAGATCCTAATATCGGATGTAGGCCAGAGTGCACTATCAATGAGGACTGCCCCAGGGATAAGGCATGCAATAATAATAAATGCAAGGACGTTTGCATAGGAATGTGTGGTGTTAATGCACTTTGTATTGCTACTAATCACATTGCTATGTGCAGTTGTCCACCTGAAATGATCGGAAATGCATTTATTGAGTGTTCACCAATGCGGGGTAATGTTCCTTTAAAATGTCACATCACGAAAAAATTCTTCGGCGTCGACCAAGTGCGAAATATCATTTATTTGTTCCGTCCAGATGAAGTGATCACGAATCCATGCAACCCTTCACCCTGTGGACCGTACAGCCACTGTCAAAATGTCAATGGCCACGCAGTCTGTAAATGTGTAGAGACCTATGTAGGAAGCCCCCCGACTTGCAGACCTGAATGTATCGTCAGCACAGATTGTCCACCATCAGAAGCCTGTATCAATCAGAGATGTCAGAATCCCTGTCTTGGATCCTGCGGATTGCGCGCCGAATGTTCAGTGATTAATCATAACGCCATATGCACGTGTCGAGAGGGCTTGACGGGAAATCCATTCACTGCGTGTACCCCTCTTCGTAAGTCTTCTATTCAAAGAATTCTTTGGTTTCAACAACATCAGATCCATCATGAATCTACTTTGTATTGCAGCATCATCAATATCAGCTGAACCGATCAATCTCTGCGTCCCATCGCCATGTGGGCCGAATTCACAATGTCAAATTGTTAATAAATCACCTTCGTGTTCTTGTCTTCCGGAATTCTCAGGCAGTCCTCCCAATTGCCGTCCTGAGTGTATTGGCAATAGCGAGTGCGATAATAGGCTTGCCTGTGTAAATCAGAAGTGCAAAGACCCATGTCCGGGATCGTGTGGAATCAACGCAGTATGTCGGGTGTTCTCACACACTCCGATGTGTCATTGTGACAATGGGTTCACAGGAGATCCTTTTGTTCAATGCAATCCAGTCCAGAGTAAGGAATTTTAAGACAAGGAAAGAGTAGGGTAAAACGGACCGTCGTTAACCGTCAATGACTCAAGAAAAGCGGAGTGAAATTCTCCGATTTTTTCTCCATTTTTAAGATATTTTTTCATGCCTGAAAATGACTCATCCAAATGGGACTTCGGTCTGAAGATGAGGATGGCTAAGGACTGTCCGTTTTATTCCGTAGCTCCGTATCACTGTTGCATATCACAGATAATCTTGATCAATCTCTTCATTCCTTAGATGAACCGATAACTTCACCTTGCGAACCAACTCCCTGCGGTGCAAATGCCGTATGCAAAGAGCAAAATTCTGCAGGATCATGCTCATGTCTTCCCGATTATTTCGGAAATCCTTACGAAGGATGCAGACCTGAGTGCACTGTGAACACTGATTGCGTTCCGAACAGAGCTTGTATTAGATCCAAGTGTATGGACCCCTGTCCAGGAACTTGTGGTTCGAATGCAATTTGTCAAGTCGTCAATCATGCTCCCATTTGCACGTGTCTGCAAGGGTTCACAGGAGATCCTTCTAGATTCTGTAGCGAAGCTCCTCGAGATCGTAAGGCTTCAAAGTCTTCTCAGTAGTTCCTCCTATCAGAATTTCGAAAATAATCAATTCATCTTTTTCCCCTTCGTCCAGCAATTGTGACCCAGCAACCTTGCAATCCATCACCATGTGGTCCCTACAGCCAATGCCGTGAGGTTAATGGACAATCCGTATGTTCTTGCCTCCCCAACTACACAGGATCTCCACCAGCCTGTCGCCCTGAGTGCTCAGTCTCCTCCGATTGCCCATCAAACCGTGCATGCTTGAACCAGAAATGTATTGATCCATGCCCTCGAACTTGTGCTCAAAACGCTGCATGCAGGGTTATCAATCACAGTCCCATATGTTTCTGTAATGATGGATATACTGGAGATCCATTCACTCGTTGCTTCGTCTTAGAAGGTACTGCCATTGCCCCCCTCATAAATGTCCAATGTTATAGAATACTTATTCCCTGTTATTACAGTTCCCAAACCACCAAGCGACATCGACTTCCCCAGAGACCCCTGCCTTCCTTCACCCTGCGGGCCTAATTCTATCTGCCGCCCAGTTGGCAATACACCCTCTTGCACCTGTCAACCAAATTACTTTGGATCGCCACCGAATTGCCGACCGGAATGTGTTATCAATCAAGATTGCGGGAGCAATGTAGCGTGTATTAGAGGAAGATGTAGGGATCCGTGTCCAGGATCTTGTGGGTTTGATGCACAGTGCACAGTTGTTAATCATACACCTGCTTGCACGTGTCGTGAAGGATTCACTGGTGATCCATTTACAGCATGTCAGCCCAGACCACCTGAATGTAAGAATTCCGTCTAGCCTCTGAAGTTGTAATACTCCTCTTTTGAACTGAATAATCAATATTTATATTCCGTTAGCTCCAGTTGAAACCGACCCCTGCAATCCATCCCCATGTGGACCGAATGCAAGATGTGATAATGGCTTATGCAGTTGCCTCCCTGAATTCTTCGGTGACCCGACAATCGGATGTAGACCCGAGTGTCTCCTGAATGGAGATTGCTCGAGAGATCTAGCTTGCATGAACAATAAATGCAGAGACCCGTGCCCGGGAACTTGCGCCAGCAATGCCATATGCCAAGTTATTAATCACATTCCCATGTGCAGTTGCCCACAGGGATTCCAAGGCAATGCCTTTGCATTCTGCAATCCTGTGCAAATACCATCCACATCCTCACCCTGCAACCCATCCCCCTGCGGACCAAACAGTCAGTGCCGAGATAGAAATGGAATTTCAGTGTGCACTTGTGTTCCTGGATTCCTCGGAAACCCACCCAACTGCCGTCCTGAGTGTTTAGTCAGTACTGATTGCTCTCCAAGTGAAGCTTGCATCAACCAAAAATGCCAGAATCCATGTGTTGGAATGTGTGGCATTGGTGCACGTTGTGAAGTCATTAGTCATAATCCAATTTGTCAATGTCCGCCGAGATATTCGGGAGATCCTTTCGTCAGATGCCAGATTATTCGTAAGAACTTTTCCCTAGAAACGATGTTTCTTTGTGCTAAGTCAATAACTGAATGACAAATGTTACAGCGGATACTCCTCCAACTCCAATCAACCCCTGCCAACCGTCTCCCTGCGGCGCCAACGCCCTATGCCAAGTCATTGATGACACACCATCCTGCTCCTGTCAATCAGAGTTCACAGGAAGTCCACCAAACTGCCGTCCTGAGTGCGTCAGCAATAGCGAATGTTCATTAAACTTAGCCTGCACGAATCAGAAATGTCGCGATCCCTGTCCCAACTCTTGCGGTCAGAATGCTCAATGCCGAGTTGTATCACATACGCCCACATGTTTCTGTGAGTCCGGATTCACAGGTGATCCCTTTATCCAGTGCATTCAGAAGCCACGTAAGTCCTTGACATCCAGAAGAGAATAATGGAAAACATGAAAACACAAATTTATGACCTGTATTTACAGTTCAAGATATCCCAGAACGTGTCAATCCCTGTTTACCATCACCGTGTGGGCCAAATGCTATCTGCACACAGAAAAATCAGGCGGGTTCATGCATATGTGAGACTGGTTATTTCGGTAATCCGTATGAGGGTTGTCGACCGGAATGTGTGATCAATTCCGATTGTCAGTCGAATCGAGCCTGCGTGAATTCAAAATGTGTCGATCCATGTTTGGGGACTTGTGGAAGCAATGCGCAGTGTCAAGTGGTCAATCATATTGCTCTCTGCACGTGTATTCCCACTTTCACAGGTGATCCTTACAGATTTTGCTCTAGACAAGAGTCAAATGGTAAGCACAATGACTCAAATGAATTAGAAATTACACCGTATTATTCTCATAATCGTATGAATTTAGATTTCGCGCCAGATAGTGCACGCCCCTGCACCGTCGCTCAGTGCGGCCCCAATAGTCAATGTAGGGAGATAAATAACATTGCTGTCTGCTCATGTTCACCCACTTACATTGGGAGTCCACCGAACTGCAGACCAGAATGTGTATCCAGTTCGGAATGTCCTACGAACCAAGCCTGTGATAATCAAAAATGTGTCAATCCCTGTCCATCATCTTGTGGGATTAATTCTGACTGTCGCGTCATCAATCATTCTCCATTGTGTAGTTGTAGCCCTGGATACACTGGTGATCCGTTCACTAGGTGTTTCCCACAGCCGCGTGAGTTCCTCATGACATTCCATCATTTCCGTAACTACAATGTGTAAAAAAGTAAATTCTCATGCTTCCATTCGTCGTTTAGCATCTCCACCAACCCCACCAACTCAACAAGATCCATGCATCCCGTCACCCTGTGGCCCGAATTCAGAGTGTCGAAACATCCAAGGGGTATCTGCATGCTCGTGTCTACCAAACTTCGTCGGAAGTCCCCCGAACTGTCGTCCAGAATGTATGATCCACTCTGAATGTACAAGTAATTTAGCTTGTATCAGAGGAAAATGTGGAGATCCTTGTCCAGGATCATGTGGGATCAGTGCTCTGTGCACTGTCATCAACCACAACTCCGTCTGTACCTGTCCAGAAGGATACACCGGGGATCCATTCTCAAATTGTGTTTTAAGACCACCAGTGGAAGCCCCACCGGTGGATGCCTGCAATCCAACACCTTGTGGCCCCAATTCCGCTTGCAATAATGGAATCTGCACGTGTTTACCTGAGTACCAGGGTGATCCCTATTCAGGATGTCGTCCGGAATGTGTAATGAATACTGACTGTGCCTTCAATCTTGCTTGTAAAAACAATAAATGCGTAGATCCGTGTCAAGGAACTTGCGGACAAAATGCCTTGTGCAATGTGTTTAATCACATTCCCATGTGCAATTGTCCTGCAGGAATGACTGGAAATGCTTTCGCCATTTGTACGCCTGTTCGTGGTATGTGAAATAGTTCATATTAACCTGATAATCATTGCCCTACAGAGTCCAATAACTTCGATGATTGAATTCCAGTTCCTGACGTTGTCGATCCTTGTAACCCATCCCCGTGTGGACCAAATAGTCAATGTCGACAAAATAATGGCCAGGCTGCGTGTTCTTGCATTTCGGGTTTCATTGGCAATCCGCCTAATTGTCGTCCAGAGTGTATTGTATCATCAGAATGTTCTCTGAATGAAGCCTGCGATAATCAGAAATGTAGGAATCCATGTCTTGGGGCTTGCGGAAGACAGGCGGACTGCACCGTTATCAATCATAATCCAATTTGCAGTTGTCCACCAGGACTCACTGGCGATCCCTTCCTCCAGTGTCAAAGACTACGTAAGATTATGAGAATTCCATAGGAAATGACTAAATTTTAGGAATCTACGACTTAATCTCTGCATTTTCCTTTATAGCGGAGAGACCATCGATTCCGATTGACCCATGTCAGCCAACTCCATGTGGCTCGAACTCCCAGTGTCAAGTGATCAACGATTCACCTTCTTGCTCTTGTCTCCCTGATTTCACTGGCTCGCCACCCAACTGCAGACCAGAATGCATCAGCAATTCTGAATGTCCCAGTAAATTCGCTTGCATTAATCAGAAATGCAGAGATCCATGTCCAAACTCTTGCGGTGAATTCGCCACTTGTCATGTTGTTAGTCATACTCCGATGTGTGTGTGTCCAGTGGGATTTACGGGAGACCCATTCACCCAATGTGTAATACAACAATGTAAGATGATTTTCTTTAAATCCTATTTCGTTTGTAGTCTGATCTCTCTTCTTAATTCACTTTTCTGAAATTGTTTTGGTCCAAACAAAGCGGTCAGACTCTGTCTTTTCTAAAATGGAAATTATGACTCATTAATTTACAGTTGACGTGCAACCAGTCGCTACACACCCCTGCTCACCATCACCTTGCGGCCCCAATGCAGTTTGCGAAGAGAGAAATAATGCTGGCTCATGTACTTGCTCACCAGGATACGTCGGAAATCCTTACGAGGGCTGCAGACCTGAATGCGTTCTGAATTCCGATTGTCCCCAGAATCTCGCGTGTATGAATTCGAAATGCCGCGATCCATGTCCTGGTACTTGCGGACAAAATGCGAACTGTCAAGTCATCAATCATTTGCCCAATTGTCTCTGCATTCCGCAGTACAGTGGAGATCCTTTCAGATACTGTTCTCCCATCCAACGTAAGAGTGTATGAAATTACTCCAACAGAAATGATCCTAGGACCTCTCATGCAACAAGTTTCAATTTTCGTAGAAACACCAGGGGAAAATGTTGATGTATGCAGTCCATCACCTTGCGGTCCTTTCAGTCAATGTCGCGATGTCAATGGCCAAGCTGTTTGTTCGTGTTTACCAGGGTACAATGGTAGACCACCGGGATGCCGACCAGAATGTACAACCAGTTCAGAATGCCCCTCTGATCGTGCTTGTGTCAATCAGAAATGTGTGAATCCCTGTCCCACACCATGTGGCCAACAAACGACATGCAGAGTGCTCAATCACAGCCCCATTTGCAGTTGCAATCCTGGTTTGACCGGTGATCCATTCACCATGTGCTTTCCAACGCCGAGTAAGACATATTTTCCATCATGAACGAAAGTGACGTTTAAGAAATGTTCTCAATCTTTCGAAATATGATTTCAGCACCTCCGAAAGTTTCAGAACAACCACGAGACCAGTGTATCCCATCACCTTGCGGTCCAAACGCTCAGTGTTACAATGCCAATGGCAATCCCGTTTGCTCGTGCTCTCAAAATTTCATAGGAAGTCCACCAAACTGTAGACCGGAATGTGTCATTAACTCTGAGTGCTCGAGTAATCTAGCCTGTATCAACCAAAAATGTAGAGACCCATGTCCAGGTTCTTGTGGCTTGAATGCCGTATGTTCTGTCCACAATCACGTGCCTATTTGTGCGTGTTTGGAAGGCTATACCGGCGATGCATTCACGGGATGTCAGTATAGGCCGCCTAGTGAACCAGTTGCTACAGATCCCTGTAATCCGTCACCATGTGGTCCGAATAGTCAATGTCATAACGGAATTTGCTCATGTCTGTCGGAGTATATTGGTGACCCGAATGTTGGGTGCAGGCCTGAATGTATTCTGAATAACGAGTGTCCTTTGGACAGAGCCTGTATCAGGAATAAATGCATTGATCCTTGTCCCGGTACATGCGGACAAAATGCGCAATGCAATGTGTTCAATCACATTCCGATGTGCAGTTGTCTACGGGGCATGGCTGGCAATGCGTTAGTGTCATGTCAACCAGTTATAGGTACTTGAGAATACTTTCAGATGTTTGAGTCTTCCGGAATATTCTCAGAATCGCTAATTTTTTTACGTTTTAACCTAGCTCTAGCAACTATGAGACCTTGCACCCCATCTCCCTGCGGTCCAAACAGCATTTGCCGCGAGGTAAACGGTCAGGCAGTGTGTACCTGCGCACCTGAATTCTTAGGGTCTCCACCCACTTGTCGACCCGAATGTTTAGTCAGCTCAGACTGTCCTAGAAATGAAGCGTGTACCAATCAGAAATGTCGAGACCCTTGTCGTGGAACTTGTGGTCGTAATGCCCAGTGCCAAGTTATCAATCATAATCCTATATGTTCATGTCCTGAGCGCTACACCGGAGACCCATTCACCCACTGCTCCGTAACACGTAAGAATATCAGTCGATTTCTGGTGAAGTGAGTCTGTTTGAGGGCGTATTTATAAGTTATTGCGATATTTCCTGCAGAAGATGTGCCTGCTCCGTCACCAGTAAACCCTTGCCAACCATCACCCTGCGGTCCCTACGCCCAGTGTCAAGTCGTTAACGACTCGCCATCCTGCTCCTGTGAACCCCAATACACCGGTTCACCACCAAATTGCCGTCCCGAATGCATCAGTAACTCGGAATGTCCCAGCAATCAGGCGTGTGTCAATCAGAAGTGTAGGGATCCCTGTCCAAACTCATGTGGCTCCAACACGGAATGTCGGGTTGTTAGCCATACACCAATGTGTGTTTGTCTGACAGGATTCACCGGTGATCCGTTCACCGGCTGTTCAACAATACCATGTGAGGCCTGTTGCATGATGCTTCAAATAACAAATGCATATAATCCATGGCAAATACAAATTAATGTCAAAATTATTCCTAATTATTCTAGTTGTTCCACCAACGCCCGATAAGCCATTAGCGCCCTGTGTACCCTCGCCCTGTGGTGCCAATGCCATCTGTAAAGAATCCAACAACGCTGGTTCATGTACCTGTTTACCCGACTACATTGGAAACCCATACGAGGGATGTAGACCTGAGTGTACCATTGATTCTGACTGTCCTTCATACCAGAGTTGCATCAGGTCAAAATGCCGTGACCCCTGTCCCGGCGCCTGTGGCCAAAATGCCGAATGCAATGCAATCAATCACTCACCCACATGTACATGCAGCCGAGGATATACCGGTGATCCATTTAGATTCTGTACCCCCATCGACACCAGTAAGTTACCACAATTGAATACCACCTTCTGAATAATTGTCCATCTAAAACCAAAACCACCATTATTTCCCACAGCCGAATTGGATAGACCAAAAGAACCCTGTAATCCGTCACCCTGCGGACCCAATAGCCGATGTATTGATAACAATGGCCAAGCAGTATGTACTTGCTTGTCGAATCACATTGGCACCCCACCAAATTGCCGTCCCGAGTGCGTTTCATCCTCCCAGTGCCCCAACCGTCTAGCATGTGATGATCAAAGATGTGTGAATCCTTGTCCCGCACCCTGTGGACTCAACACCCAGTGCAATGTTGTCAATCACAGTCCCATTTGCACCTGTATGCCTGGTTACAGTGGAGATCCCTTCACTATCTGCAGTTCCATACCATCACGTAAGAGTTATATTCAAGTTAAAATGTTGACTGTTCTCCTTGATCATAAATTTTGACATCCAACATCTTGGATCATTCCCCTCAGTACCCGAGAGAGATCCAGATGTTAGTCGAGACCCATGTGTGCCCTCACCCTGTGGCAGCTTCTCCAACTGTCGAAACATTAACGGCGCCCCAGCTTGTAGCTGTCGTGAAGGTTACATTGGCCAGCCTCCCAATTGCCGTCCCGAGTGCATCATTAGTTCAGAGTGTCCAAGCGATGAAGCCTGCATAAACGAGAAATGCCGGGATCCATGCCCTGGTTCGTGCGGTGTAGGAGCGCGTTGTTTTATTTCTAATCATATTCCCACGTGTAATTGTCCGGAAGGTTTCACTGGTGATCCATTTACCATCTGTAACTTGCTCCCGCAAAAACGTAAGATTTGGTACCCCTTTGGTGGTGTTATGGATGGACGTAAGACGAATTCCATTCATAGACTACATCTTGGAGATTTAATCTATGGATAGGAGCCACCTCTTGAGTCCGTCCGTAACAATAGTTGCCCATAAATGCCCTTCTATGACCTAAATAACATTTCAGCATGGGTCAATGAGACACTTGACAGATGCAACCCATCCCCTTGTGGACCCAATACTCAATGTAATAACGGCGAATGCAGTTGCCTGCCAGAATATCAGGGAAATCCCTATGCAGGTTGTCGACCCGAGTGTGTACTCAATGCTGATTGCCCAAGGGATAGAGCCTGCTTGAGAAACAGATGCAGTGACCCATGTCCCGGTGCCTGTGCCGAGAATGGAGTTTGCACGGTTATAAATCGTGTCCCCATGTGTAGTTGTCCCGAAGGCATGACTGGTAATGCTTTTAGTAGTTGCTCACCAATTCAACAGATTGTGCCGGAAAACCCCTGCAATCCATCACCCTGCGGTCCTAACAGCGAATGTCGAGTGGTTAATAGCCAAGGTGTCTGTTCATGTCTCAGAGGGTATATTGGCAGTCCACCGACATGTCGACCGGAATGCATTGTCAGCTCCGATTGCCCGCAGAATGAAGCCTGCAACAATCAGAGGTGTATAAATCCTTGCCCGGGAACATGTGGACACAATGCCCTCTGTGCAGTTGTTGGACATAATCCAATATGCAGCTGTCCAGTGAGGTTCACTGGAGATCCGTTTGTTTCTTGTACACCAATAACCAGTAAGACCACTTTCCATCGTTGCTGAATAGCGTATCTATATCCCGAAGTCCATTTTTAAACAAATTTTATTCTATTCCCAGTGCAAGAAATCCCAACTGAACCAAGAGACCCATGCTCACCCTCGCCCTGTGGTCCAAACGCCCAATGTCAAGTGATCAACAATTCGCCATCGTGTTCCTGCAATCCAGAATTCATGGGAAGCCCACCAAACTGCCGTCCTGAATGTGTTAGTAATGGAGATTGCTCGTCCCACCTTGCATGTATCAATCAAAGGTGTAAGAACCCTTGCAGTGGTTCTTGTGGAGCTAATGCAGATTGCCATGTTGTTAGTCATACCCCAATGTGTAGTTGTATGAATGGCTTCACTGGAGATCCTTTCAGCCAATGCAATATTGCACAGGGTAAGCCTTCCTTAATAATTCCATCTTCGGTGTTACGAGGAGTCCAGACTTACCATTAATGATTTCTTATAGCTCCTCCAATATCCACAAAACCAAACACACCCTGTGAGCCATCACCCTGCGGTCACAATGCAATCTGTCGAGAGCAAAATGGTGCAGGATCTTGCTCCTGTTTACCCGAATATGTTGGCAACCCTTACGAAGGATGTAGACCCGAATGTACCGTGAATTCCGATTGCCCTGCCAATCTAGCTTGTTTGAATTCCAAGTGTAGAGATCCATGTCCTGGAACCTGTGGTTCCAATGCCCTCTGCCGGGTTATGAATCATTTGCCACAGTGTAATTGTTACCAAGGATACTCTGGCGATCCATTCCAATTCTGCAGAATAATTCAAGAATCAGTGCCAACTACGACAGATCCATGCAATCCATCACCTTGTGGATCAAATAGTCAGTGTCGAGTCATCAATGGGCAATCCGTTTGCAGTTGTCAACCGGAATACATAGGAAGTCCACCGTCATGTCGGCCAGAATGCACCAGCAATTCTGAATGCTCGAGCAATCGAGCTTGCGTCAATCGTAAATGTGCTGACCCATGTCCGGGAACTTGTGGTTTCAATACAAGATGTGAAATTATAAATCACAGTCCTATATGCTCGTGTCAAGCTGGCTTCACAGGTGATCCCTTCGTAAACTGCTTCAAGATGTCAGAGCCCCTACCACCAATTAATCAACCGACGTACACAAACCCTTGCGTACCCTCACCATGTGGACCAAACTCCGAATGTCGGGATGTTAACGGCCAAGCCTCCTGTGCTTGCCAGCCTAATTTCAGTGGGTCACCACCCAATTGTCGGGCTGAGTGTGTCATTAATCCTGATTGCCCGAGCAACCGTGCATGCATGCAATCCAAGTGTCGCGATCCTTGTCCCGGCTCTTGTGGAATAAGTGCTGTGTGCGTTGTGATGAATCATACTCCTATCTGCAATTGCCCGGATGGATTCACGGGGGATCCGTTCACAAGATGTGCCCCACAGCCACAATTACCACGTAAGAATCATATACTACTGCCAATATGGACGAATTCTACCATAGCCTAAATACGTTTATGTAATCTTTTCCTCTCCCTTCAACTTTAGCTGAACCCAAGCCATCACCTTGTAGCCAATGTGCTGCAAACACCCAGTGCCTGAACGATCAGTGTATTTGTATGCCAGAGTTCCAAGGCAACCCCTACATCGGATGTCGACCAGAATGTGTTTTGAACACAGACTGTTCAAGAGACCTCGCTTGTATGAATTCGAAATGCCGTGATCCATGTCAGGGTACATGTGGACAAAACGCCCTCTGCAGTGTCGTCAATCATATTCCTATCTGCACATGTCCCTCGGGCATGTCTGGCAATGCATTCTTCACTTGTTCCCCCGTGGAAGGTACATCTGCCATATTTCAATGTGACTCCGAAATCATTTCCCCAGGAAATTTCATCCATTTTTTTCGCTACTTTAGCTCCACCAGAGAGAGACACTTGCAACCCATCCCCTTGCGGCTCAAACAGTCAATGTCGAAAGATCAATGGCCAGGCGGTATGTTCCTGTATCCCCGGTTACCTAGGTGTCCCACCAAATTGCCGACCTGAGTGCACTGTTTCCTCCGACTGCGTTCCCACCATGGCATGTAGCAATCAGAAATGCATTGACCCATGTCCCGGTACCTGTGGAATGCGTGCACAATGTCACGTTGTCAACCACAATCCCATCTGCGTCTGCCCACAGGATTTCACGGGAAATCCCTTCATCACTTGTTCTCCAATACGTAAGTATCAATGATCTGTTGCCCAAAGTGTCCAATAATCCATTATGATTTCAAACTGTAGCGAGAGACCCAGAGCCACCGAAAAACCCGTGCCAGCCCTCTCCTTGCGGTCCAAATGCTCAATGCCAAGTGATCAATAACTCTCCATCCTGCTCATGTGGCCCAGAATTCCGGGGAACTCCACCGAACTGTCGGCCAGAATGTGCAAGCAATTCTGAGTGTCCCAACAACTTGGCTTGTATCAATCAGAAGTGTAGAGACCCATGTCCGGGATCATGTGGAACAGATGCTGAATGCAAAGTTATAAGTCACACACCCATGTGTATTTGTTTACCCGGATACACTGGGGATCCTTTCACCCAGTGTAATATGTCACCAATGGAGCCCCCAGGGAAGGATCAACCAACACCATGTGTGCCATCTCCCTGCGGGGCTAACGCCGTCTGCCGAGAGCAATATGGCGCGGGTGCTTGCACATGCCTCCCTGATTACATCGGCAATCCTTATGAAGGTTGCAGACCAGAGTGTGTGGTGAATTCAGATTGTACAGCAGATAGAGCTTGTATCCGATCAAAATGTCAAGATCCATGCCCGGGAGCTTGCGGACAGGGCGCAATATGCCAAGTGGTGAATCATTTGCCATCTTGTACTTGTCAATCAGGCTACAGTGGTAATCCCTTCAGCTTCTGCAGTGTCATTCAGGAACCACCAACCCCAGAAGGAACCAGTCCCTGTCAACCTTCACCATGTGGACCGAATAGCCAGTGTCGGGAGACAAACGGCCAAGCTGTTTGCTCCTGTTCACCCGGTTTCACAGGAACACCACCTACCTGCCGTCCAGAGTGTACAGTGAGCTCGGAATGCCCACTGAATCGAGCCTGCATAAACCAGAAATGCGTAGATCCATGTCCTGGAATATGCGGAATTAACGCTCGCTGCAACGTCATTAATCACAGTCCATTCTGTGTATGCAATGCTGGACTCATGGGCAATCCCTTTGTGAGATGCTTCGAAGTACCGGCTGCTCCCGAAGAACGGCCAGCTCAAAACCCCTGCATTCCATCACCATGTGGACCCTTCGCAACGTGCCGTGATGTCGGAGGAATTCCTTCGTGCTCATGTGAACAAAATTACATTGGATCACCACCTAATTGTCGACCAGAATGTACCATCAACGCGGATTGTGTGAGTAATCTTGCCTGTCTGAGGTCCAAGTGTTCTGACCCCTGCCCAGGATCGTGTGGTGTTGGTGCTCAGTGCAGTGTCATCAATCACACACCAGTGTGCAATTGTCCGGAGGGATACACTGGAGATCCCTTCACCAGTTGTTCACCAATTCCTTATCAACCACCTGTGCCGGATGACCCGTGCAACCCATCTCCATGTGGAGCTAACGCTCAATGTCGAGACGGCCAGTGTACATGTCTACCTGAATACCAAGGGGATCCTTACAGAGGCTGTCGACCAGAATGCGTTCAAAATTCAGAATGTCCTTTCAATAAGGCATGCATTAACAACAAGTGCGGGGATCCCTGTAGAGGGGTGTGTGGTCAGAACGCCGAGTGCAATGTCATTCAACATATTCCTATGTGCAATTGTCCTTCCGGGACTACTGGCAATGCCTTCCAGGTTTGTATCGCCGCCGAAGAACCGACTGTTACAGACCCCTGTAATCCATCACCTTGTGGACCGAACAGTCGTTGTCAGCAGACGAATGGTCAAGCCACTTGTTCCTGCGTGGTAGGATTCATCGGTAGTCCTCCGGGGTGTCGTCCAGAATGTGTTACCAATTCTGAGTGCCCATTGAATCAAGCATGTACTAATCAAAAGTGTGTCGATCCCTGTCAAGGCTCCTGCGGAGTCTCCGCACACTGTCAGGTCGTCAATCACAATCCGATTTGCAGCTGTCCAGCAAGCTTCACTGGAGATCCTTTCATCAGATGTACAATCCAAGAGAGACCCCCTGAACCTCCTGTCCCGCAGAATCCTTGTCAACCTTCTCCTTGTGGTTCTAATGCGGAATGTCGAGTTGTTAATACCTCTCCCAGCTGCTCCTGTCTCCCAGAATTCCTTGGGAATCCACCAAACTGTCGCCCCGAATGCGTTACCAACTCTGATTGCGCAAGTGCGCAAGCTTGCATCAACAGAAAATGTCAAGATCCATGCAGGGGCGTATGCGGAACTAATGCCGAATGCTTTGTTCTCAATCATGTACCGAGCTGTAGCTGCCAGCAGGGATTCACTGGAGATCCATTTATTCAGTGCACTGTTGTTCAAGGTGATTACCAAAATATTCAATCGTAGAAAAATCCAAAAACAAAACTCCTTTTCAAGAATAAAGTTGAACGAAAATCTTGTGTCCACAAATCTCAAGACAAGTCAAAAAATATATATTCACCAGTGAATATCTATTGCAATAACTGGAACAAATCGAAAAAAATCGTTCGATTCAATACTTGATATTATAGGTCCCTCTTCCGAGTCATCCCGCCAACCCTGCGCCTCATCCCCTTGTGGCGCAAACGCCATCTGCAGGGAACGCAATGACGCTGGTTCTTGCAGTTGTCTCCCAGATTACATCGGCAATCCTTACGAAGGATGCAGACCAGAATGTGTCATCAATACCGACTGCCCCGCGAATCTCGCTTGTATTAGATCCAAGTGCCAGGATCCCTGTCCTGGCACCTGCGGTAGCAACGCCAATTGCCAAGTTGTATCGCATTTGCCTTCATGTACTTGTGCTCCCAGTTACACTGGGAATCCCTTCGTTTTTTGTAACTTGATACCACAGAGTAAGTTCACATTACGACTGTCATCCAATCTTTATATCACAGCCTTCCACCTAATGAAAATGATTTGCAGACGCCCCAGCCCCCACTGACCCCTGCAATCCATCGCCATGCGGACCCAATAGCAGATGTCAAGTCAATAACAACCAAGCGATCTGTTCTTGTACCCCAGAATTTATTGGTAGTCCGCCAAATTGCCGACCAGAATGTACAGTCAGTTCTGAATGTTCCGCGGCATTAGCTTGTCTCAATCAAAAGTGTCGTGACCCCTGTCCAGGGACATGTGGAAACAATGCCTCTTGTAGGGTCATCAATCACAGCCCGATTTGCAGTTGTAATCCCGGCAGTACGGGAGATCCCTTCGTTCAATGTTTCCCCATGCTTCGTAAGTAGCCTTGACAAGACATCTCCCAAATCCAGATGATTTCCCACGCTCAAACATTGATGTTTATTCAGCTCCTACTGAGGGCCCACAAGACCCCTGCAGCTCCTCACCATGCGGTCCAAACGCAATCTGCAGGAATATCGGCAACTCGCCGTCCTGTGCCTGCATAGATAACTACATAGGCTCCCCTCCGAATTGCCGCCCCGAGTGTTCCATCAATCCTGATTGTACCAGTGATAAGGCTTGCATAAGGGAGAAATGCCGAGACCCTTGCCCTGGCTCTTGTGGTTTATCCGCTAGATGCGCGGTCGTCAATCATGTGCCGGTTTGTACATGCCCCGAAGGATTCACTGGAGATCCGTTCACCAGTTGTCAACCCACACCTCCACCTGGAGAACGTAAGATGATTTTCAATAAATTGAGAAGATTACAGGTCATAGAAGCCTGGAAGATAGGGAGATTAATTTCATGGATTTTCTCATTTAGCACCAGTACCACGAGACCCTTGCAACCCCTCACCATGTGGGGCAAATGCCCAGTGCCAAAATGGCGGATGTTCATGCCTCCCGGAGTACCTTGGCGATCCTTACTTCGGTTGTCGACCAGAATGTGTTACCAATGAGGAGTGTCCAAGGAACCGAGCCTGTGTCAACCAGAAATGCGTAGACCCTTGTCCAACAGCCTGTGGCATTAATGCAATATGCAATATGATTAACCACCTCCCAATGTGTAGTTGTCCTCAGGGTATGTCAGGCAACGCCTTCATCCAATGCTCGGCAATGGATGAGCCCGCTGTAACAGATTCCTGCAATCCATCGCCATGTGGACCCAACAGCCATTGTCGACCGAATAACAACCAAGCTGTTTGCACATGTATACCAGGATATTTCGGTACTCCTCCATCATGCAGACCTGAATGTGTCGTGTCCTCTGATTGCCCAAGAGATCGAGCATGTAACACCCAGAAGTGCATTGATCCATGTCTGGGGACCTGTGGATTCAGCGCCCAGTGTGTTGTTATCAATCATAATCCCATATGCAGTTGTCCGAGTGGAATGACTGGCGATCCATTCACCAGATGTTTTTCAACACGTAAGGACCCCTTCACAAATTCCCACTGTGTCAAATAGAAAAGACAATTGAGAATATTGGAATAATAATGACAATCGGTTTGGATTCCTTTATAATTTACAGCTAGAGATCCTGCACCTCCAACAGACCCCTGCCAACCATCCCCCTGCGGTCCCAATGCCCAATGCAGAGTTGTCAATAACTCTCCTTCCTGCTCATGCTCACCACAATTTGTAGGCAGCCCACCAAACTGCAAACCCGAGTGCATAAGCAACTCTGAGTGCCCTTCTAATCAAGCCTGTTACAATCAGAAATGCCGGGACCCGTGTCCAAGCTCTTGTGGATCCAATACTAACTGTGCCACAATAAGCCATACACCGATGTGCTCTTGCAGTCCTGGATTCACTGGCGATCCATTTGTACAATGTAATCGGGTAGAAAGTAAGTGCATTCGGTTCTAGAGAAGAAATTCATGACCAGTTCTTGAATTTAATTCAAATAATTTGCCTCGGTAACTTTTTTTTTTATTTCTACGAGTCGTTCAAGTTCCGGAAATATAAATCCAATTTAAAATCTCGAATGAGGCTACACTGTTATACTTCATTATAACATGGTCATGAGTTTCTAGATTTCCCAATGATCAAATCCTTCTAATATTAGTTGTGAGGCCACATCTAACCTTGTTCGCACAACTATTCCAGTCCCCCCTGTGCCAGTACCAATGAACCCCTGCGTGCCATCACCGTGTGGTGCCAATGCCGTCTGTCGTGAGTCGTACGGCTCAGCCATGTGCTCTTGTGCCCCAGAGTTCTATGGAAATCCATACGAGGGTTGCAGACCCGAATGTGTGATTGACACAGATTGCACAGCTAATCAGGCCTGCATCAGGTCAAAATGTCAGAATCCCTGTCTCGGAACATGCGGTCAAAACGCCATATGTCAAGTCATAAATCACGTGCCATCGTGTTCCTGTGAGAGGGGCTACATGGGTGATCCCTTCAGATTCTGCCGGCCTGTCCAGCTAACTCGTAAGAATTGTAGCCTGAGTCATATGTCTCCTGATTTTCTATTGCAATTACAAATTTATTTCTTCCCAACAGCGAATGTTCCTAAAAATCCATGTAACCCATCACCATGTGGACCCAACAGTCAATGTCGTGTATCCAACGATCAGCCAATTTGTACATGTCAGCCTGAATACACAGGGACCCCACCATCCTGCCGTCCAGAATGTATTTCGAGCACAGAATGCCCATCCAATCGTGCCTGTATAAACCAAAAATGCGCTGATCCCTGTCCCGGCATATGTGGAATTGGCGCTCGTTGTGATACACGGAATCACAGCCCCATATGCAGCTGCCCGCCGAATCAGACGGGAGATCCATTCGTCAAGTGTTTCGATGTCCCACCAATGCCCAAGAATCCTGTCAATCCATGTGTCCCGTCACCCTGTGGACCTTTCTCCATCTGTCAGGATAATGCTGGATACCCACTGTGCTCCTGCGTTCAGAATTACATCGGTACCCCTCCGAACTGTCGTCCAGAGTGCAGCATCAACTCTGAGTGCAGTCAGAATCAAGCATGTATCAGAGAAAAGTGTCGGGATCCTTGCCCTGGATCTTGCGGCACTAGTGCATTCTGTGCCGTTGTCAATCATACTCCTGTCTGCACATGTCCTGAGGGATTCACTGGGGATCCATTCAGTACCTGCTTCCCTAAACCACAACCACGTGAGAATCTTTTTTATTCAGTTTTATTTTTGCAAAAACTTAAACACCTTCAACAATTGAGTGAATTCAATATTTATGATTAGATTAACTATCCTATCTCGTATACATTCAGATCAATGTGGTTGGAATTCATTTATTATAGGATATATTAGTAATTCAATTAGAAACGAAAAATGTTTAGTGCCGTTTATGTTGAATATTTTATCGCGAATATTTGCATACATCATTGATTCATGATTTTCAGCTCAACCTCCAACACCAAAGAACCCCTGCGACCCATCCCCCTGCGGAACTAATGCTCAATGCCGTGATGGCACCTGCACATGCTTGCCTGAATACCACGGTGACCCATACTTCAGTTGTCAACCTGAATGCGTTCAGAACTCAGACTGCCCTCTCAATAGAGCCTGCTCCAACAACAAATGCGTAGACCCATGCCCCAATATTTGCGGACGCAATGCTGAATGCAATGTTGTCAATCACATACCCATGTGCAGTTGCATCGCCGACTATCGGGGAGATCCTTTCTCCTCTTGTCAACCCATTGAACGTAAGAGCAGTTGCGATGATCAAGTGTCCTGAAACTTTCGACTTTTACATATATTGTGACATTAAATAGATCCCAAAGAGAATCCTTGCGAGCCATCACCCTGCGGTCCCAACTCAGCCTGTCGTCAATTTGGTGAACAGGTGTCCTGTTCATGCTTGCCTGGATTCCTCGGTAACCCACCCAGCTGTCGACCTGAATGTATCGTGAGTTCTGATTGCGAACAAAATCGTGCCTGCATCAGTCGACGTTGTCAAGATCCCTGTGCTGGTGTGTGCGGACAGAACGCATTGTGCGCAGTTAGAAATCATAATCCAATCTGCACGTGCCCCCAGAGATATGCGGGTGATCCATTCGTCCAATGCTTCCCAATGAGTAAGTCCACACCCTTACCCTTGAAACATTCCCTTACAATAAGAAAACTGAAAATTGAAATCAGTTGAGAGTATGATGGAGAGAAAACAATAACAACATTCATCTAATTGTCATCTTGCACTCAAGTCATGAAGATTTACTTGGTTCCAATTTTATCAATCAACCAGGAGAACCCGAAGACGTGCCAAAGAATTCCTGCATTCCCTCGCCCTGTGGACCCAATGCCATCTGTACCACTGTAAACAATGCACCTAATTGCGTATGCCAACCTGAATTCTCTGGCTCACCACCAAACTGTAGACCAGAATGTAGGATCAATAGTGAATGTCCAAATCATCTTGCCTGCGTTAACAATAAATGCGCGGATCCCTGTCCTGGTTCATGCGGTATAAACGCTGTTTGCCAGGTCTCCCAACATCAGCCCTCGTGCAATTGCCTGGAGGATCACACTGGTGATCCCTTCACCCTCTGTACTATGATACCGAGTAAGGCTAAAAAAATTCAGCTACTGACCATAATTGTTTTAAACTATCGAAATAAGAACTGTTATAAGCAAGTACTAATCTTTTTTTTTCCTCTTAGCGATGTAAATAGTGTGTAGATAGTGCCATGTAAATTAATTAATCTTACTTCATATTTCCTTTTGACTCTTATCTGTCTGGCAAACTATACTTCAAGCATGCCTTCTGAATATCTATTCTCGATAAGGAGTTGGGGAAGCTAATAATTCTGGAGTCTTGAGATCCATTCTTTTCAAGGCACGCCTTATTTTTTTCTAGAACGACCTCAGCCGCCAGTGCCGAAACGCCCTTGCGATCCATCACCCTGTGGTGCAAATGCATACTGCCGCGAGCATTACGACACAGCCATCTGCGAATGCTGGCCAGACTACCGAGGAAATCCGTACGAGGCCTGTCACCCAGAGTGTCTCGTCAACACAGACTGTCCGAACTCTCTGGCCTGCATTCGCACGAGATGCCAAGATCCATGCCCTGGTACCTGTGGAATCGGTGCTGTCTGCACAGTCTCCAATCACGTGCCAATCTGCTCGTGTCCATATCCATCAATCGGTGATGCATTTACGCAGTGTCAAGTGCCACCCAGACAGCCGGATACTCCAGACCCATGCAATCCATCGCCGTGTGGACCAAACACAATCTGCGAGAAGATTGGTCAAGGTGTTTTATGCAAGTGTCTTCCGGGTCTTCAGGGCGAGCCATCTAGCCTCGCTGGATGTCACCCAGAGTGCATCGTCAGCTCTGACTGCCCCGGTGACAAAGCTTGTGAGAACACCAGATGTGTAAATCCCTGCACTCAGAATATTTGTGGTGTTGGAGCAACTTGCAGGGCCATCAACCACAGTCCCCTCTGCAGCTGTCCACTACCACTCGTTGGAAATCCATTCGTCGAATGTCGCAGGGAGGAACTGTCCGACCCCTGCAATCCATCACCTTGCAATGTCAATGGAGAATGCAGAGTCCGCAACAACGTAGCCTTCTGCATCTACCCAGAATGTCTCATCAACTCCGACTGTCCGAGAGACCGTGCCTGCTTCAATCAACGTTGTCGTGATCCTTGCATATACACATGTGGCATCAATTCAATCTGTCAAACCATCAACCACAAGCCAGTCTGCTCTTGCCCATCTGGCTTCACGGGAGATCCATACCTGCAGTGTAGAATTGCAGACATCGAAATACCAAGACCTGAATGTACGAGAAACTCAGAGTGCCCTAATGACAAGACCTGCTGGGAGCATCGATGTGTTGATCCTTGCAGCTTGGGATCCTGTGGAATCAACAGCAGGTGTCAGGTTCTCCTTCACCGCGCTGTTTGCGTGTGCAATGAAGGCTTCACAGGGAATCCCCAGCAGTACTGCCAGGAAATTGGCTGCAGAAGCGATCAGGAGTGCCCCCTGTCACAATCCTGTGTCAATCAAAATTGCATTGATGTTTGTGGCATCACTCAATGCGGTCTTAATGCAATCTGTCAACCGAGTGGTTATCACAGATCGATGTGTACATGTCTCGATGGTTACCACGGTGACCCGAATCGCGCTTGCTATCGACCCGAGTGCACAACCGACTCGGAATGTCCATCATACCTCACCTGCAGGAACACCAAATGTGTGGATCCGTGCAATTGCCCATCGACATCCCAGTGCTCCGTCATCAACCATCACGCAATGTGCAGATGTCCGACTGGATACAATGGAGATGCTTCTGTGGGATGTGTCAGAGATGTGGAACCCAGTCCGGAATGCAATGTTGATGCTGATTGCCCGAGTCGACTCGCCTGTTTTGGTGGGACTTGTAAAGACCCTTGTAGGGAGACACAACCCTGCGTTACCAACGCTAAATGCACAGTTGTTGATACTCTCCCAATGAGAACAATGCTCTGCGAATGTCTCACCAACTTCATTGGGGACGCCACCATTGCTTGTGCCCCGATTGCTGGACAAATCGAAAAACTGTGCACATCCAACTCCGAATGTCCTATTAACATGGCCTGTTTGAACTCTCACTGTATCAATCCGTGTACCATAAATCCTTGCTCCAGCAGGGCTGAATGCAGGGTTGAGAATCATCAACACGTCTGCACGTGTCCTGAGGGCTACCTTGGAGATGCCTTCACTGGTTGTTATAGGGATAACACACCTGTTCCCGAGTGCACTAGCAATAACGATTGCTCTTCCAATCTGGCTTGTGTCAATCAGTTGTGTCAGAACCCGTGCTCGAGTGATAGGTGTGGCTTGAATGCTGATTGTATCATGATTGAACATCATCCCACGTGTCATTGCCCTCAGGGGTATGCTGGAGACCCGCAGAACCAGTGCTTCAAACGTAAGTTGATTAATTATTTTTTTAGCGGTAAAAAAAAGGCATGAATTGCAAGTGGTGTAGGATGAACTGAGTTACCATTATAAGATATTAATATTCAGTCATTAGTTATTTCATTTCTGAAGGATAAATGTACCGTTTATGTGTAAACGTCTCATCTCATCATCGCAGGACTAATCGGTAGATTATTTCACGTCATTGAAAATTTTATTTCAAGAGTGATTTTTAAGCAATTTTTAGAACAATATTTATTCTGTTCAATCGCGTTCTTCGCTGAACCTATTCCTGTCTGTTCTTTATATTTATTCTTTATAAAGTTCACTCTCAGTATCAAGATAGCCCGATTAGGGACATTTGGGTGGAATTACTCCAGACGATTGATGAGATGTTTTCACGATTCCATTACCAGGAAGATAATCCGTAGTAGTTAGTCCCTACAAATTTCCTTTCCTCTACAGCGGAATGCAAAGCAGACGATGACTGCCCATACGACAAATCCTGTCGCAACGGCTACTGCGCAAATCCCTGTCATGTCGGTGATGTTCACTGTGGCCGTGGCGCAGAATGCCTTGTCGCTGGACATCGTGCTCAGTGCACGTGTCCTCTAGGAACCCAGGGTGATGCTCGTATCGCCTGTATCTCCTCTATTTGCCATTACAACGAAGACTGCCCAGATCATGAGGCTTGCGACCGCCTCAATCGTGTCTGTCGTCCAGTCTGTGACGAGGAGACATGCGCAGAAACAGCCACCTGTATCCCCAAGAATCATCAACCGAAATGTGTCTGTCCAGCCGGCACAACAGGCAACCCCTACATCGATTGCTTTGAACTGCCATCTGACAAGCCAGAATGTCGATCTGATTCCGAGTGTCCATCCCTGTTAGCTTGCATCAATACACGCTGTCAGGATCCCTGCGCATTATCAGACATGTGTTCCCCAGATCAACAGTGCCGAGTCCTGAATACAGTTCCCCTTCGAACGATGATCTGTGAATGTCCACCGGAAACCTTCACGAACATTCACGGAAAATGTCAGAAGATCATCTGGCACGACGTGCAATGCCACACTGATGACGAATGCCCTGATCATGACAAGTGTCTCAACGGCAATTGTGTCGATGCCTGTCTGATAACACGATGTGGTTTCAATGCTCAATGTCGATCAGAATCACACACTGGAGTCTGTTTCTGCGCAGCTGAATACACTGGTAACGCTTACATCGAGTGTGCACTGATGCCACGAGAGCCCTCACCTCCACCCCAGCCAGAGTGCTACGCAACCAGTGAATGCCCGTCTGATCGTCAATGCATCAACTCCAAATGTGTTAATCCATGTGTGGCTGGAGATCCTTGCGGTCGAAATGCGTTATGTCACGTTGATGATCACCACCCCATCTGCAGGTGTCCTATCGATCATTTGGGAGATCCTAGAATCGAGTGCATTCCACCGAAAATCACGCTTGGCTGTCTCTCCAACAGCGAGTGTGCTGGTACCGAAGCTTGCGTCAACAACCGCTGCATCAACCCTTGTAACTGTGGCCAGAATGCTGAATGTCTTGTGGCTAATCACTATCCATCGTGTGTATGTCATCCTGGTTACTCTGGAAATCCTCAGCTGGGTTGCAGCAAGCTCCAATGTGAAACTGATCATGAATGTCCGTATGAAGAAACCTGCCACCAAGGTCAATGTGTCAGTCCATGTCTCTTGGATAATCCCTGCGCCATAAACGCAGAATGTTACGGGAAGAATCATCGATCGGCTTGCAGATGTGGCTTAGGCTACTTTGGTAATCCTGAAGTCATCTGCGAGCGCGCAGAATGCACAAGTGACTTCGAATGCCCTCAGACCCTTGCATGTGAGAACAAACGATGTGTCGATCCATGCAACGATAAATCCCCCTGTGCAGCGAACGCCATTTGCTTCGTCAGGGCGCACACACCGTTATGCAAATGTCCAGAGAGTTTGCCTATTGGTAATCCATTTTCCTACTGCGAACGAAGACCGCCTACGATTGAAGAGCCAGAGTGTCGGAAAGATGTTGATTGTCCAAGTCGACTGGCGTGCATCAAGGAAACTTGCGTGGATCCTTGTCTGACCATCAGACCCTGCCTCGAGAATGCTCGCTGTGGAGTTTTGGATACAGTACCTGTGAGAACAATGGTTTGCACTTGTCCTGATGGCTGGAGGACAGATACCGATGGGTTCTGTCGGCCGATAACTGTCGTTGGAACCTGTGCATCAGACTCAGAATGTCCTGACCAAGAGGCTTGTGTCAACCGTCGCTGTAGGGACCCCTGCAACTGCGGACGGAATGCCAACTGCTTCGTCAAGAACCACAAGCCCATTTGCTCGTGTCTCGAAGGGTACCAGGGTAATCCCGAAGTTGCTTGCTACTCCCTGGAGTGTCAGAGAGATTCTGAATGCATGCCTGATAAGTCCTGCGTCAACAACAACTGTATTAATCCCTGTCTATTCAACGATCAATGTGGAATCAATTCCGAGTGCCTGGCAGTTGATCACCGAGCTGATTGTCGCTGCAAGGAGGGATACGTGGGGAATCCCAGGGACAAGTGTCAGGTGATCGGCTGTTACAGCAATGGAGATTGTCCATCGGATCGTTCCTGCATCAATCGACAATGCATTGATCCTTGCCTCCATGAAAATCCATGTGCCCACACCGCTGAGTGCCGAGTTCATGTGCATGTTCCCATCTGCAGGTGTCTCCCTGGATACGTTGGTAACCCCAATGTTGATTGTAGAGTCGAGCCACAACCGGAATGCCGTGTGGACGGTGACTGCAAGACTTCGCAGGCATGTTTCAACGAAAAATGTCAGGATCCTTGCACAATCGTTGAACCCTGCATAGCGCCATCTGAATGCCGGGTATTACCAACATTACCGGTCAGAACAATGGTCTGTGTGTGTCCACCGGGCTACATCAGCAGTGGAAGTGGCACCTGTGAACCAACAACACCAATCGTTCCCATCGGCTGTGTCAGGAATGACGATTGCGCAGCAGATAGGTCCTGCATCAACGGCGTCTGTAGAGACCCTTGCACCTGTGGCAGCAATGCCCACTGCGATATCATCGATCATAAGCCCATCTGCTCCTGCATCAGTGGATACGATGGTAACCCTGATGTTGGGTGCTCCAGAATGGTCGAATGCAGATCGAACGATCAATGCAGTGACACTCACGCTTGTGTTCAGAACACCTGCGTTCCAGCTTGTTCACCGACTCTATCTCCATGCGCTAAGGACGCAGTGTGCTACGGCATCGATCATCAAGCAGTTTGTGAATGTCCACCAGGATTCGCTGGTAACCCCCGGGTGTCCTGCAAACCCCTCGGCTGTCGAAGCAACTCTGATTGTCCGACCAATCGCGCCTGCGTCAACAGCCAGTGCATCAATCCGTGCACCAAAAACCCATGCACTGGACAATTAGAATGCAATGTCCTTAATCATGCTGTTGAATGTGCCTGTCCACCTGGATACATCGGGGATATCCTCACTGGTTGCACCAGAGTCATCAAGAAATGTAAACAGGATTACGAGTGCCCAGCGCAGACAGCTTGCTTCGACGGGGAATGCATCAATCCTTGCGAAAAGATTGAACCCTGTGGAGTCAATGCTGGTTGCAAAGTCCTGGATACAAAACCAGTGAGGACAATGATCTGTGAGTGTCTACTGGGGTACAGAGGCAATGCGGTTATCAGGTGTGATAAGACACAGGTGTGTCCCATCGAGAAGGGACAGATTAGAGATCAGTACGGTAATTGTATATGCCCACCAGGCACTGCCAAGAACGAGATGGATATCTGCATACCTTGTCGTCCGGAGACTGGTATGATCATCACACCTGACGGTCGTTGCATATGCGCCCTTGAGAAAGGCTTCATCATCGATGAATTTGGAAGGTGTATATGCCCGGTGGAACATGGGTACCAACTAGATCGTTATGGTAACTGCAAGCTGATTCAGATCATCCAGTGCACCTCTGATGACGACTGTCCGGATGATAAATACTGTGAAAACGGAACGTGCGAGGATCCCTGTATCAAGCAGACATGCGCTGCCTACGCCATTTGTCTAGCATCGAGACATCGGGCCATCTGCCAATGCATCAGTGGCTACATTGGTGATGGCTACATCGTCTGTGGGCATGAGCCGCCTGGCACTTTGAGAACAGACTTCCCGAAACCGGAGATGGAAGCCAATTGTTTGTCTGATGGGGTCCAGGTGCAGATACACGTGCAGCATCAAGGGTTCGATGGGGTCTTATACGTTCGAGGAAGGAGTAAAGAGGAAGAGTGCAGGAGAGTTCTCTCCATTCCTGCTGATAATACCGATAAAACTGAAACGTTTAAAGTCAAGTTTGGCCATTGCGGCTTGATTCATGTCAATGGAGAAGCTAGCTTCGTCCTTGTCATTCAAAAACATCCGAAATTGGTAACTTATAAGGCACAAGCTTATCACGTAAAGTGTATCTATCAGACTGGAGAGCAAAATGTTACCCTGGGCTTCAATGTCTCGATGCTAACGACTGCGGGAACAATTGCCAATACTGGACCACCTCCGACCTGCGCCATGAAAATCGTTACTCAGACTGGAGATTCTATAGCTTCAGCAGAGATTGGACAGAATCTAATGCTTCAGGTGGACGTCCAACCACCGTCGATCTACGGAGGATTCGCTAGGAACTGCGTGGCTAAGACCATGGAGGATAATAAGGAGAATGAGTACATGGTGACGGATGAAAATGGTTGTGCCACGGAGCCAACGATATTCGGGGAGTGGATGCAGGATCCCGAAACACAGGCGCTCACTGCGAGCTTCAATGCATTCAAATTTCCGAGCAGCGATAATATCAGGTTCCAGTGTAACATCAGGGTGTGCTTTGGGAGGTGCCAACCGGTAAGTTGAATTATATATTTTGACGAAATTATGTCCTTAAAGGACGGCCAATGAATGAGTCACTTTGATTTACCCGGAATTACCACTTCCTTAAAGTTAGCAATATGTACCATTTTTTTATGCTTGACTTTTCCCGCTGGAGAACCAACATCGAATCGTCCCTCTGTCAGGGTCATAACCAATCAAAATAGAGCATTTAGAATTGGCGGGAAAATCTTACGACCTCATTGGTCACTTGTACACGATCCCATGTGAGCTACGTTCCATGCGTTCCCTCAACCTCACTTTTCGTGATTTTACACGATTGCGCATGCGCATCTGTTTTCCTTCACCTCGCGATAATCCTGGGGAATCCCCTGTCTTCCAATCTCACTCCTTCAACGCCGAATGAAAGAATAAAATTAGTCAGATGAATTTCATTCAGAAATTTTTATCAATAGGTCAACTGTCGTGGCTACAATGCATTCGGACGTAAAAGAAGAGACGTCGGAGATGAATACAACGACACAGCGCTAAGCATATCAGACAGTTACGACGGCCAGCTCAGAGAAGAAATAACAATTTCCTCGAATCTAATAAAAACAGTAGAGAGAAGAGAAGAAAGATATACAGCAGATCTTGCTGAATGTAAGGACAATCATTGCTCTGAATTGTTCTCGTAAAGAAAACGAAAAAATGATTTTCTTTTTTTTTTTCTTTCAGTACCCGCAGCTCAGAGAGCTGAAGACATATGTGTATCCATGGTTGGTTTCATAATTTCCCTTGTTATAACGGCGCTGTTGGCCCTTGTTGCCGTTGCCATTGCCGTATCATGTTGGCTAATGGCATATAGAAGACAGCCAAAGACTGCCGGACCACTGCCACATCCCCCTGAATTTCCAAATCCACTATTCACAACTGAATCAGTTGCTGAACCCTCACCCGACTATCATCTCTCATGAGACAACTCGATGGAGAAAAAAAAAGGAATCATCGAGGGGTCAATTTAAAACAAAATCACCCATTTTTTTTTTTTTGTTAATCGAAGTAATTTTAGGATAATTAATTTTATACGAGGAATGCATTCCCGACCACCACGTCCTAAAACTGGTCGGCTGTGTATTTCGGAAACGCATCTCCTCCAGTGACTAATTGTCGTAGTTTTTTTTCTCGTGTTATTTTTTACACGCTCTTCTGTGGGACAAAAATTTATCGACTTTTAATCTTTGACTGATATGGTGCTCAGAACGGAGAAAGCCTGATAACGGGAAAAAATCAATTAAATTTTATGTCTATTTTTATGAATGGTGACGGTCTTCTTCCACTTTTCTGTCCACGAGGGAAAAGACTCTGATACTTTGTTTCTCTTCTTGTAGTTTTTTTTGTCTCTGTCTCTAGTCAGTGGAGGACTTGTTTAATATATTAAATGAATTTATATATACATATAAATAAATAAAATGAATAATTTTAACTTGTAAAGTCAACATGAAAATGATAGTCTAATGTAGCTTTTTTCTATTGAAGATTAGGCAATTGTACATTTTATCTAATAAATGAAAAAATTAATAATAATTTTTTTATTGAATATTATTTTGATATTTTCAACTCAAAGAAAGTGTTAAAACCGAGCATCAGCACCAGGATGAATCAAGGAAACCTCTTAAAAATCCAAACATCACAATTTATTTATGAATCGTATGAATGATGTACATAAATGAAGGATTAATCATGAATATTTGAGGCTTTAGCCCTTGATAACAGCTATTGGTCGTAGCTTGATGCACTTCTTGGAGATCCCAGCTGCATGACATGTGTTCACAACATCAGTCACGTTTTTGTAGGACTCTGGGGCCTCTTCCATCACCAGTTTTGGGGAGGCGACTCTTATGGAAATTCCCTGGCCCTCAAGTTTTTCCAGGACTTGTTGATAGTCCAAATTTCTTCGGGATTTTGCTCGGGACAGGGCTCGACCAGCTCCATGACACGTGGATCCAAATGTCTCCCTCATTCCTTGATCAGTTCCTGTTAGAACGTAACTGCAAGTGCCCATTGTACCACCGATCAACACTGGCTGGCCTGTGAGCTGATAGTCCACTGGGATCAGGGGGTGGTGAGGCGGAAATGCTCTTGTAGATCCCTAGGAGTGTCACATTTCTTTTTTTATTTTTGGTTTTTTATTTATTCATTTATTTTTTTTATTTAAATTTGATTGAAAATTATGAAGACTCTATGCAGCTTATTTGAACAAATTAATATTATTCTGAAAGTTACAGTATTGATTTTGAAATTTTCATGTTATTTTTCGTTAAAAAAATTAATTCAATAGATAATTATGAAGACTTAATATAGCTCAATTGAAAGAGTGAATGTTATTCTGAATGAGAGAGTGCATGAAGACAACCAAATTAATTCTCAGAAATAAAACGTGAAGAATACCTTTCTGTGAACCAAAAGGGTCTTCAACTTGCCATCAACCATATGTTCCTCAACTTTAGCAATATTATGGGACACATCGTAGATGACGTGCATGTCTAGGTCGTCGGGAGGCATCTGGAATTGTTTAGCAAATGCCTGAAATTGAAACGAAAAATAGTAAAAAGCTCCTCGAGCATATCAAGTGACCGAATAAATTTCGTTTCACCTGTCGAGTGAGAAAAGTCATGGAACTCCTGTTGACCCATGCGAAATTGGCAGCTGCAGCCATGGATTTCAGGTAATCTTGGCCCTCCTGCGAGTTGATGTGGGCACACGCAAGTTGTCTGTCGTTGACTTCGATGTTATCCCTCTTCATCGCTTTCTCCATCTGTACTAGGGCATCGGTGGCCACTTGATGACCGAATCCACGACTCCCAGAGTGAATCATCACACAGACCTGGCCCTTCTCCTCTATTCCCATTTTACATGCTGCTGATCTGTCGTATATTTCGTCAACAATCTGGATCTCTGCGTAGTGATTACCAGCACCGAGGGTTCCTAACTGAAATTATTCATTTTTCAGGAGGGTTGTAGTGGAATGAATTTGATGGAATTGATTTTTTGAAATAATTAATTGTGGAATTATTAGTCTTCTTTTTTAATTATCTATCAAAATTATTGTAGACTAGTTATCAACATAATATGTCACTTCTAATGTCACACACGCAGAAATTAAATCTTTCTTTCATTGTTTTATAATTAATAACAGAATTTAGCAACACCAAATTCGTTAGGGTGGTCCTGACCCTCAAACTTTCTATTCTAATTTTTTCCTTCATGAAAATAGTGAATATTATTCAACATTTAAATCTCTGGCTTTAGCTCTGGATTTAGTTTAAAAAGTTGTGAAATCTTTCGTTTCTTCTTTGCATTCAATGGATTTGATGAACTTTATTTGTAAAAATAAGCGATGGTGGAATTACCTGGGGTAGGCCTCGTTTTTTAGCTCTCATGGAGACCTTGGAGGGATCAGCATTCAACATTCTTCCATATTCCTCACAATGCTCTTTATCCTCTGCCCAACTGTAACCCTCCCTCAATGACCAGTCCATTCCCATCTCCAGGGCTTCCTCGAGGTCCTGAGCCTTCATTGGAATTATTCCTTTCGATCCAACGCCTACGGGGATGTGATCAAACATACTCTGGGCTATTTGTTCCTGCGAAAGATTGAACATTTACGTGAAATTTCAGGCTTTTTCATTTTCTTTCAGATATTGATCATTTTTTATGAATTCTGCTCGTCTAATTGCCTATTATCAGTTTCATTTATCAATTTATTGTTACTTACCTTGACTGGTTGAACGTCTTTTTCGAATAAATTAGTACGTAGCAGACGTACCCCACAATTTATATCAAAACCTACACCACCTGGAGATACTATTGACTTTGGATCATTTATATCGAATGCTGCCATATTACCTGTGTATGAATGTTGAATTTTATTGGGGAATATATTTAAATTAGCATTAAGATGATAATCTTTTCATTTTGTTACATATGACCTATTCGATAAGAAAATTTAAAGATTCAACTAGGATATTTTATTGCATTTTTATTTGATTTTTATGAGAATTCTATTGGCTTTTTGAGCATCTTATTTATATGAAAAAATATTTGATAGAAAGTAGTCAATAGATTTATATATTTAGATATACATTTAGATTTTTCTGTTCAATTTGAGTTATTCTCTGGAATTGATTTCAGAAATTTTTACAACTGATTTTATTTTTCCATTTTATTCCCTTTTGTATTTTTTTTTGTTTCTCAAATATCCATGAAGGACTTAAAAATTCATTCCCAAGAATTCTTATAGGTAAATAATGCAACAGAATGAGATTCCTCACCGACAGTGTAAATAACCCTCATATGGGTTCTATACAAAAAAAAAAAAAAAAAAAGAATGAGATTCATGAAAAAATGAGCATGTTCAATTTTTTTTAATAAAAAAAAATCATCATTCAATAAATTTCATTGGAAATAAAAAAAAATAGAATTTGAATGGAATTCCAATGGAAACGAGATTAAATCCAATATCAAATGCTCCAGCTTTTTCATTTTATTGTTTCATAACAAAATACTGTGTTACATCATGCCTACAAATATAATAAAATAAAACCCTCAATCACATCCTGTTAAAATCACAGTCTCGATGTTTTTCATTCCATTCAAATTATTTTTCAATCGACACATTGTCGATTTTGACGACAAGTTTCAGACCCTTCAAGGGTATTCTCATGTTTCAATGCTCACCAATGGCAAATCCATATCCAGAATGAACGTCTGGAAGACCCACAGACCTCCCAACGATTCCAGGTAATGCAGCAACATTAGCTATTTGTTTAACACCTGGCAAAAATCCACCAACTTGTCCAGGTCTGCAGGAGTTCCTGAGCTCCTCTAGCATCAGTTTCTCCAGTGTATTGTTCACGTAAAAAATTCCCTCGACCTTAAAATCAATAAAATTGGTGTTTATGAACTTTTCATTTTTTTTTTTAATCGTTTTTCAACAGTTTATTAGTAATAATGATGAAAATACCTTCATGTTGGGTTGGAAACCCTTTTTTATCCTCCAACTGTAGTCTGTGAGCTTCTCCAGGTACTGGAGCTCCTCTTGATATTGCCTTACCACCATTTTCACTCAATAAAATTGATCAAGATGATGAGAAATTGTTCAATTGATTGTACGAATTGTCTGTCGTAATTATTCTACAGTTTTTTTCTGTAATTCAATGACTTTGCCGGCTGTCAGATGTAGTTTTCGACTATTTATAGGTTATGTTTCGACTTTCCGAAATGTATCCTGATGTATCCATCTGATTTGTACAAACGACCCCACCCCCAACCCCCCCTTTATGATGAAATAATTATCCCAAGGGATAACTAACCGACAGGGAGAAAAAAACGGAATCAAGATAAATGACTTCAACTGCAAATTTTGTTATAAAAATATTCAATTTATTCGACATTTCATTTTTATTTTTAATAAACGACAAAAATCTACACAAAAATTAAATCTGTATCCTCTTTTACAATTAATAATTCAAGATGAATTAAATTATTGTTGAATTTACAATTTTGCTCAAAATTAATTTATGAAAATTATGTAATTTATTCAACATTTTATTTCTACTCTTATAGCACTTTTCTTGACATGTTTTTTTTCTAACTTATCCGGGTGTGTTACTTTGAAACGACTTATTTTGTTTTCAATTTCGACGTATTTTTTGGGAATTGAAATTTCGATAAAACAATTGAACCCTATCAGGCAAGGGGGTGTGGGGTGAGGGGTTGGAAATTATTTCAGTCCCCAAGAAACACGTCAAAATTCGAAACAAAAAAATTCATTTCGAAGAAACATACCCAGATAAGTTGGAGAAAAAACCGCGCCAAGAAAAGCGCTATTAATAATGTACAGAAATTAAATCTTCCTTTCTTCTTTTGTAGTTAATAATGCACACACTTTCAATTCACAGAATTAATTAATTCATTCATTTTAGTATTTCCCACTCTCGAATTTTTTATTTTAATTTTTTATTTTATAAAAATAGCGAATATTATTCAACCTTTAGATCCCTATTTTTAGTTATTTACTTATTTTTCTTTTGTGATCAATAATTCACAGGTTATCAATTCACAGAATTAATCAATATTAAATTCATTCGAGAATTCCTCACTCGCAAATCTTCTATTCAAATTTTTTCGTCTATAAAAATAGTAAACATTATCCAAAAAGTAGTTACTAGAAAATGAACTCCGAAAATGAGGGAAAATTGGAAAGACAAATCTACGCAGTTTTCTCAATTTCTTCCAACAGTTAAAAATAAAAAGAGAATCCTCCCCAAACTATTTACAAACAAATAGTACTTCTGGAACAAGGAATGTCCAAAAATTCTCAATTCCCCACCTCTCTATAATGAATCAACCAATGAATTGTCCTTCTCCAAATATCCTCTCCCAATAAATTACTCAACTCCAATCAACTAATCAAAACCCAAAGCAATCATTGACGAATAGTTTGCTGACTGGCAGGTGTATTATCAAACACAGGATTCCAGAAGCCAGGAGGTGTGTTATACTTCTCATTGTACTTGGACCGGTGCCTGGAGCACTGGTCCATCCTCTTCTTCAACTCCTCCTCCGTAAGATTCATATTCTCGTAATAAACCTGACAATCCTTGCAGCTCCAGCCCCTCAACTTCGCCCTCTCATTCTTGCCCCGGACTGCAGGCCCCTTATACGCAAAATTAGGGTCCTTCTTCTCAGGAACAACATCAAAACTGTCCATCAATTTCTTCGAGGGTGGACTTGTCCACTTGTCCATGGAGACGTCTGTGTCCCAGTCCCCATCGACATCCATATCAAATATTTTATCCGTTGCCTTGTCAACTAGTCCATCATCTTCAGGTAATCTCTTCCTGGTTGCATTCTCCTTTTGCATCCCCCTAGAGCTGGTTTCTCCCCTTGGGAAAAACGTCTCATCAGGATCAGCCCTGGACTCCTCCTCACAATCCAAGTCGATGGTATTCACTCGAACTGCTGGCTCAGACCTCTCTTGATTCTCCTTCTCCCCCTGTTTTTTCTCCTTCTTTCTGCTCTGAGTGATGGCTTCCTTCTCGATCTGAGTTAGTGATGGCTCCATTTCCTCCATTTCAAAGTCAGAGAGGACAATATCATCGTGCGGTGACTGGGGCTTAGCCTTAGGCTTAGGGAGACTTTCAACTTTTGATTTCAATCGCAATCTCCCTTTTTTTCGTGAATTATCCCGGTTTGGACTCAGGTTGATCACTTCTGCCCTCTCCTGGGTGAGTGCCTTCTCAAACATTGTCTCGTCGATCTCCAGGTCTCGGGGATCAACATTTGTGGTGTTCAGGGAGGTGTTCTTGATACTGTTGATGTCTGTCTTCTGGCTGAGGGGCTGCAGAACCAGTTTCGATTGCTTATCCACTTTTCCTGATGAGTTTATCCTTGTCTGCACGTTCTTCTTGCTGAGGGAGAGGATTCTGGACGGGGGCTGGGGCTTTCGCGGAGTCTCTGAAGTGCTGGCGACGGCGGAGTGGTCCTTGAAGGGGGGGAAGAGGGCCTTTTTGGGCTGGGGCCTGTGGAGTTTAGAGGGAGTGGGACGGGGCTTTATGGGGAATTGAGTCGTTTCCACTATTCCTGGGGTCTCTGGGTCATCCTCTTGGGAGAGGATTATGGGGGAGGGGACGCGGGGCGGAGGGGAGGGGGCCTTCTTGGGGGATTCTTGGAGGATTTTGGAGATGGCTTGAGGGTCTGGGGGGGAGGACTTCTTCAGCAGGGAACGGAGGTTCTCGTTGTCGAGGAGGAGAGCTAGGTAGTCTTCTTGGAAAGCTGGAATAATGGAGAAATCGTTTAGTTTTTGAAGGGGCGAGAGCTTTGGTTGCGATTCTGAAACAGATGGGGAGAATCTTAATTCATCTTTTTATGTTTAAATTTTTTGCAGAAATTTTTTTGTTTCGCAAAAGGCATTGTCTTTGATTCTTTTGCCCATAATTTTCATTTTTCCAATTTGTTATGCTTTCTTTTATTCGTTTCTTAATTAATTTAGTTAATACATTATTGAGGGGTTTAGTTGAGATTTTAGGTTGATTTAATGATTGACAGAAACTTTTTTTTTATTGATTTCACAAACATCAATTTTCCAGGAGAATTTTTGGAGAAAATAATATCATTTGTCACATTTTTCCTCCAATTTCTTCCTTAATTAATTCAGTTTATGAATCATTGAGGGTTCCATTTGCGATTTTGAAGGAAAAATCAAGAATTTTCTTTCATCAATTCAAAATCAATTTTTGAGCACAATTTTTCGAGCTTTTTTTTAAATTCCCAGAATTAAATTTTCCCTTGATCTGCATTTTCTGAATCTGTTATTGTTTCTTCTATTCATTCTTCAATTGATTTAGTTCATCAATTATTGAAGTTTTTATTTTCAACTTCATATAAAAACGTTAATTGTTTCAGTTATTCACGAGGATTGAGTGAAAGATGAAGACTTTTGGTTCCTCTTTATATAAATTACATTTACACTGATTTAATTCTCGACAAGAATGAATTTTTAGAAACTTTGTTCAGAAAATAGTTTTCATTGTCCCATCTACCCTCGATTTACATCTCGTAGATTAATATTATACTTATTTTCCCTTTGAAATTAATGAAAACATGGAAAAATTGATTTATAATTCAATCAATTGCAATCCTTACTCTTGAAAATATCAGAAATAGTGTTGAGAGCTTGTGTAACCTCCTCAGCAGCCTTCCTCACAGCTGTTTTCTTAGAAGAATAACTGATCTCCCCGAAATCACTCATTGCTAACATAAATTCAAAATTAAAGAACTAGAATAAACTAAATTAACCGGAAGAACCTCAATACATTAAATGAAATTGAAAAGAAACAAGAAGAAGAATGAACATTCGTTATGGAATCCTAACCTCTGGTTCCATTGTTTACATTTCACAGATCTTATGGAATGCCACCACCAATGCCATGCGCTTTTGACGCTTCGATTAATCGAAAACATCGATTTTTCATGCTCAAACATCGATGTTTTTCATTCAATGTTCCCAACGGCTGATTAATCGATTTTCGATTCATTTTTTCAAACATCGATGTTTTTGAGCCAGCTGATAAAATTTTTTATTTTTTTATCGAATAATAATATTGATTGATTGAGACTAAAAAAAGTAATAATTTATCCGCATTCAGTAGTAACTATTTTTTACAGTATGTGCGTTATAAATTATAAGTGATTAAGTCCAGTCGTCTATTGTTTTCTTTTAATTTTAAACATTTTGAAAAAAAAATTAAATAATTTTTTTTTCTGTGTAATGAGAAAAACATCGATTTTTTTTAAATAATCGATGTTTTCTCCAGAAAAACAAATTCACAACATCAATGTTTTTGGAAAACATCGATTCTTCGATAATCAATGTTTTTTAAAGCATCGCCCATCTCCCTAGTGTTGAATCCGACAATATGCCACAGTCTCTATTCCGGCCTATTCCTCATATTTATTCCGTTTTCTCATTCCTTATTCGCGTTAATGCACCGCGAAAAAGTGCATTGAAAACGCCTCTTGCTTATGACCATGACGTATTCTTCTTTGTATTTGACAAATGGCAGACATCTAAAATAAAGTTTCACTGAAATTTGCATTACGACATACAGAAGTTTGAAGATTGACAGTTACATGATAATTTGTGGAATATAAAGTGCGCTCGTGTCAAAAAAATTATCGAGAAGATTCCAAAAAATGAGTTTCTTCAGCAAAGTTTTTGGCGGAAAGAAAGAGCCCGCAGGACCATCAACTACTGAGGCGATACAAAAATTGCGTGAAACAGAGGAAATGCTGATTAAAAAACAGGATTTCCTCGAGGGAAAAATTGAACAGGAGATTGTAACAGCGAAGAAGAATGGCACCAAAAATAAGAGAGGTACTTTTCAACCCTAGATTTATCGTCAGTGTATATTGATATCGTAAACATTCCAAAGACATTAAGTCAGACATCGTTATGACGTGAATGTTGACATGACATCTGATGGAACTACAAATCTCCGGAATCTTTACAATTCATCTTTGCTTTTCAAATGACAAATAATTCCTTCACATGTACCAATTATTTTTCAATAGTGGAGCGCGGACTAAAATCAAGCTTTTCAAATCGTCAATATCTCCTTAACTTCAACATTTTAAGCTATGATTGAATCCGTTTGAAGCATGATATTTAAAGATATCCCCGGAGTTCTGATTTTCAAAAAATATATAATTTTTGCAAATTTTCAAATAAATCAAATTAACGATTATTGCTGTCGCCTTCATCTTCGAACTCGGTCAAAAGGCCATTCAAAGATATTTTTTAAGCCATCATTCAATCAATTCCGAACCTTTTTTTTAGTTATCGTGGGACAACCGATTTTCGAAAAAATTAAAAAATTAAAAAAACCAATCGATGAATCAAAATTCAATTAATGGCGATTGATAGGGCTCAACAATATCAATATTTGGAGAAAGATTCAATTTCATCCAGTCATTAGCGAACAATTGAAGAAAAACTTTGTCACAAGAAAACTGCATTTTCGCCCTTTTTGGATCACAAAGTCCAAAACTTAAATTTGAACGATTACAAAGCTTCCATTCGAAAGCAAAAATTAATTGATGATCAAATGAATTGATGGTTTGCATTGATTATTCAAGAAATTCCGCTGAAAAATTTGATTTAGTGTTTCATTTAAATGATGGAATAGAGATCCGATCATTTTGGTGAATGTCTGAATCGAGAATTGGCTATTCAATTAAAGTAAAATCACGTCTGCACGTAAAAGTACTATTCTTATTAGTTTATAAATCCAATGAGAATTTCTAATGATTTATTTCAGCTGCAATTCAAGCCCTAAAACGAAAGAAGCGGTATGAGAAACAATTGCAACAGATCGACGGCACATTATCAACAATTGAAATGCAAAGAGAAGCGTTGGAAAGCGCTAACACTAATACAACCGTATTACAAACTATGAAAAATGCCGCTGACGCTCTCAAAGCTGCTCACCTTCACATGTAAGCCCTCGTAAATTTTTCACTAGTGATAGGACAAATTTCCACTATTCAGAACTGACACAAGAATGTAATATAAATTTTTATTGTTTCAGGGATGTCGATCAGGTGCATGACATGATGGACGATATTGCTGAACAACAAGACGTTGCCAAAGAAATATCTGACGCGATATCCAACCCAGTTGCCTTCGGTCATGATATTGATGAGGATGAGCTTGAGAAAGAGCTCGAAGAATTGGAGCAACAAGCACTTGATGAGGAGTTACTGGGTGTTGAAGGAACTGCCGAGCTCCCTGCTGTTCCTGCCTCAACAGAACCTATGGTACCACCTAAAAAGACAAGTACGTATCCTTTTTCCGAGTTATTTTTAATGATAATACCCATGAAAAAATTCAATAGAAAACCTACTAAAAATTCTAGTTGTTTTTTGCGCTGATTCTATTTCATATTTGATAGAAAAGTCCATATATTTTGAATTTCTGTTCGAATTTTTCTCTTGAGATTTTTTCTATTAGAATTATTGGGCACAAATTTTCTAAGTTTCATCCGTTGGAGTTTGTGTTGTTTTGCATTAATGAATCGAAGGGAGGAAAACTTAGAAAATTGATGCCCAAGCATTCTTATAGAAAAGATCTCAAGCGGAAAATTCAAACAGAAATTCGAAATCTATTGACTTTTTCAATAGAATTCCAATAGAATTTTCTAACGAATTCGCCAGGTTCTCTATTGAATGTTTTCATACGTGAATGTACAAGAGCTTGTAAACTATTAAATTTTGATTTTTTTAGAAGCGAAAGCAGTGGAAGAAGATGATGACCTTAAGCAATTAGAAGCATGGGCCTCGTAAGCCGAGGAGATGAACTAAATCCGGAAAAATCTGTTATCTGCTTAAGAAATTGAATATACTTTTACCAAAGCTTTCACCAGCTTCTAGGATGAAAGACTCAAAATACCCTGAATGATTTTTTTATTAAAAGATCGGGGATTAGTCTTAATCGATAAAAATTGGGTCAATTGCGTTCGAAACGTCGAATTATTCCAGTGAATTATTATTCTTGAGTTTAGTAACAATCTTCGCCTAGTGTAATTAACCAAACAAGCAAAAACAGATATATTTTCTCATTGAACGAAAAAATAACGAGCAATATTATTCTGATGATTTTCATGTTTTTATGTCTAAGTAATCAGCAATAAACAGCTATTGGATACAATTTTTCATTGTTCACGTGAGGTATTTTACCTACATACTGCTTGTACAGTAATTTATGAATTTGATTTTTATTTGTTAATTTAAATAATCTCTCCTGATCCAATAATACACATTTCCAACTAAATGGAGAACAGAAGGGATAAAATGAAGCTTCATTCTCTAAATGCAATTCAATTCAATTTATTCTCAATCCAAAATTAACGAGGTATATTCCTGCAGATGCAGCAGTTGAGTATCAAAACACAGTCTGTTCAAAAATTCATCAATATTGTTATATCCATCACATTGGTTTCCATCATAAAAGTTATTTCGTTGAAATTCCGTGCTATCAGCTTGATCAAAATGATCGGTGAAAGACAGATCTGGCCAATGAATACTATTCCCAAAATAATTCATCTGCCGAGATTGTGCATCATAATTAAATTTTTTTTCGAAATTTGATGTTTGAATAATCAAGGGGGCTGGCACTGGACTCTCCTTCACTAGCTCAACGGCTCTGGGTCTAACATTACTACACGTGTCTCTGATATTTTTTTCTCTAGTTATTTGGGAAACATCATGAGCAGAATTATTTTGTAGAGGAAGGCCAGTGTCAAAGGAATTATAAAAAGTACCAGTCTCTCTGATATTTAAAGACCTCGGACTGATTGGAACACCCTGCAGTTCTTCTTCATCTTGGCCAACACCTTGCACTTCCACAGGCTCTGAAATATTCAATTCCATAATCTTATTTTCACCAAATTCGTTTTCATTAGATTGTTTCGTTGCTACAGAATTCTTCATGATTGCTAATAGATGCGTTTGTGGCTGCGGATTTTTACGAAGATAAAGAATGGCGCGAGAATATTTATCAACATCACTGGGGGACATCATAAGATTTACAAATGGATCATTAGTCCCAACGGAATAGGGAAAATGGGCTTGAAATTTAGTGCGCGATGGACGGTGGATGCTCTTGAAATTTTCAATTTTTTGGTACATCTGTACAAAATTGCTGATGTGACCCTGAGTAGAATATGAGTACGTCTCAATTACTTCTGCATCATTACGAAGCTCCGGATATACACAGAGAAGTGCTCTCTTTTGCACTTGAAAGAAATCTCTCAATGCCAACCAATAATCTTTATAACTAGAATATCTCTCTTGATCTTTGCTACATTCTTTTATTCTGTCCAAACATCTGCTTAAATTCTCGATTTCATGCTCCAATACTTTATTCCAAAGACGAGCAGTTTTCAAAGCCTCATCTTCATTTTCATGTGATGTTTGGTCCTTAGATTTTTCAAGTTTCAACCAGTCTTTCAAGCCCTGATAAATTTTTAAAAAGTAAGCGTTTTCGGAATTTTCAAAATCATCTGGAATCTCAATATTGTCCAAAGGTGTAACTATTGGTGTAAATTCATTGCGGATTTGACTATTATCACTGTTTTCCTTCACAGTAATATCATAATCCAAGAATTCTAACATATCATTAACGTTTGACTCCGCCACATCTGGTATCAGGCTCACTGAGAATTCGACTTTATCGTTCATCATTTGATATTTTGACGGTTCGTCTGGTAAAGATTTTAATTGAAGAATCTCAAGGTTTGATGGTTTTTCAATTTTTATCGGTTCGCGATCCTTCATGTCACTCTCAGTGCTGCCGTTGTTCAAGATTTGTTTGAGAAAATCAGTGAGCTTCTGTGGTTTAATGGAGCTCAAATTTTCTTTTATCAGTTCATGTCCTTCATTCAAATTATTAATGGGCTTCTGTTGTGTGGATTTCTTTGTCAGATGAACGTTCTCGATGGTAGAGGAGTTGTCGTTAGATTTGTCAGGAATGACTGATGAAGCTTCCACCGGCGATGAAATTTTGCTTGCTGCATTCGTAAGATCAGTGTCAGATTTTTCACCTTCCACTTGTGCCTTTGCATAAATTTTTTCGAATATTGAATCATCCGACGTCCATATGTTTTCTGGGTATTCAGCGGGCATTTTCAGCAGTGAGAAATTGCTTCCCCCGACAATATGCATGAGATCCCTAAATTTCTCCAATTCGTTATGGGATACGATAGTAATGGCAATCCCATGAGATCCATAACGGCCAGCTCGACCAATTCTATGGAGATAGGTAGCACCATCATTTGGAATATCAAAGTTTATCACGAGATTCACATTTTCAGCATCAATTCCTCGAGCTGTCAAATCAGTAGTGAATAGAATCCGACATTGAGAATTTTTCAATTTATTAATTGTCTCGATGCGTTTTTTCATCTCTTGACTTCCAACAATATATGTTGATGGGTGTCCCTCACTGTTTACACGGTTACATATTGATTGAGCTCTAAAAATATGTGAAAACTTTAATTGAAATGGAGTGACAAAGAGTGTAAAGAAATGAAGCAATGATTTTACCTGGTTTGATAGTTGCAGAACACTAAACATTGTTTGAATGGAACTTTTGTAAGAATTTTTTTCAATTCTTGTATTTTTATTTGGATCTGAAAGAAGAACGACCGGAAAATTTAGATAATATGTTCATGCATGTACAGAATGGTCCAAATCCAAAGTCGCACAGAAATATCCTGAGGCCAACACTGATAAAAAAAGTTTCAACTAAAAATTACTAGATTGAGAAAAAAAATATTTTTGCCAAATATTCATTTACTTGAGAGAAGCATTTAATTGTTCAAAATCATATTCCTCATCGTAAAACCCCATGATATATCAAAAGTCACTCGATAGTTATTTTCATCAACCGAAGATTTTCAAATTTCACCAGGATCGCACCTTAAATTCATCAAGTTTCGGGTGAAATGGGGGGAAAATCATGCAATATTGATGACGTGCAGTAAATGGACAACTTACTTGTTTCATAGTATTTGGGTGAGATGGAACAATGACAATTAATTGTCTGAGGCCCATTAAAATGGAGCCCTTAGCATCCGGCGTTAACAGAACTGGTGATATCATGTATGTTGATAAGAATAATTCCAAGTCGTCGGGATACGTTGCACTGGACGATATTATTTGTTTATTTTTGGGTAACTTGGCGAAAATATAACTGCGGCGAAAATTCACATGAATAATTAAGAATGGATCTTGATGGAAGGTCAATGGGAGATTCCGTGACATTTGATTTGTTAATTACTTACTTAACATCCGATTGAAAATTGGTATCCATTAATTTATCAGCCTCGTCAAGTACCATTAGCCGTACGCTGTCTACTGTGAGAAGTCCTTTCTCAATGAGATGTTTCACCCTGCCTGGGGCACCGACAGCAATGTGACAATTATTGGCTTTAATTTTATCATTTTGCAATGGTGTACCTCCGATGAAACACTGCACCTGCATTCCTACATAATATTTTACATCAATTAGTGTTTCATGATATTTTTTGCTTCCGAATGGAAGCTTTGTAATCGGTCTATTTTTCGATTCTCTAGAAAGTTGAAATTTGGTAGGATTCTCGCTTTTTCAAGCTTTTTTTTCAAAATATTCGTCTTGATGTCTCTCATCTAGTTCCTTCAAAATATATATACCCGTTCCTTCAAAGTTTTCGAGATATTGGCTTCTTTCAAACCTTTGATTTCGGAACCTACTGCAACGAGAACTTCAGAAATTTGCAATGCTATCTCTCGTGTGGGCGCCAAAATTATCACTTGAACCGATGACAGTTTGACGTCAATCATTTCCAAAGCAATCACACCAAAAACCACTGTTTTTCCTGTTCCTGATTTAGCTTTGACGATAGAGTCTAGAAGTAGAGAAACCTTTGATTAACGGTTGATTCAGAGAAAAAAAAAGATAATTTGATAATGATTTACTCAATTCGGAAATTGGATCTTCAACAAATAAGAATTACATCACTTCCAACTGGGGAAATACATTCAGGATGTGATTTAGAAACGATAACTTTTATGATAACATCATAGGGAAGGTTGACACTTAACTTTTTCAAACATATTAGTGACGGGTTGAAATGTTGATGAAAGTTAATCATTTCTTTTCAATACAAAGAACAATTCTTTCCCTTTGTGATGAGCCAAAACTGAGCTCTATCGATACATTTGTTTCTGAGTTATGAATAATTTTTAAAAAGTCTAGTGTCCATTTTACCCTACCCTCCCCGACATCATGTAAGCAATAAGGATTAGTAACAAGAATAGTGTATTTATATTACCAAATCCACATCGGCCAACGGGAATAGCTTTCAACTGAATAGGAGAGGGTTTTTGAAATCCACAGTTCATCAAACCATCCAGCACACATTGTGAGAGGCCCATTTGAGAGAATGTTACATCTTCACTGATTTTAACATCACTCGTTCTCGGCTTTTCACCAATTAAATGTGCAGTTGGACGCAGCATTTTGGAATTTTCGTCGACAATAGACAATAGGTTTAAATTTTCTGAAAAAAGTCGAATAGACCGGTTACTGTAAACAAACTTCTATCAGCCATTGAGGTAAAACAAAAATTGGCAACAACCAACATTAAGTTACAAGTCCTCACTGGCAACTGCAAAATATTAAAAAAATCGTTTTACATTGTTCAAATAATCCGTTTGCTTAACGGTTTCGTTTTTATTCGAAGGAGTCATTAATTTCTACTTCTAACCTCAAATCACTTAAAAACTGCCATCACACGAGACATGTGTAAGCCGCCAACTTCAGGGCCCTGAAAAAAAACATTGCGAATTTACTGGTCCCAACCTACAATGATTCTCAATCCAAATGTACACATCAGTTTCGAAAAGCATCACCCTACGAATTGATTCAATTATTTGTGTTCGATTTTTGTATCCTGATAATAATGTTCTCTCCATCGTTCCCGAAACCAAATTCATAAATAAATTGTGGGTATATTATTTCTAATCAGAGCGTTTTATGTTGAATAATGAAAAAAAATCTACCGAGGCTGTCAAATGGACTTGATACGTTCCTAATGTTTACATTTTTCTGCAGGCAGTGAACACGGGAGAGTTATCCAAGTAGTAATTGCGCGGACAATTGAGGAAAAATCCTGTCAGAATAAAATTCAAAATGTCTGGGAAATGCAAAAACTGCGGTTCAACAGAGATCGAGACAGATCCAGCACGTGGAGATGCTGTCTGTACAGCATGTGGAGTGGTCCTCGAAGATCAACGGATCGTCAGCGAGACAGCCTTCGAGGAAACACCCTCCGGTAACATGACAATGATCGGTCAATTCGTGGCAAGTGACAGCACAGGTGGTGCAACTGGCTTTGGTGCAGCGTATCACGTTAACGGTAAAGAATCCCGTGATATAACGATACAAAATGCTCGCAAAGGTATTACACATTTGTGCCAACAACTGCGATTGAATCAACGCCACATTGAGACGTCTGTCAATTTCTATAAAATGGCATTGTCAAGGAATTTAACGCGCGGACGAAAACACGCCCACAATCATGCTGCCTGTGTTTACATCACCTGTAGAACTGAGGAGACACCGCATTTGTTGATTGATATAAGTGATATTCTTCAGATCGACGTTCATGAATTGGGTAGAACATACCTAAAATTCACAAATGCATTGTGCATTAATATTCCTTCCATGGATCCATGTTTATTCATAATGAAGTATGCGTTAAAATTGGAATTCGGTGATAAGACGAATGAGGTGTCCAATACAGCTCAACGATTGCTTCAAAGAATGATGAGGGACAGCATACACAGTGGTCGGAGGCCCTCTGGACTCTGCGGTGCTGCCTTACTGATAGCCTCTCGTTTACATGAATTCAATCGTACACCAAACGACATAATTAAAATCGTCAAAGTTCACGAATCAACTCTGCGCAAACGATTGATCGAATTTGGTGATACGCCATCCAGTGCCCTGACTCTCGATGAATTTATGACTGTTGATCTTGAAGAGGAGCAGGATCCCCCAGCCTTCAAAGCAGCGCGAAAGAAGGATCGAGAACGATTACAAAAGTTGGAGAATATTGATACTGAGTTCGATGATTTACAGAGTGAGATTGACAGACAGCTTGAGGAGTACAGAACATCGAAGGGAAAGAGGCGTAGGAATAATGACGAAGGAGTTGAAGAGATCGATGCGGAGAGATTTGTGGCTGAGAGTACCATGGATGTCATTAAAAACTGTTTAAACAGTAATGCTGAGGATTCATCGATTGATAATTTTGACAACGATAGAGGAACATCGTCGGAGACGATTGGCCTGGGTCCAGACATTGCTTCAATGGGTCTGGGTCTGTCGATGAATGAATCGCATTTGAATGACCGAAATGAGGATGACTTATTTGAGACTGAAAATGGTGAAATTGATATGACTGATGTGGACGACGAAGAACTCGATAGTTACATTATGACAGAGAAAGAGGCTAGTATGAAATCTAATTTGTGGCATAAAGTTAATGCAACGTATCTCGAGCAACAAAAGGAGAAGGAAGAGAAGAGATTGAAGGAGAAAGAAGAGGGGAAACCTGAGAAGAAAAAACGAAAAACTGGGACGAAGAAAAAAAGTGGAATGGGGCCAGCTAATAGTGCTGGGGAAGCCATTGAGAAGATGTTGCAGGAGAAACGAATTTCGACAAAAATAAATTATGAAGTATTGAAAAGTTTGAATATTGGAGTTTCGTCGAATCAGGGAACTGTGAATGAAACTACGGACGAAACTGATGTAAATGATATTGATGGAATTCGAGTGCAGAAAGAAGTGAAGGTGAAATTGACTACAGTGAAGCAGGGAATTCGGAGAGGAGGAAATAAGCATGAGGAGTCTCTGGAAGACACATCTCCCGGGAAGAAGGGGAACATTGACAACGGAATCAGTGAGAGCATTATCGGAGAGGGGGTTGTAGAGATAGTTGATGAAGCTGACGACTATGTTGAGGATGAGGTTGAGATTGATCCCAATGAAATAAGCGTAGGGCAGATGCTGCAGAGACATACTGACGAGGAGGAACAATATGGATATGACTATGATGATGAGGAGTATTAATCACATGAATTCTTTTTTTGCGGTTTTTTTATACGAGACAATGAGACAATAGTGTTTTGTTTGTGTGGAAACCAGTTAATAAATTGCATTTTCCTGATTACATGAATTGATATGAATGATGTGTACTTACCGTGTCAAATGGCGGCCTGTCAGTGGCCACCATGGAGGAGGAAAGACGAAATAATAAATCTTTTGGCACACCGCAACAAGAAGATTGTACGAAAAAAGGCTTTTTGACAAAATTGTAATATTTTTAAGAATTTTTTGAACAAACTTTTACGGTGAATTACTAATCACTTACGCCGATCTCCTCAATTGAAAATTTGAATATCTGTATTTTGAAATTCCTCCAATGACAGACAAGAAATGTGGCTTTTTTATGACAGTTTCCGGTGGTAATTAAATCTGTAATTTTTTATCCCTCACATCAACATGAACATTGTTTAGGACATAGATGATCCCTCCAATATCGAATGCATAAAATTTCAAAGGCCTTAGTCAATTATTTGACTGCGAAATGACCGAAAATTTGGCGATAAACTGATAGGGTACTGTTTATTTCTGTCTTTCGGAAAGGCAGAATACCGTCATTTATCAGAGGGTACGCAAAGAAGATGTCAAGGGAAGTTATCAACATGCCTCCATAGTCAGTTACCTTCTCCGCAGGTAATTCATCAACTGGTACAGCAGTTGGTTATAAAACTTGGGCAGTCTACTTCTGACTAGAAATGCAAATGCGTCACCGACGAGGCGTTTCTGACGCCTGTCACAATGCTCCTCCTCCTCTGCGACCAAAACAATTAGCCAAAAAAAATGACTTATTATGCGTATTAGGCTAATACAAAATGACAATCAAAAAAAAATCATTTTGATCATTTTCATTTTTTTTTAATTTTCATCATTTTGATCATTTTCATTTTTTTTTAATTGTCATTTTGTATTAGCCTAATAAATCATGAAAATTATTTTCTATTAGCCTAATACGCATAATAAAATGAAAATCGCCGGTGCTTTTCATATATGCAAACCAATTTATTTTTAAAATTTATGAACGTCATAAATTAGAAATTAGTTATGACCATTATTTTTAGTCGGAAATTTTGGGCGTCACATGAGCGTCATTTTTCGGTCATATGACGCGATCTAAAAAGAGACGGTAATTTTTTTTCTCTACTCAGGATTGACGGGAAGTTCATCGCCATTATTTTCAATCAGCCTTATAGGACTGATATATTTTCTTCCGAATGGAAGCTTTGTATTTGACCGATTTTTCGATTTATAATTTTATTTGCAAATGGTTTAGAATGGTATGAAACGTGAAGAAATGATGTTTTTAGGATCATGTGTGGATGTATGTATCCAACAACTTGGGTTTTTGTTGATTAATTTTTAGAAAATTCAACATGAATATGGTGAAATTTGTAGATAAAAATCTGAAATTTTGGCTCATTGTAGTTATTATTGCGTACAATTTTGGCGCGCTGTTTCAGCCCGATTGGCCCAGTAGTTCCTGAGATATAACAACTTGTTTAAATTTTGGTTTTCGTCAATATTTCAAAAACGACTGCACTGATTACAATTTTTTTTTTCATTATCGACATCGGTATTCAATATCCTGCGTCGGTAAGTCGAGACTGTTTTTACGGGCTGATGGAATTTTACGATAACAAGAGGTCCCTGGTTAACGTGGCTGTGGGCATGTTAGTTGATGCTACGGCCAGTGTTACCAGATCGTGACGTCACCCCATTTAAAATTGTACAGGTTTTGCATCTCGTTGTCTAACCACATCTCAGCTCACAGAGCATAAGCTCTGATGGCAAAGTCCATCGTGGCTTATGGAAAGCTCATCGTCTTGGTTATCTTGAAAGATCTCTTCAGTGGATCTTGGGCAGAAGCCTGGTGTCATTCACCATGTAAAATTCCAGCGTCCAGAGATCCGGGATCTCATATATCGTTTTTCGTTCATCGACAAGCTCCTCAGGATTACAGCCACTTCAGCGCTCTGTTGCTCGGATCAGGATAATCCCTGGATCTTCCATAAAGACAGCCCTCAACCTTGGTGGCATAGATTATGAATGAAATGTGAAAAAAAATTTGATTCTTTCCAAGGAGTTCTATAGGATTCTCACCAGGAAGTTCTACAGGAGTTTTCTCAAGTACATTCGATGATTTTTTTTATTCGGCTTTACGATCATTCGTTATTCCTCAGATGATATGGAGGTACAATTTTCTTTCGCGCTGTTACTTGAATCTCATCAAATTCGAACTTTAGCAGGTGATTCTCCCAGGTAGTTTGAGAGGATTTTGGCTAAAATTTTATACAGGCTCATATTCACTGAGGTATTAAAATATATCGAAGATTGAGAAAAATCGGAAACATGGCGCTAAATGAATGAACGGTTTTCTGTGGAATTGCCCCACGATTTTTCTTATAGAAATCTGATTGAGCACTGTATACATTCATTCGACACTCCCAACCTCGGCTTTATTTCTCGTTTATTATTTTTTTTATTTAGATTTTTCAGTAAGAATCAAATAAAACTTTTATAAAATGAAAACAAATCGAATAAAACTTTTCCTTGGCGCAGTTTTTTTTTTATAAAAACATCCGTTTTTGTTTTTCAGAGAGAATTTTTTCTACTCTCCACTGCAAAATGTAAAAAAATACTTTTGTATTAACAGCAATTCAGATAAAAGAAAGTCGTAAGACTTTCCATCTAATATCCATAATATCCATATCCATTTACCTTTGGTGATATTTTTTTAATGTAATGGATTTTTGTAGAACAAAGCCCACCTTTTCATTGAAAATTCGTCCATCTGCTCTTACATTTCAGTCCCACTTTCATCAGGGAGAATCCTCGTCAGGAATAGGGGTTGGGGAGCTATTGTTCATAAAGGTGTCTCGAAAAACTCCTTAATTTTACGACCCTCTCCCAAAATATGTCTCTATCTTTTCAAATATGTTCACCCTTTGGATTATATTTAATTTGGTAATCAAAGTCTTTGATTTCAACACTTCACATTCATCACATGGTTGATTTAAAAATTACAAATTTATTCAAGGAATTGATCTTGCATCGATTTTCATAACATGAAGAATGATAACTCATTAATTGGTGTTGGTTATTGGTCGCCCACTGCATTCACTTCCATCATGGGTGCGTTGGATTGGGGTAGGTTAAGCAGTTTGCCTTTTTCCAACTGATTTGTTATTTTTTCTGTATATTCCACAGAAAAACCCAAATTCTGAAAGTTCGATCCAAATAACGAAACAACTGCGTTTAATGAGAATCCAATTACATGAAGACATCGATGAAAGAAATTTCAAATCACATCGTTTTTCTACGTGATCTAAAATTTTTCGCGACTACGTTTTTTGTCATAGTTTTTGCAGACAACTATAGAATTGATCTCACGACTTTGTTCTTCATCTAATCAATTATAGGCTACATGCAGATGCATCGATTGGAAAAGGGCAAAATGAATTTCACCGTACGTTAAAAAAAGTCCTACCACGGAATTTTGTATATATATGTAGACGCACAGATAGAGATTTAAGAAAATAGAAGATGTCCTACAAGTCACGAAACACGGAGAAATGAAATTTCCACATTCGATTTTCGGTTTCATTACAATAATTTCCCCTCGTCGGGTGGGAAAGTTGGAGAAGGAAATAATGATCAACTATGGGCAAGCAAATGTAATTAATTTGAAAGAAAAGGCAAAAAACCGGTCATTCATGATACAAAAGTAGAATACTGAGAATCTCAATAAAGGCCCTAACAACTCCCCTCATGAATTTTTTACACAGAAATAGCAACCAGCTGGTTTTAGACAAGAGCATTTTAATCAATGCCATGCATATTTTACATATGCAGATTCACATTGTTTGAAACTTTGTCATCTGAAAGGTGAAGGAAAAAAGCATACGGTTTCAAAAGTATCACCCTTCAAATGAAAAAAAAGGTAAGTATAATGTAGGGGCGGAAAAAATATCCAACGTACTCAAATATTCGGGAATTTAGAGATTCAGGGGTAATAAAGCGACGTCGGGCCCAAGACGGCTGTATTGCGGGTGGGACCTTTGAGCGACAGTTTGGCGCGCACGAGTCGGGGAAACGGGATTTCCTGAATTTGCCTCTCCCAAAATATTGCAATTTTCGGGATGAGTCAGAGTGGGGGTTGGCACGGGCCCAGGGACAGAGCACCAGTGGTACTTGCTTCAAGTTTAGTTATTCCCATCCAATCATTTCCTATGACGTCACAAAGATGTGGAACGCTATATAAATTCCCTTCTTTAATGTAAAAATGAATGTATTTATATATCATTTAATTAAATTAAATATGTTTTTAATTTAATTATGTATCACTTTAATGTATCAATGACCGAAGGTCATGACAATAAGATGTAAATTCATTTCGAGATATGCCAAGTCTAACCTATTTTAATAATTTAAATACATTGTAAGCTTGCAAAAGTTGATTTGTTTTTATTTTATCTGCTGCATGCCACCGTTATTATTCTCCAGTAATGATCTAGTATGCAAGGAAAGAACGAGTTAAAAGGAACCAACCTTTATTATGCCATTTTTCATTATGCAAACGATTAGTCATTAAAAAATTGATGAATACTGGCTGAAAATAATTTCATAATATTTACAAACTATCCATGAACTGCAATAGGATCAATCCATACATTGCTATAAATCTAATTCATCTCTTGTGATACGCGCAGGCGGAATCGTTACACGCCCTAACCCAACAGGCAAGTGAGAGGGAAGAGGAAACTTATTTCCTCTCGTTCACATTTTCTGGGAGAGAATCCGCCCTAAGATCGTTCTCCCTATGAGCTTTCACCGTGAGTGCTTCTTTCCGAACTTCATACGTTGAGAAAATCCATGTGGGATGGAGCTTGACTGCTCACACATCGTCTGCGCAACTCGATTGGTGCTCCACCCTCCGAGTTTTTTTCTACATTTGTGATTCATATGCCTATTGTTTAGTTTATCATAGATATTCAGTGATTATGAAATAATATAATGATGTGTTATTACTGGAAAGTACGAATTTACAGTCATTCAATATTTGCAGCACAGATGATACTGAAGTGATGTGTAGGATTCCCTAAATCATATAAATGTCTTCATGAGATGCAATATCATATGGTTCGATGTACCATTGAGATGAGAGTTACCCGACAGCAGTTTCGCCCAACAATGTGATTCTGTACAGTTATGAATTATAAATATCGCAATTGATTAATCTCGTGAAAAAATTTTTTCCATGAAACAGAAATTTTTGAAAGCATATTCTCA